AAGTCTGAGTCAGAAAATCCAGCTATCTCCAACTGGTCTGACCTCCTGTATATGAGCATACAATTTTTTGTTCTCTTTAAATATCTCATGACTCTTTTTGCTGCTTTTCAATGGTCCATTCCTGGATTGCTTAAATATCTGCCTAGAACTTTAACTATGTATGTTATGTCTGGACGTGTACATACTTTGGCATACATCAAACTCTGTACAGCTGATGTATAAGAAATCTTCTACATTTCCTCAATTTCCAAATTCCCCTTTGGGCACTGATTGAGACTGAATTTGTCTTCCTTAGCAACTAAGTATCCCCGGATTTACATTCATGCAATGTCAAACCTTTTAAGAATTTTTTCGATATAGCTCATTTGTGATAATCCTAAAATACCCTGAGATTGATCTTAGTGTATCTGAATTTCTAATACAAAAGAGACATCACCAAGATCTTCCATCTCGAAATTCTTTGATAAAAATTTCTTGGTTTCGTGCAATATGTCTATATCATTACCTTAAACTTGTGATACACACAATCATCAACAATATTCATCTCGAAGTCAAATGAGAGAATTACTTGATGAAATTTGTAATACCATTGACGAGATGCTTGTTTTAGTCCATAAATGGATTTTGTCAGTTTGCAAACCATATTCTTTGGATCTCCTTGCACAAAAATTTCTGGTTGTACCATATAAATTGTCTCATCAATGTTGTCATTGAGAAACACCATCTTAACATCCATTTGATAAAGTTCCAAATCATAATGTGCTACAAGATTCATGATTGTCCTAAAAGAATCTTTCGATGAAACTGGAGAGAAAGTCTCTTTAAAATCAATCTATTCCTTTTAGGTATAGCCCTTAGCTACCAGACGAACCTTATACTTTTCCACATTATCTTTAAAATCTCATTTGGTCTTAAATATCTACTTGTAACCAATGGGTTTCATACCTTTTGGTAATGGGACAAGTTCTCAAAATTTGTTGTCTTGCATGGACTTATACTCCTCATTCATTGCTTCAATTCACTGTTCAGAGTTAGAACCTTGCATAGCTTAACAGAAGTTAATTGGATCATCTTCTATCATATCATTGTTTTCCTCATGTTCCTGAAGAAATATCATGTAATCATTCGAAATAACACTTCTTCTTTCTCTAGTGTCACAAAGTTATTGGCTCATGATACACAGATTCTTAAGAATCTTGAGTTTGTTCTTTATGAATAACAAAATCATCTTGAGTAAGGGGTTCATCAACAATGCCTTGTGGAGGTTCTGAACTTACTTTATTAAAAGTAACTGTTTGAATCGGTTCTGAAATTGTTATCGATTCTTCTTCCAAGACAAAGTTTATAATTTTATTCTTCCCCCTAAATTCAATATCATCAAAGAACATAGCAATTTCCGTCTCAAAAATTGTCTTTAATGTGGGATCATAAAATTTATATCCCCTGAATCTTTCAGCATAACCAATAAAATAACTACTTATTGTTCGGGAGTTCAATTTCTTTTCATTTGACTTATAAGGCCTTGTCTCAGCTGGACAAACCCCACACATGGAAATACTTCAGACTAGGCTGTTGTCCAGTCCAAAGCTCATAAGGTGTTTGGTAGCTGCTTTAGTTGGTACTCTGTTTAGAATATAAGTTGTCGTAAGATGTCTATAGCTCTATATGCACCTAATCTCTTCGCTATGGTTTGTTTGCCCTTAATGAATTCAACATAAACATCAAAGTTTGTGAAGTCAATGGATTCTAAGATTCCAATTGACACAAGTCGTTCAACTATATTTTTAGAGATGTGACCTAAGCGTCTGTGCCATAATGCTTTTGAGTGAGTATCGTCAATTTTACGTTTAGTACCCGTGATTTTGTATTAAAGGTTTCATTATAGATGATCACAGTATCAAGTAAATACAGATTATCATAAGTCAAAAGTGAACCAGTTCCAACAATATCTGAATTAAAAGACAAACTGAACTTATTATTTCCAAATAAACACAAATAACTTAATTTGTCCAAATAAAAAATTGAAACTAAATTCCGTCTAAATGACGGCACAACAAAAGTGTCTTTCAAATCCAAATAAAAACCAGTACTCAATAATAATTTAAAATGTCTTATAGCTTCCACCTCTACCGATTTGTCATCTCCAACATATATCCATCTTTCAAAATCAATTGACTTTCGATAGCTTAGACAACTCTTTATAGAAACACTGATGTTAGTAGTTGCACTTAAGTTTAACCACCAAGTGTTATTAGGTACTGACACTAAATTGACTTCAGAACAAACCAAAGTAGAAAACATACTTTTGAGGATCGAAACAAAATTTAAATTGGCGAGATACAAAAATAATTATAGCTTAATTAAGAACAAAAGAAACAAACTAATTATTTTCACATTATAAAAATAAATAATTATATATATATATATATATATATTCAAATAATGGTTTAACCCATCTCAAGACACTCAATGCACCATCAATATCAAGTCTTTGGACAGTAATATTAAGCTGCTAGGGGTATCTTGTTATAATAATCAAACATTGACAATAAAACACGTCCAACAACAAACCAATTTTTGGATTGATTTATCATCGACAAAATAAATCCTTATAATTATCACATGTTTATCATTACAAGTATATATGCAATTCGGTCAAATATTAATTTTCCTTTCAACCGAATAATACTCACATGAATATACACAAACACTAACATTCAATATTTTTCACGAACTACCAATTCAAGAGAGGTTACTTTGGTGACTTTTTGACTCAATTTGCTCACAAAAAATATTAAACTACCAAAAAATAAAATATTTTATTTATATAACAAAATCAAATATTTAATATTTATTTATTTAGGGTTAACAACGCAAAGTAATTCAAAATACAATCACCTCACTAGAATGTCACTAAGGATGAACACCTCCCTAGAATCACACTAGGGATGAAACAGAGACCGTTCTGACCCTCTTTAACACACTGCTCAAGAAACAGTGCAACCACCTAAACCCTAAAAGAGGATTAAACAGTAATCACTCAAACCCTAACATCAACTTCTCTTAAACTCCAAGAGGATATAGACAATAAAATAAGAACAGTCACACTTGTGAAAATATTCACCAGTTGCCTAAGATCCTCTGTGTTGGGAACTCCCCCAACATCACCCCCAATTTCAAACTCATCCATATCCACCATGAAAAGAAAGCGAAAAAAAAATCCAGAAAAAAATAAATAAAAAAAATAAAATATTCAAAGAGAACATAGAACCCAATACAATAAATATTGAAACTTAAACCGAAACAAAAGGGAAAAAACAAATAAGAAGAAGAATTCACAACTTCCTCTGCATTACGATGATGAAACTTTATCTTTTTATGATGAAATTGATTGGGTTTTAAGAAACCCTGAATTAGCCAATTTGGGGATCGCATAGCACAGTGGATTAACGCTTTCGGATAAAAATTGGGGTCTCCTCCATGATTTCATCACGAGCGAGAATCAGATTGGGGATGTTATTCCTAAATTTAAATTTTAGGATTCACGAAAATTGAGATTTTATAAATTAAACAGAATATGAATTTTTAAATATTTTCTAAGATAGACATGAATCAATTATGGGCGACTCTGATATCAATTGTTAGTAAATTAATAATTATGATCTTAATTTTGATTCTAACGATCAAACATAAACATTATCTCATACTCATAAACATATTATAGACTAAATGCGAAAGCGTACTCGAATTAGTCATAATGATTATGTCCCTTTTAGAACATTATTGATATTGTGGTCTTCTACCTAAAGGGACTATGACCCATTAAATAACCAGAATTAGGTTAATTACTTAAGTTTTAGTATTTATAATTTGGACTCTCATCAAATTAGAAATTACTTTATGATTTCTACACAACTTTATTTTCATAACATATATCTTTAATCAAAATTTTAATTTAATCAAATCACTTTATTATTTGACTTAATAAATAATTGTCTTAACACATTTAAATTATATATATATATATATATATATATATATATATATATATATATATATATATAATACAAAATTTGTTCATATCACTTACTATACTATTATCAAACGGTAAAATCTCCTAACAAAGTTATAATTGCAGAGAAGAACATGTGAAGAAATTCTCTGCAGTCCTAAGACTAACGCCTGGGCTTAACATGATCTTAAATACAAGACCAAGTTTACTTAATCTGCCAGTGTTTTCATTTAACAAAAGGTAATAAAATCGAAATGATAGACAGAATTGAAAATACCGAATTAAATTGATTACGAAGGCAATAAAAGAGAATGTAGTGTTATCTGGACTTACTAAATCAGCAGCAGAAGTTTTGAATTACTCAAGATTCATCTGAGTGTTGACGGTTGCAGTCAACAACCCCTCTCAGGCCTTGAACGAAATGGCGAGGAATAGTAGGATTTACTATCATTTATTTTTTAAAATAACTACACTTTAATATAATATAGTTATCTGATAATGATAATATTTTTAATATTACAAATCAAGTAAATTCTGAACACTAAATTACCTCAACTTAGTAAGGGTTAAGGTTGGCTAATTTGATTATCAGGTAAGAACCCTAAAATGACTATCTGGCAAATAATGTGAGTGAAAAATAACGAGGAAAATTGGGTCTACTGAATTCGCAATAGTGAACAGTGAATAATTGTTAAAAAAAAACTAATAATGAAAAAAGAGGTATATTTGTGGAAAAAAATGGAGAAAAGAAGGAGTATGGAAAAAGCATGTCCAGCACCCGGCACGGAGAAGTCAGATAAATGTCTTGCATCAATGAATCCCACACACACTTTCTCTTTTTCCATCAAAGCCACACGCCTCAGATCAAACCCTAGAGAGAGAGAGGAGGGTCATTTCCAATTTCTTTCTGCCACTGCCCTTCTCTCTCACAATTTCCCCTTAAATATCTTCCAATTTCCAATTTCTAAAATTAGGATTCGCACAACAGATGGCTGTTCCATCCAATTTATCCGTCGTAAAATTTGAGGCCCTGTTCCTCAAATCCTCCTCTTCCTCTTCCCCGCCATTTCCTTCAAGGCCATTACCCACCGTTTTTCTCGCCCAAAACAGAACAACCTTTGTTCGGAGAGGGGTTGTTCGCTGCGACGCTCAGCCCTCTAATGCATCGGTTGGTCCCAATGATGTTACCTCTTTCTCCCCTCTTGAGCAGCTCAAGACTTCTGCTGCTGATAGTGAGTCCAGCTAACGTTACATTTTCTTTTATTGCCTTCGTGATCTCGTTAATTCGGTATTCCCATTTCCTATCATCATTTCGATTTTTGTCCCCGATGTTGCGCTCAAGTTTGTCGTCTTGTATTTTTCATTTGCTGAATCAAAACACTCCCAAATTAATTAAACTTGGTCTGGTATTTAAGATCATGTTAAGCCCGGGCATTAGTCTTAGGCAGAGAATTTCGTCACACATTCTTTCTGCGATTATAACTTTGTTGGGCGATTCTACTGTTTCATCTGAATGTTGAATAGTATAATCAGTGCTTGAAATATTAAAAGAAATTGCAGCATTACCAATCATATCATTACTATTTGATTAGTTGACAAGGACTAAATTTTGCACCGTAGCATGTTCCTTTTTTTTTTTTGGCCATTGATTTTATTCAAGAATATAATTTGATTGTTTTGATTACTGGTTCTTTCTGTTAATGTTAAAACGGGGAAAAAAAAACGAAATGGAATTGGAATGTTCCAAGTAATGCGGCTTTTGTTCTTCATGACTGGAATTATATACCTAAACTATTATCTATTTACACTTGTATTGGGACTTGAGGTAAAGGTCCAAGGGATGTTTATACCAAAGGAAATAAAGAAAGGCAGGACTACGTAGCTTTCATGGGTTGATTTGTACCGCTTAATTATCTGAAGTTTGCTAATTGCAGCTTCTAAATAATTATGCAATTAACTCTAACAGGGTATACAAAGGAAAGGAACAGCATTGTTGTCATTGGGCTCAGTGTGCACACTGCACCTTTGGAAATGCGAGAAAAACTTGCCATTCCGGAAGCAGAATGGCCTAGAGCTATTTCAGAGCTGTGTAGCCTTAATCATATTGAAGAAGCAGCTGTTCTGAGCACCTGCAACCGGATGGAGATATATGTTCTTGCACTGTCCCAACATCGTGGTGTCAAAGAGGTTATGGAATGGATGTCAAAAGTAAGTGTCAAGTTTATTCCCCACATGATAGTTGTAGTGCATTACTAAATAGTTAACATGTCTGTCTTTTTGCAGACAAGTTCAGTCCCTGTTTCGGAGCTAAGCCAACACCGATTTTTACTTTACAACAATGATGCCACACAGCATCTTTTTGAAGTATCAGCAGGTCTTGATTCTCTTGTTTTGGGAGAAGGTCAAATCCTTGCTCAGGTTAAGCAAGTTGTCAAAGTTGGACAAGGAGTAAACGGCTTTGGGAGAAACATCAGTGGGCTATTCAAGCATGCAATTACTGTTGGTAAAAGGGTTAGAACTGAGACAAATATTGCTTCCGGGGCAGTTTCTGTGAGCTCAGCTGCCGTTGAATTGGCCTTTATGAAACTACCTGAAACCTCATTTGATAATGCGAGGATGTTGGTTATTGGAGCTGGTAAGATGGGACAGCTTGTGATCAAACATTTGGTGGCAAAAGGTTGCAAAAAGATTGTTGTTGTCAATAGAACTGAGGAGAGAGTTGCTGCTATACGTGAAGAACTGAAGGATATTGAGATCATCTACAAACCCCTTTCGGAAATGCTTACCTGTGTTGGTGAAACTGATGTTGTTTTCACCAGTACTGCATCGGAAACCCCATTATTCTTGAAAGATCATGTCAAAGATCTTCCTCCTACAAATCAAAATATTGGAGGCCGTCGCATATTCATTGATATCTCTGTTCCCCGGAATGTGGGTTCGTGTGTCTCAGACCTTGAGTCTGTGCGAGTTTACAATGTTGATGACCTTAAAGAGGTTGTGGCTGCCAATAAGGAGGATCGCCTAAGAAAAGCAATGGAAGCACGGGCAATCATTGCTGAAGAATCTAAGCAATTTGAAGCTTGGAGGGACTCGCTGGAAACTGTCCCTGCTATTAAAAAATTGAGGGCTTATACCGAAAGAATCAGGCTTGCTGAGCTTGAGAAATGCTTAGGTAAGATGGGCGATGATATACCAAAGAAAACACGAAGAGCTGTGGATGATCTTAGTCGGGGTATAGTGAATAAGTTGCTTCATGGTCCAATGCAACATTTAAGATGCGATGGGAATGACAGCCGGACTCTTAGCGAGACACTGGAGAACATGCATGCTTTGAATAGGATGTTCAACCTTGAGACTGAAATATCTGTTTTGGAGCAGAAGATTCGAGCGAAGGTGGAACAAAACCAGAAAAAATCCAACACCAATTTATTTCCTCCATTGGAATAAGAGGAAACAACCTCACCTGTTAGGATTGATAATCCTGAAATATTTAGTTGTATAGTTGAACAAAAGCTGAATTCTCCGTGGGGTCTTTCGTCAGCTTGGCCTAACATTAAAACGTATGTGTTTCTTGGTCATGTGTTTTCACCCTGTTCTTCCGCAGCCATGTGGCTTTGTATTATACAACATGAAGTATTTTGTTGAGCTTTTGTATTTACCTCGTATAATATTTTCCGAAATAATTTCAAGTGCTGAGTTTCTTCTATACTAGATAGAGGATTGGTTTTGCATTGCCCGCGTCTTTCTTGGTCCAGGTTTATTCACACTCATTATTTTCGGCGTGTTTCTTCTATGCGTTGTAACAGCTTTAGAATAGCAATCCCGACTAGAACGGGAGATGATGAAACTGAGCTCTACGTTTACTATTTTACGTCTACATTGAAAGGTGCTCCTATAAATATTCCCTCTTAATATCCCAATAAGGTGTGGACTTTAAGACAAAGCATGTGCCTTACAGTTTTCTTCTAATTGGCAGTTATGGATCATGAACATTGCGCTAAGATTAAAGTGTTTGGGCTTGAGATCACTGGAGGGAGTCCCTTCTGAAATTTTGGACCCTGTGAATACTGTAAGTTGATATTCAATCCACTGTTTTCTAATCTCTTATCTTAGTGTATAAAGTGTTAAAATTGGTATGACTTCACTATTGTTAAATTACAGTGATATGACAAGAAGGCCTATCAAGATACACTCTTGAAACTAGCAAGTTTATTCAAGAAAAATTTTGATGGATTCACGGCCTACAAGATAGGAGGGGATCAAAAGTTGACTGAAGAGGTAGTCTCTGCTGGTCCCTTCGACAAGCCGTAAATCTGTAATTTTGAGTCTGCATAATGATTGAGAATGTCGGCCTTTTCATGCTACAGTCCCTTATTGTTTTCCTTTTCATGCTAGTTTTCAATTGTCACGGAATCTGGCCAAAAATAAATCGCACTCGTTTAAGAATGGCTATCCTCATGAAGGCACTCCTACCTGTCATGAACTAATAGCAATTCAAGGCAAACTTATAACACAGAAAGTAAAGCAAAAGATAACAAAAAGCAATAAAAACACAGAAAGTCAATTAAGAAAAAGGAAAGACAAATATTGACTCAACGAAATAGACTTTCTACTTTGAATAGACAAATAAACTCTAGAGAAAAATAAATTGAGTCAAATAATTTTCATTAATTTGGGTTAGTTTAGATTTTTAAAATTTTCTTACACAATTCTAACTAAACCAATTCGGGCAGAAATTGGGTTTCATTTGTTCAAATCAATCGAGTCTAATGTGATGCATGCACATAAGACTCTATTTTAAGAAAAAAAATGATTTTTTTCCAAAAACTCTTTCTAAATATTGTTAGTAAAACATGAAAAATACTTTTTATTGTAATTTGATTTACATCAACTAAAAAATATAAAAATTAAAAATATACGTATAATTATACTTTAAAATTCCTAGCATTAATAATAAAAGAAAATAATTTCATTGATTTGATTGTCAGACATCTGAACCAATCATTAATAAATTTAATAAATGAGCATTATTGTCCAGTATTCATCATTGGCATCAGTTGCCAATTTGCAGTACTCACTTGGAGTTGCCTGGAATCTTCAAAGCTAATTAAATTTATTTAAATCTTGGTCTGGATTCTGAGTGAAATGGTTAATCCAAACCAATCAACATTTCTATTTCTAATCCATTAAAATTGTACTTTTTGAAGTGCTAAACTAATTAGATTATTAGATACCTGCCGCAGCAAAGGAAACTACTTGGTAAAAAATATATATATACACATACATATACAACTAGTAAACCAACCAGTCAATAAGTCCAGTTGTAGAGTTGGTGAATACAAAGGCAACACAGGTTTATGTATTATTCTCGAAAATAATTTTCCAGGGGAGAAGGGGAAAAGTGTTTGTTTATATATTAACAGCTAATAGATGTTCTCATCCAATGAAATTCATCACAACAACATGGAATTTACCGATAAGCTGTGTCGCCTAAATCATCAGAACATGAGAACGCCAGCATTATAGTAATAATTATGAACAAAGGAGAACTTGAAATACAAATTCTTTTATAAGTCGTTTAATAAGGAATTGCAGTTATAACAGAATTAGAAGAAAATGGGAAGAGGGCTGCAAAAACAGGAATGAAGTCAAACGCTGCCCGTCTATATTTTAATCAGGTGGACATGGCCAATCTCATACTGCATCGGATTTGTTGCCTGCATGTCAGAACATTTACACACCTCTCTACTCTCTAAGTATGTTGAATAGTTCTTGGTAAGCAATAAGAAAAAAATCAAAGGCAGATGCGAGAAGAGAAATCCAAGTGAATAAAGTTTAGAAAGAATATTAATCACAAAAGTGATCAAGAAAAACTTAGATCAAGTTGACCCAATCTTCATTTTCCATTTAATTGTCATCATGTCTAGAGTCTAAATAAACGTTGTCCTTTCAGACAAGTTTCAAACAAACTTTCATGATCCTATAAATTTTCATCAATACAAAGGAGAAACCCTTTTCAATCAATAATTTGATTGAAAATCAAGTTCAGATAAAAATCACTAACTCATTACTCATGTTGCATATGCAATATATATTAATTCGCCGGACTATGTCAATATCTGCGGATACATAAGGAAGATCCTGTGGTCATACAGCTAATTTTATTTTCTTTGACCAATCAGGCAACAATAAACCTGAGTTCTACTTTTACAGTTTCAGTAAGACATATGATAACTAAGATTCAGTTGATGTTGTTGCGTCGTCTTTGTGCTTAATCATACCAGAATCTACAAGAATGGGAACCTCTGCTGCAAGCCATGGTGCAAGACCCAAGCAAAGTGCATGAGCAATACCAAATCTAGGGCTGTAAAGGAAAGCCAATAACATTAAGAGGATGCTCTCTAAAATGTCCTATCAAAAAATTAATGTCATTGTCATTTATTCACAAAAGTAGAGTATTTATCTTTTTTAAAGATTTAACATTTTTAAATCATTGTCAGGTCACTAACTATCAAAACGAAATAGATTGCAGGCGTAAAACAAAATAATCTCAAATCACCATTGTAAAACCAGTCTTGCAATAGAAACATTAAGCCCCGCATCAATATTCTGCTAAAGTAAAATCAAGTGTCGTATTAAGCTATCCTAATATGCTCTTGCAATAACAACTCGAGATGTTCAGTAACGTGAGTGAGGCAGAACGGATACCTTATAGGAACCAAGTGTCGTATTAAGCTATCTTAATATGCTCTTTACTAATACACTCCCTCCACTTAACACTATTATGTTTGGTGCATGGATAACGTGATTGTTGGTGCAATAACAAATCTAAAATAGACTTTAATATCATTATAGAATTTGAGTTTGGACATAACTAAGCCCCAAAAACTTAATCTCATTACTCATAGGATAAGAGTTGCCCCCTAGAAGTAAACACTATTGAGGGATTTTATCAATGTGAAACTAAGGTTTCCCAATACCCAATTCTTGTTAGTTCATTACACACCACTTCCACGTTAAGGGTCTACAATTGCCACTTTGTCAAATTATAATCAAAACCCTTCAATTATATCTGTAAAAAAATAGTACAACAATCCCTAATAAACTAATATCTAGTTCAGTGTAAAACCCATTCGCCAATTTTCATTGGAACTCTGTAGTTTAATCCCTACAAACAGAATCATAATGACCAACAGGTTGAAGTTAAAGTTCTATGGTTTATTGAGAAGAAAAACGTACCAATTTTTGGCCCAGAGCGGCTTGAAGTGCACAGTCAGGCAGATTTTTCCACCCCTGTACATCTGAAAAATAAAAGACGGAGCAAATAAAACGCTGTCGCTAAAGATAGAAAATTTCGGAGCAAGCAAGAAGAGGGAAAGGGAAAAGAAGGAACCTTTTGGGTCTTTCCATCCAATTGAGGGAGTTCGAGTTCGGGGGCGGTGGAAGGGTAAGTGACGGGGATATCGAATTGGAGGTCGAATTCGTACTTGAGCAGGTTGTAGACGTACCAGCATTTACCGGTCCAACGAGTGCCTTCGGGATTGGCGGCGGAGATGCGGAACCAATCGTTGTCGTTGGACTTGTTCATCTGCGTGTAGGCTATGAGAGCCTTGTACTCCTCCTTCAACCTCTGCGTCCATGCTGCGCCGTCTCGAGGACCCGCCTTCGTCGTTAGCAAAGGGATCTGTGTCAACGTCGACTTCGTGTTCGGGTCCCAACCTTCCATTTCACTCTTCTCTCTCTCCGCTTGCAACGTACGCTTAATCGTCTACTACAATGACAACGATGCTCCTTCGCTTTTTTATTCTGCGAAACTAGGGTATAAATGTAATTTGAATTTGAGTTGAACGTGTTACAATTTATCTTTAATAAAAATATGAATAATCACGATATAATACATTTAAAAAAAAATATTTTCTTATCAATGACTACATTATAACATAATTTAAGAAATCAAAGATATTTATTTATCATGAAATTTAATTATATAAAATGAAAAGTTATTCTAAATAATACACGTGATAAATATATTTTATATAACTAAAATTTGTAATAATAAACAAAAAAATCATGCATAAACAATTATGATGTAGGATTATTGTAATTACTGTAAGTTCTATAAATATTAAAAAGTTATTTAAATATAAAATAACAAAAACAATATTAAAAGAATAAAATTTTCAGAAAAAAATATAAAAACCGTTGAAAATGTTTTCATTGGGAAAAAATAACTTCTAAATATATTTTAAAACAATTAGTTATTTACTTGGTTATAGTATTAGGTTGATGAGTTGATTAAGTCACTATTACTATTTAAATCACGTGATCAATTAAAATAAATAGTATTTCTTTAAATGTAAATTCTAATATAATTAGAATAAAGTAAATAAATGTTATCTCAAATATAAATATATCTGACGAGTTTAATTAATATATAAATAAAATAATAAGATAATCTCTCTTTTTCCTACTACTACTACTATTATTATTATAATATTGCTATTATTACTATAATTATTATTCTAATTACTAATTTGATAATAATAATGTAAATCATATTATTATGATTTATAACAAACATAAGGTATGAATTATAACACGTATAATATTAAAATATATTTATTAATTTAATTATAAATTGAAAATAAAATTTTAAGTTGTTTTTAAAAGATATTTCATATAAAAAAATAGTCATAAACATATATATATATATATATATATATATATATATATATATATATATAATATAATGTAATAAACACTATAAAATTCAGCTTAACCCTGTTATCACTCTCAATAATTTATGATTAGGTAACACGTTTTTTTAAGTAACTATCATATCATATGTGATTTTCACCTTAATCATTCTTATCAATTTCATGTTGAATTATAACACTTTGGATGTTCTCATCAAATAATTAGTTAGATTTACATGGGTAGAGCTTTAAATCTTTGTCATGATTTCTGATATAAAAGAGGTTGTTTTATGATTAGTTATTTGTAAATTATGGGAAACAAAAATTCACAAGGATTTGAAATCAACTTTTAAAATACAGTTTTGAAGATATAGTTTTTATAAACTAAAAAGTGATAAAGCACATAATTTTATACTTGTTTAATTAAATTAATACGTCTAATTTTCTTTTAATTTACGGTTAGAAAATTCCATAAAATAACGAAAATAAAACATATTAAAACACGTAGTTTTGTACAACTTTATCACTTTGTGTTTTCTAATAAACCACAAACTCAACAACCTTAAGAAGTTTAAAGTAACTAGGACGAAAAAAAAAACTCACTGACAAATAAATTTGTAGCATAACACATTTATTGTAAATCTTTTCGGCATATATAATGTTTGTAACATAATTTTGCAGTAACGAAATTTCAGGTATTAACCTAAAATATCCAATGTCACTGAACTTGAAAATAAATATATATAAAAAAAAATTTAAAGCAACAAAATTATAAGTGAATCTTTCACCACCACAAATATAAAAGTAAAATTTTGAAATGGATGAAAAATCGTCACAAAAATGACGTGAAAGAATCAACGAGGATAAATCTGTGCTGATAGAGATGAAGGAAGAAGCAAAAGAAAAACACGATGAGCACGTTTATAACGAATGTTTTTAAAATCGGTCACCGGGAAATGGATAAGCTTTATAGATTTAAACGGTTCTGAAACCAATTAAACTAAATCGAATTTAATAAAATAATTTATTATTAATAATCTTTTTATATAAAAAATAATAAATATTATTGTCAAATATTATTAATTATAATAAAAATATAAAATATATTAAATAATTAAAAATAATTATTATTAAAATAAAATAAAAATATAATAAAATAATTATTATTTAAAATTTACATAATTAATATGAGATAAAATAAAAATAAAATATATTATATAAAAAAATTATATTAAAAATTTTTATTTTAATTTTTTTATCAAAAATATGATTAACAACAAAATTTAGTTGGCTTATCTGGTTTTGTTTCGATTTTTTTATATTTTATCCTAATTAAAATTTACTTATTTTAAAATAATATACCGATTTTTAGTTTAATTTTTGATTTAACCAATTAAACGGATGTATCCGATCTAATTTTTAAAATAATGTTTATATCAATAAAAAAAATAACAACAATATCTAAATATAATAAAAATGTGGTATAGGCAATAATAATAATAATAATAATAATAATAATAAAAATAAATTATCATACCAACAACACAAACAAAAATAATAATAATGATATCATTAATAATGGTGATGGTAATAACATCACCAAAAGAAAAGGTTAAAACAAAATAGAAAAAAATAACAAACAACCGACGAAAAAAAATAATGACTTAAAGAGAAAAAATATTTTTCATAATGTAATAAGTAACTTATCACATTAGATTTAAAAATAATTTACATAATAACATTTTTTTTAAATTATGAAAATATTACATTGCTTAACTTATTATAATGAGTGGTTAAGAATGGTAATAGTAAATTGTCAGATTCTTAATTATCAATTTTTTTAATTATAAATGAGTATACTGTATCATTATAAACTTAAATTCTTCTTATGTTTAAAATGGTGTTTTTCTTTACAATATATAAATATTTGTGATTTTTAAATGTACACAAAGTATCTTTTGATAATAAATATTTATAATATAATAATTAAGATATAAAACTACCTTTTATTTGTAAGATATTAACTTCACCTAATGAAATATTTATTAATAAATACGAGTGAAGAAATTGTTAACCTTCATGGTAGATGTTCTGAGATTAAAAAAAATATATATAAAAAATAAAAATAAAAAAATAAAAAAAAGGGTCTTAACTGATACTAGTTTCGACAATTTCTGACATTTGGGGTAAAGGAAAGGGGCCTCTAGGTCAATGTCCCCAATTTTTTTTTAATTAAATTTGTATTTGTATTTATTTTTTTTAATAAATATACATGTCTTTTAGGATCTCCTATTAAAGTTTCTTCCCACATGGCTTGGGAGGCTCATTCTGGAATCCGGTACTGATAATAAGAATACCTACTCAACTCAATGATAAGTAAAATATTTTGTAGAAAAATTATGAATAGAATAATATTATTTTTTTTATATATAAAACTTATAAAAATATTTATAAAAACATGACAAAATCAATATATACAAATTTTTAATATTAGTCTCCTTTAAACTTCACCTCTATTTGAAATGTCTTTAGTTTTTTTAGAACAACAACTTTTATACATTATCATGGAATAATGCCAAAAATATTAAGAAATGTCTATAAGCATATATACATTTTCAATACTAGTGAAATCAACTAGATACCAAAGAACATTGTGGATAAAACGCTCTAGTATCATGTAATCAAGTAAGACGAGTTAAAAGAAAATCCTCTCATTATATAAATAGAAACAACTTTCCAATCAATTATATTCTAACCACTGTATAATTACTAAACATCTAGAAATAATAGATTATATAGAAATTTTAAAAATAAATAAATATAATATAATAAATAAATATAATAAAATATTTATAAATAATATTAAACAATTATAAATTATGAAATTTAATATATATATATATATATATATAACTATGTATGAGTTATACATTGATTTATTATACCTAACTCAATTTGATTAACGTTTGAATTTAAATATGACGCCAAAATTTTCATTTTTATAAAGTTTTTTTTTCCATATTTTGTGTTTTTTTTAATTATCTTTTTAGATAACAATTTAATAACTCCACGTAATCGCAACTTACACAAATTTAATATGATATTATAAAATGTCAACTGAATTTTATATTTTTTAATTTAATTTATTTTATAAATATTTTGTTTGAATAAATAATAACATTTATTTTGTTTAAATATAATATTTTAAAACCATGCAATACATATTTTTATATTAATTAAAAAAATACAAATCAATATGAAGTAAGACTATTTTCCTATCAAATTTGGAATATTTTTTCAACTGACATCCAGACAAAGTTTCTCTAAATTTATATTGACCAAGTCATTTTTTTAAGGAATGTCAACTATAGTTATTTTGGTTCACATCAACGTGTCAAAGTCAATATAAGTTCAAAAGATAATATAGAAAAAAAGAAGATATATCCATACATGTGAAGTTCAATTTTATATTTTAAGTAAAAAATTGAAAAAAATGTAACTTTAAGCAACGAAACTATTATTATTTTTATTTTTTTATTTTTACTTTTCTTTTTTGTCACAAAATATTTTATTAGTTTTAAAATAAATTGCCTTATAAACTTATCAATGTAAATAAATTATATCACTTATGCTAATAATTCACAATACATATTAATTATTTTTATAGCTTAATTTCCTCAATACATTTATTTTGTTTAAAAATATTGAAAAGTATCTAAATTATGATAATTTAGTTATTATTTTAAGTGGTGTACGCTCTAATTTAAAAAATAAATAAAGTTCTTAATTTTAAACTTCTAAACCATAATGGCAGTAAAAGTGAACCTAATACTAAGTACTAAAAGGTCATAAAATGTATATTTTAACACTTAAAAACAATTCAAATTCTACATAATAACTAATTATAATATTACATGACAAAAAATAATATTCGGATATAAGTTATCTATAAATCATAATATATTTGTACTTAATCTTCATTTATCAATTAATAACTAAAAAAGAGTGTCTTGATGAATTATTTTTGAATCTACAATGTCTTAAACACTACATTGTCATATTCCCACCTAAATATATATATATATATATATATATATATATATATATATATATATATATATATATATATATATATATATATATTATACCTGCCTTATTAAACTCAATTTGATAAATTATGACACGAGACTCAGTGGTTTATTCACTGTATCTTTCTATAACTTCAAACATTTGGCATAGCATGATGTATTTAGTAAGTTTTTTTTCTTTTACCGTCGTTGATAATAAATACTCACACAGATTTAAATAAAACACCCAATTTTTCTAAATATTTCATAAAAAATTTAAAAATATTATTATTATTAATTAATACAAAAATAAGTAAGATAGATAAATAATAATATATAAAATTAAAAGTGAATTATATATTTAGAAAATGTGGGTTGTGAAAATATCAAAATCCCAAAATTAATCATCCTCCCATCTATCGGTTGTAACATAGCTGTACATTGTGGTATTATCCTGTCTCAGGTAGAGGAACTCAGCTTCTTTCTGAAATCCAATAATGTTAGATAAGTATTTATCCAAAAATCTCTCATGGAAGGTCTCCCAATTACACATCTTCCCACGTGCAATTATCATCTTCTGAGTCCTTGACCACCAGAACTCAGTCTCATCTTTCGAAGGTCAATTTTCTGTCTTTCGGGCATAGGGTAGCCTCAAACATCTTTTTCACTTTACACAATATAAACTCAGTCAGCCCCATCTACTATGGCTGGTGGAATCTAACAGAGGATGACACCATAGTTAGTCTCCACAAAGTAATCTGTTGCTACATGACAAGCTGTCCTAGCTAAAGCATCTACATTCGACTGGAATAGGAAATGTCTACCCGACTCTGTCAATCTGAATATTATTTTTAAATATATATAAAAATGTGATTATTTTTATTTTATTATAAAAAAAAATTTATCATTATTTTTAAAAATATTATTTTTTTAGATATAAAAAGTAAATTAACAACCCAATATTAATAAATATCCATTTCAATATCTTCATTTATTAATAAAATAATAATTTTTAATTATTTTTATTTTAAATCAATCACTTTATAAATATAGTTATAATATGCAATGTTTTTTCCTCTTCTAATGTTAAAATATTTTTTAAAAGAAAAATAGCTTTTAGAATTATATTTATATAAAAAATGAAAAAATAAATAGGTGAGAGTTACATTTTTATTATATATATATATATATATATATATATATATATTTAATATAATTTTTTTAATTTGATATATTTTATTCTTTACTGAAGAAAGCCACATTTGAGTTGATAATATCATTAATAATAATAATCTGTTTTGAACACAAGTGGTGGATAAATTTGTTCCAGGCCATCCCTACGAGCAATTCCGCGTCGTCTCCATCGGGGAGTGACTGTGATTAAGATTCAGTCCACCGGGTTTTGCTTCAATCCAATTTGAATCCCAACCCTTCGTCTTCATCTTCTTCGTCCTTGCTCCCAACATTACATAAACCTTCTTCAACCATTCCCGCTCTTTCAAAACCCTAAAACACAGAAACACCCATGGCCGCTCCTACCAGGGATCAAGCCCTCTCTCTCCTCGCCGCGGCCAACAACCACGGCGACCTCACCGTTAAAACTTCATCGCTCAAACAGGCCAAGGACCTTCTTCTCTCCATCGACCCCTCTCTCGCCGCCGACCTTTTTCCTTACATGCTTGAGCTTCAATCTTCTCCCGAAAGCCTCGTTCGCAAATTGCTCATTCAGTTAGTTCCTCACTCTATTTATTTATTTATTTTCAATTTTCTTCCTTTACTGGATCCCTAGCCCTGTCGTGGTTGCTGATTTTTAGTTCTTTATGCCTTTTCTAGAATCGACAATTCGTTCTTTCGCGTTTTCTTAATGAGTTTGGCATTTTAGAGTAATGCTGTAGGGCTACTTTTTTTTTTTTTTTTTTGGGTACAATGTTTAGTTGTGTTATGAAGTGATAGCCTCTGTTTATTCAATTATGCTGCGAGAGTTTGTTCGTTTCGTGCAATTTCTCTCCTTTGAGTTTAGTAGCTTGCTTGTCCCCATCCATAACTTGTGCTACATTTGTGTCCCATTCTCCATTCTAGCAGTTTCTATAAGCGAAAGATATATATTTTTTTAATTTGATTCCTTAAATGTATTTCAGGATAATTGAGGATATTGGTTTTAAAGCAGTTGAGCACACCCCTACGCTGATATCTGTACTATTAACATTTTTACGAGACAGTGATGTAATTGTTGTAAAGCAGTCTATTGTTAGTGGCACAAATATCTTCGTTAGTGTTTGTGAGGAGTTGATTGTGCAGGTTCTTTCTCTTATCCCCTTGCTTTCCTACATAACTGCATGCCGATGGGCAACAAATACATACATCAGTTTTTTCTTTAAATGTTCTATGGAGATGAAGTTATTTAAAGCATACATCTTGCTGATTACCTGATTGCTTTGTGTACATGTTGATCATGTTGGCTCTCTCCTTTTTCAATATTTAACTTTCTTTGGGCTTGTATGAATTAGCATGATCCATGTATATGAACTATGGAAATGATATGAGGTCATCAATTTCTGTGATTTATATGGTCTTAATTTTATTTGGATTTTATATAATATTGATGTTGTGTTGGGGCATATTGATTATTCCCAGTGTTTCATCTAATCACTGGTCATTGTTAGATGGATTTATTACCTCCTTTAATGCCCGTTGACCATTTTTTCTTAAAGAAAGAAAGGAATACGTCTCACTCCCATTTCATTAAGTGACTGGTAAATTTTATATATTATGAGCAAATGATACCTACATTAATCTAGAAAACTAGTTTAGTTAAGATGAAGAGCCCAACTATTATTTTTAAGAAGAGGAAATTTATTAATATGAAGAACCTCTGACCCTCACGATTTTATATACTTTGGTACATAGTATGATATTGACTAAGTGAGAGTAATTTGGAAAACCAAACAGTTTCAACAACGTGGTAAAGTTGAGAGGTGGCTAGAAGATACTTGGATGTGGATGCTTAAGTTCAAGGATGCTGTTTTTGGGATTGCTCTGGAGGTAATTAGCTTTTAGTTTTTAATCCATTGTTGTTACTATAATTGATTGGGGACCATTGCACATGTATGTCATTGTTAAGATTATCTATCTCCAGGAATTGTTACTTTCTAGTAGGTGGCATATTCCCGTGGTTTATTCTAATAAACTATGTTCAACTTATTGAACGATGCAGTTATTTATTATTTGAAATACAATTAAAGTTTAGCAAAGAGTTATCTGTTTTAAAAAATCTATTAGACATTTGTGCAATCATAGGCAACCATTGAGGGACATCACTATTCTTGGGTTTCTATCACTTAATGCATGTTGGCAGGTCTGTGGTTTATGATTTTGAATATTCACTTCTCTGTAGTGCATTTGCTTAGATAGGAGCTATAAGCACAAACATACAGATTGGCTTGTTCATGTCTAACACTTCCGTGACACTGACACCTCTGGGACATGTGTCAGATCCACCTCTTCAAGTGTCTGAATTAAAGAAACTGGCTTAATTATGTTTTTAGTCTTTGTAAAATGAGAGTTTTGATTGTGGTCCCTACAAATTTTTTTCTCCGTTTTTCATCCTGTAAAATTTGAAACCTCTGTTTTTAGTTCTTATGAAATGAGTAAATTTTGGTTTTAGTGTCCCTTTGTAATATTTTCTTTAATTTTCATCCTTCCAAATTTTGAAGTCACTATTTTTGGTCTGTAACATTCATTTTAAGACAAATAAATAATATTTATTCTGTGGATCTTAAATGTTTTTAGAGGTGTCACATACATTGTTTGTATTATAATCATTAGTGAGTGCTACTTGGAATGATAATTTGATCTTTTGTTCAACACCTCTACTATTAACGAATGTCACACAATACTACGGATCAAAACCAGTGATTTCAATTCTAGAGGGACTAAAAATTAAAGAATTTTTTTATAGGGACCAAAATCAAAACTTGCTCATTTAAGGACTAGAAACATATTTAAATTTAAAAGGTATTATTTGATTGTTTAGACATAGGCCAAGACAATACTGGCTATTCTTGTTGGCTGAGCACTTAGTGACATTGTTACCATATTTTTTTTAGTATAAACAATAAATTATATTAAAATATTAAGTAATTTAAAAAATCTATAGCATAGGGCGCATGTTTATTTGAATGGAAACTCAGCATAGAAACTTTAATCAAGCTTAATAGTGTTGTGTTATCCATGTATCTGACATCATGTAGTGGGAAAAGGCTTTTGTTGCTGGTCAAAGTTTATTTGTGAATCACTTAAAAAAGGCTTTTCCATCACACACACACACATATTATATATATATATATATATATATATATATATGTATGTATTTTTTTTTTTTATCTTTATATAGATGAAGGATAAACTTACACTATCAATGATGTAAGATATACTTGTTCATTTTTTTTTCAATTCTACTGTTGAATTGTAACTATTTTACATTGATTGATTGTGCTAAATTTTGTCAAAATTGAACAATGAAAGAGGATAATCAAATAATTCATATTTCATATTATAAAGTCTATTTGTTTTACGTTAATTTTGATTATATTGATGAGGTATCACTTAGTAATTTTAGACAAATATAATATTTTGTAATCATGATTGATATGAAAGAAGGTATGATGATCTAATGGTGAGTTTTGAGATAAAAATATCAATTAAAAAATTATCAAGTGATGTAATAATTGGTGTAACTTATGCTGGTGCAGTTTGATCCCTTTCAACACACATACATATGCATAGGGTGTCCAGACTTACTATATATTGGACATTACCTGTGTCGTTGTATTCTGTGGTTTTGATGGAGTTGGTGGTTTGTGGAATTGGAGACTAAGCATTTAGCTATTAAGTTAAGATAATTATTTGAGACCTGTAGGGGTATTTTGTGAAGTTTTCTTGAGTGGAGGCAAGGACCTTGATGCATATATATATATATATATATATATATATATATATATATATATATATATATATATATATATATAAGTCATAGTATCTGCTTATATGAGGCATGTTGCAATATGTGAAATAGGATAATGATTTCTTGCAATTTTAGCCGAGCAAATTGGCATTTATGCATGTACTCATGCCAAGCGATATTTAGAGTTGATGTCTTTGTTGGCTGTCGTTGTCCCTTGCCACTTTTTGTCTGAACTATGTATGTTATCCTTTTTACCAGCGTTTGAACTTTAAAGACTTGTTTATATGTTTTCAAAAGTCATCTACTGAGATTTTAGGTTTCACACGGCTGATAATATGTAGAACTAAGTCTAAAGTTTCTATCAATCCATGGTGCAACAATGGGCTTTATTTTATTTCTGACTGGAAATAATTTGGTTGGTATTGCAGCCTGTTTCTGCCGGAATAAAGTTGCTGGCACTAAAATTCCTGGAAACATTTGTATCACTCTTTACATCTGACACCAGTGATACTGAGAAATTAGCCACAAAAGGTACTGCTCTTCAGCTTTGACAAGTTTAATGTATACACGCGTTTAATGGCTTGACACACTACAGTGCGTTCTTACAACATATTTTTTACTTATGTTCCAGTTTAGGATAGGAAATCAATTTGTTTGATTAATAGTAATATATTATTATAATGCTAAAACCAGTCCAAATGCAGGAGCTAGACAAGCTGTTAATGTTTCGTGGTTGGTTGGTGGTCACCCTCACCCTGTTCTTGATCCAGTGGTGCTCATGTCAGATGCAAATAGGACTCTTGGCATTTTATTAAATTTGTTGCAGTCTGTTGGCAGTCTTCCTGGTTGCTTGACTATTACTGTTGTAAATTGGTGAGTTCTAATGTGGTAGCAGCCAATGACCTGTGTTTGCATATCATTAGCATTTTGTGTATTCTTCTTTTTCTGGTAATAGATCATATGGAAATTGTGGTAGGCAACTCCTGTAATATATATGTGGTTGCATATTAAGGCTTGTTTTCCTTTATTACCTGATAAGTAGGCCAATTAACATTTTATTTATTAGCATGTTTTTTGTACCCCCTTTAAATAATTTGATTTTATCTTTGTAGAAAGATTGTTGTTCTCCTAGCCATACACTGTTAATAAAGGTAACATGAATGTAAGAAACATTCAACACTCACTTTTTTCTCTCTCAAAAAAAAAAAAAAACTAGCTAGAAGCATTTAATAGTGTATATTTAATGTTCCTTAGCCAATATTCTATACACACTAGTTACCAAGATCCTTTGTTAAACACATGGATAGATTTATGAATATAGACTAAACGAGAGAAACCTACAAAAAGTAAGGGAGAAAGAGAGATCTGATATGAAAACAAAAGCTAAAACTTTTATTGAATTGATAGAATGTCCAGAGTCCAAACACGATAACCAACTAAAACTGATAGCTACCCTTTGTCAATTGAAACAGAATCCAGACAGATAAGTGGACTCAGTTGCATGTGCATGATAAGAAGATATTAGGCACTGTGAAATTGGTTGTTTACTGACCGTTTTTTTTTTCAACTGCCTAGTAAAAAGTAGAAATGACCATCCTGGTACATACCAGGCCTGTTTTTAAAACCGGCTCTACTTAGAAATTTAATAGTCTAATATGATATTCTGGTAAATTCTTTTTAGCAAATTATCTGTTATCCTTGGTATGGTTTATGTTTTGGAAAGTTTTCCTCTTCAAACCTGGAATTGAGTTGTGTGCATTTTGTTTGATGTCTACCATCTGCAATGGGAGTAATTAATATCTTTTGTCTGTTATTGTGGGTTATTTGTCCTCATTTTGCTCAACAAAAATTTCGCTTGCAACTCTCAGTGTTGCTGCATGCTTCTAAGGATTTGTCCTCGTTTTTCTTTGGTGTGTGTGTAGAGTCTTTTGGTTGTGTTTGTTTCTTGAATCATACAAGAAAAGTTTTTTGAAATTGATTCTTTTATAAAGTAAAGATTACTTTTTCTTTTCCTCAGCTGTTGTTTTTATTCTGATGGGGAGGGGGTTAATTTTAAAATTTATATTATAACATCAGACTGAGTTTATCATGTGGTCCTGAAATTCAAAATTTATTGAACAATCAAGCATAAACACATGTTTCTCTGTGCGATGTGTTAATTGCAAGTATTGGCAGTTTGGCACAAAAGGTTGTAAGACAGCTGTGGCTGGGTTGAAGTTCTAGTTAAATTTTTTCTGCAGAGGATTAAAAAAGGCGCAGTGAAAATAATACAAATTGTGGATTACAAGTGGTTTCCCAAGCATAACGATAAAAATGAAACTAAAATCAAAGGGTAATTGTGGTTGCTAGTGCATGTCTTTTTAAGAGGAAAATATTCATTTATGACAAGATGACTACAAGAATAGTACAGTGGTGTTAGGACTTGAAAATATATCAGGTCAAATCTAATATCCACAAAGAATGTGCCTATACCTTTCCAGTCAACTTTAATTTTTTCTCTCTTATCCCCTTTTATTTGATTTATCTCGATTTTTTTGTATTTACTTTGCATGTAAACGAGATCACTATTTATGTGTTAGCAACTTGTCAAATTGCAAGTATAGATGCCTTGTTTCCAAGAACACAAATGGTCCTAAAGTTCAATAGTTTAAAATCAAATACTTATTTTCTTGGAAACCTTTGTTGCATCTGCAATATATTCAATGTTATATGTTTATATCACTAGTTCAAAATATTCTAGTGTTTCTGTTCTACCTTACTCACTTCTATGCAGGAAGGTTACAAGTGTATTTCCTAAGATTCTAGTCTATCTTTTGCATTGGGATTTTATGCAATATTATTACATGACTCAGTCTTTAATCATTACTGATTCGATTCTTAAATCAATGAAAGTATTTTAAAAAATGAGCATGTAACCACATTTTGCCCCTGGTTTTACAATGTTCAAAATGGAGTGATCACTGAAGCAGGGACTCGTCGATCGAACAAGTTCAACTACTTGTTTTTTAAGTAACATTGCAGCATGCTGATCAGTTCCTTATGGGGAGTTAGTGGCCTTGGATACTTCTCCATTGGTGGTTCATATATTGGAAGTTACCTTGATAAGACTGTGTAAGATGGTTCATTATTTATACTACGGAGTGCCAGTTGGCTGGGTGGTAGAAATCGAAAGTGATGCTTTAAAATGGACATCTTGTGAACCGAGGAAACATGGTCGTCAAGTGATGCAGTTTATTATTGTAAACTGTTAAGAGACCATTTACTATTTAAAATTTTATGCTGTAACAAGTTAATGTATTTATTATTTTATAACAGCTGATACACAGTTAATGCCTCAATAATTCAATTTATATATTGGTGTTCTTGTGTTATATATATTGTTTTGACATTGTTTTTATTGATTTTCCATTCCATTTGTTAGCATATCAATAATGCTAGAACCATAACATAGTGAAACTATTAAACTTCTGTTCTGCTGATCCTTAGATGTTCTGGCAAAACCAGATTCTAAATTGTAAATAGTTTGTTTTATCCCTTTTCATTTCTGCAGCTGGTTTCAGTTTAACCTGCCTTTGAAATTAATCTCACGACATCGACATTCATTTTAGAGTTTCATCTAAGCTAACAATTGTTCCCCCCTTCAAAAGTATCAGCAAGGAGTATGATAATGTTGGAATGAATATCAACTATTTGTCAATGTTACATAATAAAAACTACTGCTTTTACCTTTTTTGTTTTGAAAATTAGATTCTTAAAAACTTCGCAATATATATATTAAATAATAAAAAATTTTCATTGAACTATAACCAGATTTTAAGCTAGCAGAGGGGGTTAATTTTCACATTTGCCACCCTCTTTATGACAATGCACAGTACTTTTGAGTGACTTGGTTTAATGTATAAAAATCAAAGGAGAATGACAATCTACAGGAGTGATTTATCTTTGCTCCGTAGCTGCATGCATATTGTTATTTCAAAACTGTAACAAGATAAGGCTTTATTACTTCTAAAGTTAAAAAAAAATCTTTTTAGTAGTTCTACAAGAGATGGCCAGGGTTATTTGATTTTCTCTAGCAGTGGGATTATAGTGGTAGCAACAATTTCAGATGAGTTTGTATGTGCTGATCCACACTGTAGGGATTGGTTTGATCATTGTAAGCTTTAGAGGCCTGCTTAATTGTTTTATTGATTTTTGCTTAGTTCCTGAAACTGTGGATGGTTTTATTCTTCGTAATAAGGACTCATGCCATGCCAAATGTTGACTTGTTTAGTTGTCTATGCTGTTAGGCTGATATGTGTGAAAATAGTAAGAAACTTGGAGAAACAGTGGCATTTGTTATTGAATTCTAGATATATTTGCTTTATTATCTTGATTTCTCTTAGCAATAGAAATGTAATTGTTATCTGCAGCTTATTTATCTTTAAAAAAATTACTTATCACTATATTTTCTGCAGTTCTTCTTGTTCTTTGTTTTGGGATCTTGAGTACCTGTTTTTGTCTGTCTTTTGAAACCCTTATTATATGTTTAATATTATTATGAAAAATTGCAATTTATTGCCTTGAATAAAATTACAGCTCTCTGTTTAATCATGGTTCTGTAGTTTAAAATTTTTTGCTTCAAAGAGATGTTCTAATGAAACTTCTTTCTCTAATCTTTATTTTTATCATACTGTGTTCAGCCTTCTTTGTCTTTTTTTTTTCTCTGCGTAATGGCATGCTCTGTTTGTGAACACGGAATGATTTTGTAAAGATAATGTGCTGTCTACTTGTTTGTTAGTTTGCATCTGATAGAAGTTGTTGATACTGGGTAAATTTTCATCACTGCTTTGCTTTTGGTGATGTTTTGTTTTCTAGATAAGCACTGACAAAGGTTTGGCATGTTTTACAATTTTGGACATTTTCTTTTGTTCTTTAAGTTTTTGCATGTAAACTTTTCTTAAAGGATACATGAATTTGAGTATACAGACAATTGACTTTTGGATTATTGTTTTAAATTTTAAATCATAAGTTGTTGGGGTTCTTTCCTTGTGCAATAACATGTTCATCTGACCATCTTTTCATGGCAATTTATTCATTGTCACATTAGAATTATAATAAAGTGTCATTTTAATATTTGGCTACCAGGTTTTCCCCAAAATTGACTAAATAAATATAAGAAAAGTATAATGTGCTCAGATATCATTATATGACATTGTGTATAATTTAAGGCAATGTTGTCTCTGATATCCAGTTAATTCCTGTCTGCCTTTATTTTTGGTAATGGTTACGTATTCTTATATTTTGACTAGTCACAGCAGCTTCTTAAAATCTTCAGCTCATTCACCTTTAAATAATGTCTTGTTCATGTTATTTTATCGAGTATTGAACTTAGGCATACTTAACACTGGTACTGAGGTTTGGAGACCAAGTTTTAAGTTTCTTAAATGGTATTTGTTCAGTTTAGTAATGAAGCATACTTTTCTAGAGTTTCTTGTATTGTGTTTCATTTTAACTGTGTTACATGACCAATAACACTGTTCCTTTAGCTTGGATTATATGGAATGAATAGAAGATACACAATCGAATTGCTGTAAGCAGTAGATTATCTTATTCTGAATAACTTTATTCTGATAAACATATAGGACTGCCAGGGAAGTTTAGTGTTGCTCTGGTGTGTGGTTCTGTGGTGTATTTGGTTGGAAAGAAATGCTAGAGATTTCTCTGCTCCGGAGTCTTCTTTCAAGCTCATTTGGGATCTAAGTAGTTTCTACAGTTTCTTTGTGATGCTCCGCCAATGGTCATTTTAGGGAAGTAGGAATGATAGATCTTCCCTTTTAGTTTGGCATGCTCTGTTGCATGGTTCTTGATTTTCTCCCTTTTATTTTCTTTTCTTCCCTTAGGGATATCTTATATGTTTGTAATGTATCTTTCTCTTCCTTAATAAATTCTTAGAAAAACCCTCAAATTTGGTAAAGGTTACAAATGGAATATATGAATAAGCAGATAGTCCAGCACTCTGAGAAGCTTTTTTTCTTTAAAATATGTTGTTCTAAAAGTGCTCTGGCAATTATAAACAGGAAGAAAGGAACATCTCTGCATTGCCTATTGCTTGAGTTCGATTCCTAATTCCTTCTACACTTGTTATGTTTTCCTGCAAGTATTTTGGTTAAATACCTAAATTCTTTGGTCAGGTTGTGATAGATGCATTCTTAATTTATTTTAAACAACAATGATAATCAAAATTTTAGTAAGTGCTTTTTGAACACCCATGCAGTTTAGTCAGTTTGTTTTAACATTCTTTAAAAGTAGTTGTCCGGTGCTTAAGCATGCAAATATCCACTAGGTTGTTAAATATGAATTTAAAAGAAAATGCCAGTTCAAATCACTTAAAGTGCACAATTTTTACGACTGTGCACAGGATGCTGTTTGTTATTTATAATCAAACAAATTCTAAGATAATGGTTAGTTAGATTGTTTGTAGCTAGAATTCTGAATGAATTTGCCTATGGTGTTACGTTTTTTCCCCAACTTCTTGGATTTAAATTTTCTTGGTTTTTGCTTAGCATTCATTATTTGTAGTTGCTGTGGTATAGATATTGTTTCGCTTCTCTTGCCTCCTTTCACTGTCATGTCAAACCTAACTCTGAAGTATCTGTTTTGACAGTTTGGCAGCCATTGCAAGGAAAAGGCCACAACACTATGATACTATTCTTTCAGCGTTGCTTGATTTTGATCTAAATTTTCAAACAACGAAAGGATGTCATGTTGCTAGTATTCAGTACTCCATAAGAACAGCTTTTTTGGGATTTCTTAGGTGCACTTATTCACCAATACTAGAGGTAAGTGTGCTTGTATTTTATATTTGAGCCTCTAACTTAAACTGTCTGAATACTTCTGAGATAGACGCATGGCGAGTAATATTTGGCCCTAGAGATATACTTTGCATCTACGAAAAGGTTGTTAAAAGGAATCATGATGATATATTTCATATTTATATTATTAAAAACTGGCCAGGTTTTTCATATTTATCATCACTCACCAAATTACATATTTGTACTAAGCATGGAATCTGCTGTCCTACTTTTCTCAGAAATTTTTCAAACTTGAGTTCATTCTACTTTAGAGAAACTTTACCTAGTTGATGGATAGTGCTTTATTTTCATGTTTACTGGCAGATGGAATCCTAGAATATGTCATGTATTGGCTTCAATTTTTTCTGCACCCTGTTACTGTTTTCCTCTCATTTCAAGAATTGTGCCATTTTCTTCTCAATTTTAGTAATTAATCATTTTATAATTAAGAACAAATTGCATACTAGGATGTGTGGGTAGCAAAAATACTATGTGATGAATTTTTTATATTAGAATGCTTAGCTTATAGGTTTAATGGACATGGACAGGCATTCTGTGGCTAACCATGATTAGACTCATTATCTTAAAGAAATATTTTATTCATATTTTGCAGTCAAGAGAAAGACTAATAAGGAGCCTGCGAGCTATGAATGCGGGGGAAGCTGCCGATCAGGTCATTCGGCAAGTCGACAAAATTATTAAAAATGGTGATCGTTCCACTCGCGATGTACGAGTTAGCAAGGTATGTAATGACTTGCTATTTTTTACTGCCACGTAAGCTGCCGACATTGAGCAGAAGGTTCTATTTTTTCCCTTCACTTATATCACATTCAATTTGACTTTCAGGATGATCAACCATCAACTCAGTCATCTGTTTCAGGGGAATTATCTAGAAAAAGACCCGTTCCTTTAGATAATGAACAATTGACCAATGGTCATGAAACCATCTCTAAGCGGATTCGTTCTGGCCCTGACTCTCATTCTACTTTACCAGCTCAAATAAATGATTCCGCACAAGATCTTAACTCTTTTAATGGAGTATCACCTAATGCTCCTGTGCTAGATAGCGAACTAACTGCTGTTGAGCAAATGATTGCTGTCATTGGTGCTTTACTTGCTGAAGGGGAGAGAGGTGCTGAATCTCTTGAAATCCTCATTTCAAAGATTCATCCAGATCTGTTGGCTGATATTGTCATAACTAATATGAAGCATCTGCCCAAGTTACCCCCACCACTAGCGAGAATTGGGAATTTACCAGTTGCTCGACAATTAAGCCCTCAAGTCAGTCAATCACAGGTTATTGCAGCTTCTATTCCAATAAATTCTGTCCAATCCTTGTCTGGTACTGCCCAAGCTTCATTGCCTTCAACTACGGCCACAGTCACTGCTACTGCTATTGCTACTACTTCATTGCCATCTGACACCTCTAATTTCACTAACCAGCCTGCTGATTCAAAACGTGATCCACGGCGGGTAAATCGTGTGCTTTTTTTTGTACGAATTGGCTTTTGCTACTCTATATTTCCATATAGATAGTTTTTAGAACACAACCTGTATTGTCTTGAACCATCTGGTTTAAATTTTCAGGATCCGCGGCGGCTGGATCCGCGGCGTGTTGTGGTAGCTTCTGGAGGATCAGCTGTATCAATTGCAGATGACATTGGGGCCACAAAATTAGAATTTGATGAACCTGTTTCTTCCATTAAGCCTGTTTTACTTCCTGTTGTTACTGCTGATGACAATACTCCATCAGATCTAACCGTCAAAATAAAAAATGATGATATGATCTCTGAAGGTTCCTCAGTTTCAGGACCTGATCTGGTAACCCCTAAAACAGACGTTCTGGAAAGGCCTGGAGATATCCATCGGACTACAGAAGCAGATACTTCCTTTGATCCCTCAGGCTCGTCTACTGATTTAAGAGAAGAGGATCTGAGTACGGTGAAGCTGTCAGATGATATTGAACCAATTGGGACAGATTCATCATCTGTTTCAGAGTTTGATCAGTTCTCCCTTGATGTTCAAGTTGAATCCACATTGGAAGATACCTGTCTGGAGTTACCACTGCTTCCACCTTATGTTGAACTATCCAAAGAACAGGAAATTAGGGTGAAAAACATGGCTGTTAGGCATATAATCAATTCATATAAACATTTGCATGGGACAGATTGTCAGCAGTTTTGGATGCCACTACTCGCTCGACTAGTTGCTCAGGTAGAAAATTGTTTCTTCTTTTTACTTTTCCAAGATTTTGTTTCTTCCTTTTAGTTAATAAGCATTTATACACTACTATATAAAGCCAATAGCCACGCTTTCACTATTAGAAATTCAGAGGTACAACTAATGAAATTTATATTGTAAGTTTTAGAAGGAAGATTTACATAAATGTGTTTGTTTGTTTATTTATTTATTTATTTTTTGCAAAATTTTAAAAAATGAACACATACTCAGTTTCATTTTTTTCTACTTTAATACAGAAAATTAGGATGAATATATTTACTTAAATGAAACACTAAACTTTGGCAGTATTCCAACCTGAATGAGCAAATTGCATACAACTTAAAGCAACTATGTAGCATGTATCAGCTTTAATTATTTCTTGCCTGGCCCCTTCCTTGTAGATTGATGATGATGAGGAGTTTAATAGGATGCTGCAAAAACACATCCTAGAAGACCATTGGCAAAAGGTGTGTCTGCATTTTAAATTATGTTGTAATTTAGTAACTAAATTTATTTCTATTTTTTTTACCTGTCGAGGAATTTAGTAACTAAATTTATCTTTTTCAATTACAGTTGTTGCTACCATTTGTCTTATATGTAATTTTTCGTTTTAGTTCTTAAAATGGCTACTTTGCAATTGCAAAAATAATCTAAATTCTTGCATTAAAGTTAGAATTGCACGTTATTTTCCATTATGAAATGGACTAGACATACACACATTCATTAAAGGAGGTGTAAAATACATATGATGGTATTTTATGGTTCTGTTGAATATAGAGAAAATAGGGTTTGAGATTAATCTCCCTTGTGTATAAACCACACATAGGGTAATCTATTTATAATAGAAAGAGGTATAACTAAAAAAAGTTACTAAAAAATAATTAGATTAAATAGAAGATATTGTTTGATATTGTGATTAACAATATCTAACAATATCTTAACAATATCAAAAAATATTTAAACAATATCTAACACTCCCCCTCAAGCTGGAGTATACAAATCGTATGTGTCAAACTTGTTACAAATATAATCAATTCTAGTTCCCCGTAAAAACTTAGTAAAAATATCTGCTAACTGATCACTTGAGTTAACAAACTCAGTTTTGATGTCTCCATACATAATCTTTTCCCGAATGAAATGACAGTCAATCTTAATGTGTTTGGTCCTCTCATGGAAGACAAGATTAGAGCTAATATGAAGAGCAGTCTGATTGTCACACACAAGTGTCATTAGAGTGACATCTCCAAATTATAACTCTTTAAGCAATTGCTTGAGTCAAATAAGTTCAGAGGTAGCTGAGGCCATAGGTTTATATTCTGTTTCTGCACTGGATCTTGTCACAACACTTTGTTTTTTACTTTTCTACGAGATCAAGTTATCATCAATGGAGATACAATACCCAGATGTGGATCTTCTATCAGAAGGAGATCTTGCCCAATCAGCATTTGAGTAACAAACAACTGTTGTATGGTTATTAGAACCATATAACAATTCTTTTCCAGGAGATCCTTTAATATACTTCAAGATACGAATGACTGCATTCTAATGATCTTCATATAGGGAATTAAAAAATTGGCTTACCATACTGACTGCAAAGGAAATGTCAGGACGAGTAACTGTAAGATAATTCAATTTTCCAACCAATCTTTTATACTGTTCAGGATCAGATATAAGCTCCCCCTGATTTGGTAGAAGTTTAGTATTGGGATTCATGGGTGTATCAACGGACTTTGAACTCATTAACCCAGTTTCCTCCAAAATATCTATGGCATACTTCCTCTGAGATATAACAATATCATCATTGGACTGTGCCACCTCAATACCCAAAAAATATCTGAGTTCATCTAACATGACCTGACGCCAACCAAGATGGGCTAAAGCTTCACGGACAGTTTTTGGAATGGTCGCAGAAGAAATGGAGGAAAGCCATGTATAAAAAGGTAATAACAGTTGATGATAACTCAAAGTAATATAATTGGGAGATGGATTACGTGTAGAACAAATATCTTTTCGGAAGGCAATGGGAAGGTTAGACTCAGGTGTTAGAGCCGGAGGAGACAGAGTAGTTGACACTTGAGTGGAGTCACATGGTGGTGGTTGTGATCGGTTTCGGCGACTATAAACCTGAAGGGGTGGTGGAGAAGAAACTGACTGCGGAGTAGGAACTAATGGTGAAAAAGACACAGTTAAAGGGTCACAAACGATAGGAACATTAAATATACTAAAAGTGTTGACAGGATTGGATGGAGACCGAGGTGAAGATTGATTTTTAAAATAAAAGGGAAATCTCATCAAAGATGACATCTGCAGACACATAATAACGGTTAAGAAAAGGAGAAAAACATTTATATCTTTCTTGTGATCTTGTAAACCCTAAGAAAACACACTTATGTGATCTAGGAGAAAGCTTGTCAGAACCAGAACTGAACTTATGCACAAAACATGTAAACCTGAAAATTCTTAGAGGTAAGAGATGAAGAGGTTCATGAGGGAATGAAATGGAATGAAGTATTTTATTATCTAAAACCGAAGAAGGCATGCGATTAACGAGATAACATGCAGTAAGAAGAACATCACCCCAAAAATGTTGAGGAACCTTTCCATGAATTAAAAGAGTGCGAGTTGTTTCAGTAAGATGTCTATTTTTACGTTCAGTTACACCATTTTGTTGAGGTGTATAAGCATAAGAAGTTTGATGCAGAATACCGTAAGAAACCATGAATTGTTTAAAAGAATGAGAAAGATATTCACGACCATTATCACTGCGCAAAACTCTAATAGAAACACCGAATTGAGTTTGAATTTCATTAAAAAAAAGATTGAAAGATATAAAATAATTCAAAACAATTTTTCATCAAAAATAATCAAGTACATCTGGAATAATCATCAATGAAAGTAACAAAGCATTGAAAACCTAAAGTAAACTTAATGCGGCTAGGTCCCCAAATGTCAGAGTGAATCATGGAAAAAGGGGACGAAGCGCCACGTGTGACACTACGAGGAAAGGAAGTACGACTATGCTTACCTAATTGATAAGACTCACACACCAAACTAGACAACTTAGACAAGACAGGGACAAGCTGTTGTAACTTGACAAAGCATGGATGACCTAACTGAGCATGAAGAAGAGATGGAGACTCCATAACTGCACTAACATGTGTAGAGGGACGAAGATGATAAAGACCATGAGACTCACATCCTGTGCCAATCACCTATTTCAAACTTCGGTCCTATAAACATCCAAAATTGTTGGTAAAAAAAACAACACAATCAAGAGAACGGGTTAGACGAATGATGGACAACAGGTTAAAAGGAGATCCAGGGACATAAAGAATATTATTAATGGTTAAAGAGAGGAAAAATTTAACACTTCCAACACCATGAGATGATACTCTAGAGTCATCAACCAGTGTAATAGAAGGTGAAGGATTAAGAGAGGATAAAAAGGAGAACAAAGATTTGTTACTAATAATATGATCAGGGACTCTTGAATAAAAAACCCAAGGACCAGGAAAAGAAGATTGGGTCAAACCAGGAGAAGAAGATTGGGTCAGACCAACAAAAGGTGTACCTGTGTGTGCGAATCATTTGAGAAATTTGTTAAACATAGCAGGTGTGTCAGATGAAACAGAAAAAGGAGCGGAAGAAGTCATGAAGGGAGGTAAAAAAAAAAAAAAATCTAAAGTAGTCCAATCAACCCACGAAGCACAAATTCAAAATGATAAGATCAAAACACGTTTGACGAGACTAAACGGCGCTGGAGGCAACGGTTGACCAACTCCGATAGTGGTGATCTCAACTGTACGGTGGTCGCCTGACCGAGACGAGCAAAATCGTATGTCGTTGGTAAAAAATGAAACCTTGGCGACGGCTCCAGCAACGGCGGTGGCGGCAGTAGACAAAGGCGAAAAAATTTCAAAATAATCTTAAACTCTAGATACCATGTTGAATATAGAGAAAATATGGTTTGAAATTAATCTTCCTTGTGTATAAATCACAGATAGGGTAATCTATTTATAATAAAGAGGTACAACTAAAAAGAGTAACTAAAAAATAATTAGAGTAAATAGAAGATATTGATTGATATTATGATTAACCAGGTTCAAATATTCATTTGCTATTTGGTGATAATAAGTATTGAATGCTATTATAACCATGATTCATATCTAAGAAATCATAGTGCTACTGGTAAATTTCAACTACATATGCGAAGTAGGTCATCTAGTCAAGTTTTTTTTTTTTGTAAATCTTGACCTTTGTAGATATATCATAGATTAATAAAAAGGGTGCCACAGTGGAAAAGGCTACCCACCTAGTGGGGTTTAGGGAGAGTAGGTGTAGGTGTCTGCATTAACCCTGGGAGTGTAGAGACTGTTTATTTGAAATGGTAACGTTCGAGTCACAAGCAACACCAACCGTACAATTGTGTGAAGGCTCAACCTTTCACCATAGATTAACCATAAAAACGTTGTTAGTTCTTGGGCCATTCAAGCTTATACTGCCAAGCAAAATCATATTGGAGTATTGTATTTGAACCTCATAAATAGGTTTTCACAGGGTGTAAAATTTGGGAACATGATAAACATGCAGAACAATCTGGACAATGATGGTGTGGTAAAAATAATTTTAGCTTGAAGGATTGAATATTTCATGATTCTTCAAATCTGCATACTGTAGGGTGATGTGACAACTTTTATCTTGATTCTTGATTCCATTTTTTTGAAGTATTGTTTTTAACAATTTTGACGTGTCTCAAAAAATTTGTTTCTGTTCATTAATTTCTTTTCTATAATTCTAACCGATTACTTACTGATGGATTTTCAGGGGCATGAACTTATACTACATGTTTTGTACCATCTGCACTCCCTTATGATGTTGGATTCAGTTGGAAATGCTTCATCTTCTGCTGTTTTATATGAAAAATTTCTCTTGGGAGTGGTACGCTCATAATTAGTTTGGTCTTATTTAACAACAATTTTCTATCATTTCCTTATAAAAGTGGGTTATGCTACTTTCTTGTAGGCCAAAACTTTGTTGGATTCATTTCCAGCTTCTGACAAGTCTTTTAGTAGACTTCTTGGTGAAGTTCCACTTTTGCCTGAATCATCCTTGAAGATTTTGAATGATCTCTGCTATTCTGATGTGATTGGTCATGATGGAAAAAGTATCCGTGACATTGAACGTGTCACTCAAGGCCTTGGTGCTATCTGGAGTTTAATTTTGGGTCGTCCACAAAATCGCCAGGCCTGCTTAGGAATAGCATTGAAGGTAAGCTATCATTCACAAAACTCTAAATGCAAAATATTTGTCACTTGGATAGTGTGTGCTATCTCTTAGCTATTTATTTATGGTCACGCCCATATTAGAGGCTGGCACTTTGACACATTGACTTCAATAGTAATAATTGGACATGAAAAGGCTTGAAGGTCTAAATAACTTGGGTTTAAATGAAAACCATCTGCTACCAACGTGCCTTAAATAGGTTTTCAATAGAGTTAACTTAGGAATTATGATGGCAGTTGTAGCACTTATGCTGAATGTTTTTTGACTAATTTACTTATTAAGATTTCTATTTGTATGTCAATTCCTGCTAGCAATACTGTTGCATTTTAGTTTACTAATCCAAGAAAAAAGCAACAATAAAAACTATAAAAGTCTTATCCCACACCTACTAGGTGATTATGACTCCATGAATTACATTATACCATTCAACAATCACTATGGGATTCCTCGATCAACTTCCACCAATGTCCTTCTTGGTCTCTTGCTCCCCCCTTTCCGTAGGACTAAAATCCGTGCAATCTACTCTTCTAACAGGTTCTTCTAGTGGCCTTCTTTGTGTGTCCATGTTACCTTTAATTTTCTGCAATTTCTTTTTCAATCGCTGATATGCTAATATCTCCTCAATTTTGACCCAAGAAAACAAAAATGTAAATCTTCCAAACACATTCAGTGTGTTTGGTTTGGCATTTGGAGTCTTGAATCCATACTCCCGATGTGAAAAATGGAAGCTATTCAAAGTAGGTTCGGCTTTGATGTGGATCATGTATGGTTTGACTTGATCCTACGTAAAAGCAAGCATGTACTCAATCCAAAGTCTAGAAATTGTCACATAGTTGTTGCACTGGTGCAATTGGTGCATTGTAGCCTCTCAAAGATAGTCTAGTGGAAGTTGAGGTTGCTAGTTGCTTGTTAGCTTGTGTGTGGAACCTTAAGAGGATTGTTTTAGTTATTACTGATTAACTTGTTTAAAATTTACCATTAATATATTCCCAATAAAATGGGTGAGTTGTGCCCGAGACTCCCGCCAAGTTGGGTATGGGAAGAAGGCTTGCAGTCTTACCCTTGCGAGTAGAGGCTGTTTCTGGGATGAGATCCAGTGAAAAGCAAGCAACATTACTGTTATGTCAAGGCTTGCTTTCCACTTTCCAATACAGTTTTAAAAAGTTCTTGGTTTGTATGATTTGAGTACCAAGTCCCACTATGTTTTGTAAAATGGACAATATTTCAAGCTGCTATTTGTCTGCCTGATTTTCCTCTGATGTAACCTTTTTACTGTAACACTTTTCCAATGTCTAATATATTGATTTACTATGGCAGTGTGCTGTCCACCCACAGGATGAGATTCGAGCAAAAGCTATTCGGCTGGTATATGAACTGTAAAAGCTTTTCATGGAATCTGCCGGACCATTAATTGATAATATACCTGAATGCTCTTTCTTATGTTGCACAGGTTACAAACAAGCTCTTTCAGCTTAGTTACATATCAGGAGATGTTGAAAAATTTGCTACAAAAATGCTGTTTTCTGCTGTTGAACATGAGGTTTCAGATACAGGTCTTTTGCAATCTGGACCTACTGAACCAAGAGCCGAGGCAGAGGTGTTGTACTATTTTTCTTGTGTCATCTCTTTAATGAATGATCCTTGTATAAAACTTGTGATGCTTTGGAGAATTCTATAACATATCTGTTTATACATAAAACATTTGGAAACTTGGCATTTGTCAGATTTCATTATTATACATAAAACATTTGGAAATTAATTTTTTTATTTTTTTTATGCGTATCTTTTTTTTTTATGGCTTTAAGACATGAGTAATGAAACTTCATGTTGTATGCGTTGAAAATCAGGCTTAATTATCCTTTTTCCTAATTATTTATATTTTTTTTATGCTTTCCCAAGCTTAAATAGCTTTCCCATTAATGGGTTGAGGCTGGGTCACTTTTGTGCTTGATAAACTGATTATTGCCACTGCATAATTATTTACCAGGTTGAAGGCCATGAAATATGTACTACACAGGTTTCAGAGTCCACAGTTTCTGAAGATGACTCTGCTAGGGTCCAAAAACCATTGATTCAAAATGTTCCTTCTATATCATTTTCTGAAGCTCAACGCCTCATTTCTTTGTTTTTTGCTTTATGTACAAAGGTTAGTTTATGCAATGACTACAATGGCAATTACTTTTCATCTGTTTCGGTAACACTGATGTAGTCTTTATATCCTTGCAGAAACCCAGTCTTCTTCAGATTGTATTTAGTGTGTATGGACAAGCCCCAAAATCTGTTAAACAGGTCTTTGTTGATTATGTTAGTTTAAAAGTTATTTTGCTGTAGTATATAGTTAGTTAAGTTAGCCTATTTTTTTGGTAGAGATCCCATATTGACTAGAGATATAAGTAACTTATAATGTATTATTGAGGTAAAACCTCATCTTACAAGTTGGTTTTGTAGGTTGAATTAGACATTCCTCCATTTCTAATGGGTCTATATGCATGTAACTCTCTGACAGTGTATGATTTTAGATAATCTAAGAGTCCTTTTGAACATAAAAGAAGTGATGGGCGGAGTTTGCTCGATCTTTGCAGCGTAATAAATAGACTTTGATAAAAAATTTGTGGTATGTGGTATGTGCCTGAATTGACATTTCTCTGATTCAATTGGGCATTAGTTAGCTTATTAAATCTTTGGGTTCAGATTTACTCATGTGATTGTGTAGCAGTATACGCTTGTAACTTATTTCTTAACAATGAAAAGTTGATGTTTTCACATAAGGTTTATGAGCATGAATCTCATATGACTTTGCTGCCAAGAAGTTAACCTTTATACCTCTTGCTCTGTGATTTTTTGATAAGCTATTATTGGCAATAGTAGTTCTTTGTTTAACACTTCTGACGTCTCCTACTCATGCTTTTGTAGGCTTTTCATCGTCATATTCCTATTGTTGTGAGGGCATTGGGGCAATCTTATTCTGAATTGCTCCGTATCATATCTGATCCACCACAAGGAAGTGAAAATCTCCTGACACTGGTAGCTTCCTGTTCTCATTGCTGACAATAGCTTATTTTGTTCCATTATTGCAGTTGATTACTATATAATGTTGATCTTGTTTTCGTGAAGGTATTGCAAATATTGACTCAGGACACAACACCATCTTCTGATTTAATATCTACTGTTAAACGTTTATATGAAACTAAATTTAGAGTATGTATAGCAGCCACAATCATTGTAAACTTTTTCACCGATGATTACATTTTGTTTCTTTTTCTTACTTATGCTAGTTCTTCATTGCAGGATGTTACAATTCTTGTTCCACTGTTGTCTTCACTTTCCAAACAGGAGGTTATATTGATATCTTTCTTTTATTACCTTTCCATTTATATTCTTGCTAAGTTTCCCTTCAAAATAAAATTGTGTTATTATTGTACGTGTACTATTGTTCAGCTTATAAATTTTTTTAGAAATTCTCATACAAGACTCACAATTATTTTATTAGTGCAAGGAACTCAAAAATCTATTTATATTAATGTTTAGGGTGTTGTATTTTGCATCTTGGTTATTTCTCAGTATAGATAATTTTCCGTCATAGATCTGAGAAAGTTGGATCAGTAAATTTACGAATGCTAGCAATCACCATCACGAAGTTTGTTTTCCTTACAAAAAAGTAGGATTAGATATAATGATTCACGATCCTATCCAGAGAATTTGTTGTAATTTATCAGATAAAATATATTTGGTATACCTATACGTAAACACTTGTAAGATGATATGATTCTCATCAATATGCTTCTTTTCATTTTTCTGTTTAATTTATTTAAAGTATCTTTCCAAGGTCAAATCTAGATTCAGTAGTTCTAGAACTAGAATTTATACCAGCATCTTTATGACCAAGAAATTTAGTTGATTTTGAGCGCAGTATTGAATGTTAGTAGTGATAGTAGTTCTCATGCTCTTGCCGTATTATTAGTAGATATTTTGTTTAATCAGCCTTATCAAACTTTGATGGTAGCAGGTTTTACCAATATTCCCAAGGCTTGTTGATCTTCCATTGGAAAAGTTTCAGAGAGCACTTGCTCACATACTACAGGTATATATGAATTCTCATACTGGATGTCATATTTTCTGTCTCTTATGCTTATTACTCTTGGACGCCTTGGGTTTGGTTCATGGCAGGGTTCAGCTCATACAGGTCCAGCTTTAACACCTGTAGAAGTGTTGGTTGCAATGCATGGAATTGTTCCAGAGAAGGATGGCCTTGCACTTAAGAAGGCATGTCTTGTACTATCCACCCTTATTTTAGTGGAACTAGATTTCGTAGGTTGTATTCGACTTGATTTACAACTCAGATTAGCTGTACTTCAAGTCAATATATTTCTTAAGAACGTTGTAGATCAAATCATATTCTGTTTTTTTATATAGTCATTTTGGCTTTATTTAGTGTCGTTTTTGTTATTGTGATCTACTTCTCACCCTCCTGTTTTCATCATTTTTCATTTTTGGGGAAAGGTATATGTTTTGTGTACATATTCTAAAATAAAAATAAAATCAATGTTCTAATGTGACATCAATGCAAATATAGGAAATAATTGATACGAAATTAAGAACGAGCAACTCATCAAAATCTCAATAAGGATAGTTGAGATGAAAAGCTATTTTGATGTGGTTAATTATTCATTACTTTCCGTGATCGACCCCCTTTCCCCATAAGAAATAAATGAACTATTTTTTTAACTTGTCATTGTTGCATTGTTTCCAAACAATGTAATTGTTATTTGTCTTGTGCGTCAAAAACTTTAGCATTATTTGGACAAATCGCATAAGCAGAAGCTAATCACTATTATTGTCCTGTGCATTCAAAGTTTTAGCCTGATTGGGACTGTCTGTATTTGTCTTCTATCTTGAATATATCAACTATAATCCAAATTTTTTCCATAAGGCTATTACCAGTTACCAAACCCAAGTCTTATTATTTGTATCACCTTATTCATCAATGTTAATTGAACTAGTCATGTTATATCAACTATTGAAAAACCTAACGAACTTTAGCGGTGAGTTCTGAATTATTGTTTTGCGCCATCAGATTACAGATGCTTGCTCGGCTTGTTTTGAGCAACGTACAGTGTTCACACAACAGGTTCTGGCAAAGGCATTGAACCAGATGGTAAGGAGATTCAGTGTATTGGCCAATTTACTGGATTTACTTCAAATGTTCATGCTCTATTGTTTAAATTTTCAGGTTGATCAAACTCCGCTGCCTTTACTTTTCATGAGAACAGTTATTCAGGCAATTGATGCTTTTCCTGCACTGGTAAATTTTTGTCAACCTTTATTCATGTATAGCTGTTTTTACTAATGCATTTCTTGTTTGTTAAGATATTATGTTGATGTTGAATTCTTTACGCGATATGTGGTATACTGGTAGTATTAATAGGTAATGGGATTATGAATATATTACTAAGAGATTTTGCTGATTAAGCTATATTTTCAATTTCTGCCTTTTTTTTTATTTATGGAAAAATTGGTTTAAACAAAGTTTCAAACATATTGGTCAGATCAATTTCTTGAAAATTGGCTTAGTTCCTTTTCAAGTATTTTCATGTAAGAAAAAAAATATGATGTAGATAACATATATCAATAATAACAAAGGAAACTGTGTGGTACTTTAATCAATGTTAAAAGAAAATCCTGCAATATAGAAAATATCAACTTATACTTCTAATGTCAATGTTCTGTTTTTAGGTTGATTTTGTTATGGAGATACTCTCAAAACTTGTGACAAGACAGGTATGCTTATCTGGAATTCAGATTACTCTTGATATATGGACTTTGGACCGCTGATGTTTTACTTTAAATTACTGAGTGCAGGTGTGGCGTATGCCTAAACTTTGGGTTGGTTTCTTAAAATGTGTATATCAGACACAGCCTCGTTCTTTTCATGTGCTATTGCAGGTACTGCGTTCTCAACTTGCACAACACCTTGTTATTTTATTCTCTTAAATCAAAACTGTGGAGGGAAAAAACAAGAGAAATGAACTCTGTGCATCTAGACTGCACTGCAAAGCTGAATTATAGACAAAAAATAATAGACAAATCATAGTTATCCTAATTACTGAAGTTATATGATTTTATTAACTTATACAATGTATTTAGACACTATTAACTTACTTTCTAATACACACTATCAAATTGGGGTATATAAGTCGTAAGGACCAAACTTGAGGAGGGGTATATTTTGTAATAAATATTTGTTATGTATAAAATGAGACAATCTTGTTACAAATATTATTAACACAAGACCCCTGAGAGAATCATGTCAATGAGTTGGTTGCAGGAACTGATAAAGTAAATAATGATAACTTTAACAATTCTCATAGTTATGTCCAAAGTACTACATCCCACTCACATGCTGAATTTAGGATACAACTTATCATACTTACTGCAAAAAAGATGTCAACAAGTACACAATTCTAACAACATGCATTTTGTTGAGAGACTCGATACAACCACAAGTTTTCTTATACCATTAATGAGCATGTTTTGAATTGCATTTAAGAAATCAGACAGGAAATTAGTTGACCGATCCTTTATTACTGACACTTGTGACTGTGTACTATGCTTAATTTTTAACTAAAAAGAGTAACTTTTTAAGCATAAAATCGTTTCTAGAATTGCTTGGTTAGCACTGACCCAAGACACGCATTTACTTCTGTAAAAGGCATCCTTCCGTTCGCATGAGATATCTCAGAAATTTCTCTACATTTTAATATCATCTTTTTAGCAAACCAGCACTTCATAGTTGATGTGTAGCACTAACTAAAAAGTTACAATTAAACCAGTCGCTGTTATTGTGTTAATAGAAATCGTAGGAAACCTGAAAAACATGATGTCATGTTTCCAGTTCTACAAAATCTGACACAACGTAGCTCATTAGCTCCACTTCAAGCGCAACTGTCGGTTTTTAAAGCATAACTTTAATGCACCACTTAAAAATTGCGATAGAAATATTGTTAAAGTCTGAAGAATGAGGAATACACTGAAAAATAAAAGATTATCATATTTAAAGAGCTTTTAACATGTGACATGAAACAATATTTGTACTTAAATATTTGTTTTTGAGAAGCAATTTTAAAACCCTAGATTCCTTTCAGGTGTGACTGTCTACTGAAAGAAACCCAACCCCATACCCAACTTATGGAATCAATGAAAAGAATGATGGTAAAAACTTATAAATCTCAAAAGGATCAAAAACAAAATTGAATATAGAATAATAAGTGAATAAAATCTTACCAAAGTGAGAATGGGAATGCACAAGTTGTTGAGTCTCAATGGTGACTGTGCAAGTGGGAATGCATTTGAGAACTGTGGTTTGAAATTGCAAGTTTCAAGAGATATAACTCAAGGAAAATGTTTAGGAATCCCAGTCTTTCGAGGAGACGATGTGTATGAATATCTGATTCAACTGCAGTAGCACTTTGACCTGAAGGAAAAGGTGGCAAAACTTCAATTGTTTGTGGAAGCACTGGAAGGAGGTGCCTTCCAGTTGTACCAACAATGGGAAGTTTTAGATCTTCTGTTTGATCCAAGAAATGGAGCCTGAATTGGGAGAGCATGAAAACAGAAGAAGATATGACGGATCTAGATGCAAGAAAATAATGCAGGTTTTCTGGGCCAACAAATGAACTCTTGAATGATGGTGTAGGACCTGAACTAAAGTAACAAAGGGAAGAGACTGATGGCAGCCAATAATGGGAACAACAATGAAAGGGAAAACATTCCTTATGAGTGGCTTCATGAATGAGCCCGAGGTTGAAGTTGGAGGCAATAGCTGTAGACATAGGGGTGTTCAATGTATCATTTGATGGGTACAGTCCTCAGGTTCTTCCAGGATGAGAGGTGGTTGTAAATAGTGTAGATATCTAGATATTATGCATTGGTGGTAGAAGCAACTCCAACGACAGTGACAAGGATGGTATTGGTTGCTGCCCTGCAACTCTAATTGAGAATGCTAGCTCATGAGTCATGAAGCTAAGACAGCAAGGATAGGATGGTAACCCCAGAAATAAGTCAAATGCCAATCCTTATGAGCAATATTGGAATTTCAAAATTTAGTCAAGTTCTTGAACCAATTTCCTAAAATAAACCCACAGAGGCAAATTGATGAGAAAATGGAGTATTGGATTCTCAGTAAACTACCAGAAGCATTTGTGTACATTTGACCAGGAGGGTTTGGTGCCGCTGTGGTAGTATTGGCTTGACCATGATGCTTTAATCTGTTGAAACTCTAATGGGCATTATTATTTCAGCAGTTAGAAGCCAAATCATTAGGGGTTAAGCTTTATGGAAAAAAAAATTCTAATGTTTTAATTCTCAATATTTGTTAGATTTTAGCGAGTTAGTTAGTTGTTGATATCTGTTATTTCGTTGGGTTGAGAGTGAGACAAAATAAGTTAAGTTGCTAAAAAAAATCGAGGAGAGATTGAGAGGACATTTTTATGCTGGGTGGTGTTGTCACTCAGTTCCGCAGTGTTCTATCTTCTAAATCGGGTTTGTTTTAGGGCTAAGAACTGAGATGGTGCAGCGTTGGCCTAAAACAGCTAGAGTTTTGTCTAGGTAGCCTCTGTATCCAAGGTGTGGGTGGAAAAGACTTAGTTGACAGTGGCTTAATAAAGGTACACAGCTGGCGAAGCTTCTGGAAGGATGTCACAGCAGATAAACTCAAAAGTCAAAGAGAGACAGAGCTTACCAGAAAGAAATACTAATCAATGAAATATAGGTCAACTGGATATGCGTAGGGAGGGTTGCCTCTCATTAGGCTCTAAAGACCATGTAATGGAAAAAGAGAACAGACTAAATGCATGTTTAAACTGCAATATGGACAAAAAGTAATAAATGCACATTAAATCTATCCCAACTACCATAATATTATGGTTTTATTGTCAACTTATACATTTTATCTGGATGCCATTTAATAGTTTCCAACTATAAAACCCTTTTTACGTTATCCTCACAGTTGCCGCCTCAACAACTTGAAAGTGCACTCAACAGGCATGCTAATCTCAGAGGTCCCCTTGCATCATATGCCAGTCAACCAACTATAAAATCAACACTTAGTAGGTAAGTTTTCTATATATAATCATTTGAAAGGCTCAATTACATATTTTATTCATCTGTCTTTGATATTGGTCCCTGAATACTTTTTAGCTCTAACAAATGGACTCCTAACTTTTCTAATTAAATAAATTCAGGCCTCCTGTCTCTGATGTTGAATTCTACAAGTCATGTTAGGTGACTAACTTTACAAATTATAAGTCATCCAAACATTGTTTGCTGTGTCAGTTATTTCTATTTGCAATTGGATAACAAGCTTATGAAGAGTTTGACACTGTAAACCAAAATTAATCGTACACTGGTTAACAACATCGTATGATTATTTTAAAAAGTCTAGCGGAAAAGGATATACGAACGTACTATATTTTCTAGTTTTAGTTTCTACTTTGCATTCTGATAGAGAATCTAGGTCTAAATTTCGTTGTAGTCAACTAAATGTACGTATATATGCAGATCAACTTTAGCAGTTCTTGGTCTCGCAAATGAAACTCACGTGCAGCAAATTTTGTCAACTTCGTTACACTCTTCTGACACAAGTTCTTCAGTTCATGGAGCAACTTTGACGTGATGGTAAAGTGACTGACAGGAATTTGGTTACTGGACCAATTGAAAATTGTTGTCGACAAGATTGATCGACTTCTAGGGTTTCTTGACATCCAAAGGGAGGATACAGAAAAACAAATTTATACTGTGACTTCGAATCAGGAATGCAGTCTTTTCAGAGTCTGTGACCATCCCGCATTGGGGCATGCATCCAGTCGTATCATAGTTTTCAGGATATCCAGGCAGCCTACTTCTAGGAATGTATCATAGTTTTCTTTTTGTGTTTATTTTATTTTTTTCATTGTAATATTATTCATTCAATTTTGATGTTATATTCCTGCCTTTTCTGGGGTAAGAACTATGGACTATCCTCGTGTATGTGGTTGCATAGTCCTCATCTCAGACGATATGATAATGCTAAAAGATCAAATCAAATCTCTGAAATCTCCTTTCTCCTGCTCAGGGACCAATTATTCTAGAACTTCAAACACTAAACATGAAGGGTTGGTGTAAAAGTAGGAAGACCAAATTTAAACCGCTCAATATAATTAGCACATTTGATTGGTTTTAGACTCACAAATATCTTAAAACTATGGATGTGTTGGATAAATGAAGGGTGAAATTGATAATACGTCATCTCCATATAATGCTAGAGTATAGACCCATGTGCTATGATACTATTTATATATAATAATGTTTAAATTGTTAGGGTGGTCAAAGTGAATTTATTTGATTTTATGGCTGGTTGAAAATAAGTGATTTTAGTCTAATTTTATAGCGAGTAAAAAATTTTACAATACAATTCATGATGGGTTAATAGGTTAACTTATTAATTTATATTTATTTTTTGTTATTTTTTTTTAATAATCATGACTAAATCGTAAGATTAAAAAGATAAATATTAATACTGTGTGATGTGATTGAAATTTGACAAATGTTATGATACAGATGAAGTATGGTAATGTGATGGCATGATGAATGTAATGGTGCGATAAATATTAAAATGTTGTGATATAATTGAAATGTGGTGGTACAATATATAATGAACATGTTGACATAGTGGTGTGATAGAAAAATGATAAGTGATCTAAGTGCAACTATGAAGACAGTGGTACAGTTAACAATAAATTATAAATACATTTAACAATATATTATAAATTTAAATAAGAATTTGGTTTATAACGAGGTGAAGAGATAGAATAATATTAATTAAGATAATTAAATTATTATAATTATTTTTAAAATTTAAAATGAATAGTGAATTGTGGGTTAACTTATTATAATGCATTTAAGTAAGTCGATTTTATTTTTAACCCATTATGTGTGAAAATGAAAAAAAAAAAATTAACTCAACTCAAACCCATATGAGTCGGATTGATTTATGGGTTACAATCCATATTCTGGTGTACCATTTAAACTTTTATCCATTATAATCACTTGAATACTTTCGATATTCAAATTAGAAACTATATTTTTGTAAAAGTGGGAGTATTATTGTAATATTATACATAAATCTAGACACCTGCAAAAGGAATTCGATTATTTTTAATATTCTAGTTCATTTTAAGTGTAAATTTTATAAATTTTGCAACCTGGTTGAAAACTTATAATTTGATGACATTAAATATATTTAGCAATTTTTATAGCTGTAGTTCTTATAAATATTCAAAACTCGTCTAAATAGCACTTGACCATTTGGAGTTAATGGTGAATGTTAAGGTTATTTAACTCTCTTCATAATTTTAAATACATATTTATGAATATTTATAAAAAGATATTGGTAAATTCTAAATGTTTCAGGTCGAAGAGAAAAGGGGGAAGGACAAATTTTAAATGATTTATTTATTTATTTTGGTTCCTAGTGACATGAAAGCAAGAATGATTTGATTTTGATTTTACAAACATATACATAAGTTGAAATTTAAAATATTTATAATCTGAACATTCTAATATAAATTGTTATGATATGTTTTTTAAATATTTATAATCTGAACATTCTAATATAACTTGTTATGAAATATATTTTTAATAAGTTGGTAGTAAACTGTTGAGTTAGTGTGCTATAAGCACAATTGATGTTATTGCAAGAAAATATATAATTTTTGGAATATTTATTGTAATTCTTCCTTCTAAATATACATTTCTCGAAACCTTTCTTCTTTTTGGTTTGTGTTTCTCATCTAGATCTTTGACTACTTCCTATAATTGGTTAGTTTTACAACATATATATTTTTGTTTAATGTGAAATTAATACACCCATATCAAATGAACAGACATTGCATTGAGTGATCTTTTTTAGAACGACTTATTTATAGCTTCTTCCTCAATTTTAAAATTTATTTTTATCTTTTTGTTGAGGAGAATTTACTTTTATCTAATAATGTTTTTATTATTAATAGTGATACATCTGATGTTATAATTCATTCTTTAAAATATACAATTTCATTGTCATTATTAATTTGAGTAAACCTTTCTTATGGTCTTTAGAGTTGTGAAACATTGTCATAGTAATTCCTAAAAGTAGAAAAAGTCAAATAAATATTTAAAAATCGAATTATGCCATTCATAAGACTTGTAGGGGACGCACGCATACGATCCCTTGACACATATGCCAATGGAAGTTCTTGAAACAAACCTCATAAAAACATGTGGGCATGGCGGCATCAAATTTGACTCCACTAGAACCCCATTTAAAACGTTTCACGAGGTATATATAGAGAGTTATGCAAATGGTCAAAATGCATTCTCGTCTTTCCCGTCGGATGAATTAAAATTGCTCTAAAGCCAGGCATGGTAGACAGTTTTGAGGGGCAGGATTTAATATCTAAACATTGAGTAATTATAAACTATATATTAAAGCCTATGCAGTAATATAACCTGGGTCAAAATTTTGCTAGTAGCGTCAATGTGTCATTTGGGGTTCCCCCCGTCCCAGGTGTTGTTGACTTGGCAGACCAGTTCAAATGGCATATAACGATCTGCCCATAATGTCTTACTGTTTTAAAATTTCCTTTACTCTTTTTCCTGTTAACACGACCAGATTTCGGTGCTTGATTTCGACTGCTTCCCTTATGTATTGAAGCTCATCGTTACAATTAAGCAAGTACTGGGAAGAATACAAGCAATTTAAAGAATGCAAGGAAATATTAAGAGTGGTGTACATTTGAGACATTACCCTCTGCAGATTTTGATGCATGGCCTAAATCAGAAATTAGCCACCAGATGATATATACACCTATACATAGCTGTGTATAATATTGAAAATTCAACAAGTCGATTAAAAGAGTTTTTTGTTCTTCTCGTAGGATCTTTTTCTCCCAAAGAAATAAGGTACATACTTTACAACAGCAAAAATTTTCCCTTGCAAATATTTTGGTGCAAGAGACTTGGGGAACAAAATCAACAAAACCTGTTCCTGTCCTGCCCGGCGTCCCAAGTTAACATTCTATTTTCTTTAGTATCACTTTAAAATTTGAATTTATAAGTGAACGGCATCCTGCATTCACTTTAAGAATTACAGATATGATTCTATATGCCATATTACAAATCAGATCATACCTATCACACACTCACAATAGATTGGTGGAGGATTACTTGACAGGTATGACAGCGTCTAGGTTTTTCTGAAGCACCCAACCTTTTGGGTAAACAATATTATGAACACCCAAATGGAGATGCCAATTCATTATTTTTGAACAACCATGAGGTGAACCTTCCATTTGACTTTCATCTTCCACCAACTGTTCTATAAAGGTAGTCTCCTGTCAAACCAGAAGTCACATCGGTTTATTGACTATAAGAATTGTAGATGATATTAAAAGGTTAAAAAAATATTAAATAGTTAGACCAGCTGAATGACAGATTAAAGAGATACAATAGGAGGCATACTTGAAAACCTTCCTTCACTGTGTCTAATTGTCTTATGGGATTTGATGAAGGGCGTCGCCATCGTTTTGGATCCCACAAGATTGTGCTGTTGAATGCAAATCCAGACATATCAACATGAAATCTACGAAGTCTTTTGCTTTTCTCATTTGTATGCCACCCAATCACGTGGCTTGCATTGCATACAGGACCCTCCAAAATGGCCTTGTTCTTGCTTGGTGCAAGCATGGCAACAGGCCAAGTGCCAATGCGGCTACAAAACCAGTTCAACATTAGAACATAGGAATATAAAGGTACAAAAGAGAGGACACAACTCATCATTATATGTTTGTGCTCATGTATAAACCAACATATATGACTCAAAGAAAGCTTAAAATTATTAACAATTCCAAATACTTGCATTCTTTTAGTATTACGTAGTGTTTCACCTTTCTCAAGCTCCGTTGTGGTGGAGAACTTTTCACGACTTCTCTATCTAAGGAATCACTGATTTCGGATACTTTCTTGCCACTCCCCTTATTATATAATGATCTACCAAGCAGCTTTGAACGTCCCAGAATAGGTGCATCCTATGCTGCCATTTTTTATTTTGGTCACTAAAATGTAGAATGGGTAGGCACCCCCAATACTAGTTGGCGGGGGGCCAATGACATACTGGTACTACGGAAGATGCCTACCTAAGGGATTACAACACAGGCCCAAACCACAAGCAGTTTCACCAACTTGCAACTACTCAACTAGGTCCTAGGCACCAAGGGATCTTTCGGAGAAGGGTTGTCCACCAAGCAGGAAAAGTGACTACAAATGAAGTTAAGATAATCTCTTCTTTTAACCTTAAAAGTTACTATGATGTTTAAGTTAAAAATGGATCTTCGTAAATAAAGATAAAGATGAGTGAGAATTCTTTGATTTTATATTACATAAGAACTACTTTAAAACCATACGGAAGTCAACAGCGTTAACAGAGCTCTTTCTGGGACAGAAGCACGTTTATTAGTACAATGGAGGCCTGTAACTTCCTCTAACCTTGGAATGGAACCACCACTCCCCCTAAACTTTAAATTAACAAAAAAGAAGGGGGGAAATGTAAAGGAACATTTGGTTAGTTTTTCGTTTTCATTCAGTAGACACGTTTTCTCTAACGATTACATAAATGTCACCTTACTTTGTTTCTTGTTTTCAAGAATTAGCAACAAAAATCTGAAAACAAGATTTTTGTTGTTTTCATCCTTTCACTTGCAAATTCTTGAAAAAAAAAAAGATAAAGACAAGATAACACTATGCTATTATGATTATAAAGATACCAATTGAGGGAAAATAAAGCTCCATAATTTTTCAAAGATGTACAAATGGCAAAAACCCTCTCATAATTTCACAGGATGAATACATACATCCAAATACTCGTTAAAAATAGCTCACGCCTTCAAGAAACCAAAAACCATTGTTTTCTGCTCTACTGAAAAACTTGGACATAGCATATTTTGGGGGCAAGAATAAAATAAAAGAACTCAATAAAAGTATATTAAAAGCTTTGTTAAGTCTATAAAAAGACAAATGTACCATAAATTTTTTCAAAAGTGGTCTTGCTTGAATAAACTTCTCACTTGTGAAAGAAAATAAGCAAGTCAAATAAATCAAACATTCTCCGCAAGTTAAAATCAACTTATGCACTTTAGCTATTTAAGATACTGTCTTATTTAATTTCTTCACAAGGTTGAATCACTTGTCTTCCTAGTTCTTCTCTTATAAAATGCTGATTGCGAATTTTATATAAATTGGGCCTATATTTTTAAAAGTAAAATAAAGTATGAATCAACACCAGAAAAAGGGATAGTTGTATCAAATTTATTACCAAGAGAAGCCAAATATCCTAAAACAAATTATACAAATATAGTCATGTGGTTGTTTAAACCAAACCTAAACAAAATATGAGTAATTTCCAAATTTGTTCCCCAAAACACATTAGACCCCAAGAATGGAACCCCCTCGCCCGGTCCCTCCCCTCGATTAACCACCAAAGTCAATCATATTTCATTATCTAATTAGATGTTTACACTAAGCGAAACCTAAAAGGCAAATGGTACCAAAAAGCAGGCGTGCCAACAGCTTAAGGCAACTAACAAACAAGAGGTAAAAACTCGGTTTCATACTACAAACAATCAACACTCCAGAAATGGAAGATAACACGGATCATATGCAAAATGCAAACCCATCACCACGCAACCAACTAATTAGAAAGCCGAAGAAATTAAAAAAATAAATAAACGTAAAAACGAAGAAACAACGATCCAATCAACTAGGAGAAGCAAAGTATATACCTGATGTCTCTCAAGGCGTCAAACAACTCAAGAGAATACACATTATCATCGTCCGCAAAGTAAACAATCCCATCGAGCCTATGATGCTCAATGTGTTCCAACGCTGTGTTCCTCTGATGAACCCCCCTGTCCTTCACATCTGTCACATTCTTATTGCACACCAAATGCCTATACATCACGCCCGTCTTCCTCAGCACCTCGGCAGTCTCCATCGACGCCGCCTTCATCTCCACCACAATCCACACCACCGGCGGCGGCACCAGCCGCAGCACCTGCCCCAACCGGTTCAGGAAATACGCCTGAAAGGCGCGGTCGTACGTTGGCGTCACCACAATTAGCGGCTTCCTCGGCACAAAATCGAACCTATCGTTTTGCCTCTCCCTCTCCGCGCTCAGGCTCACCGGATCGATCACGAAACCCTCCTGGGCACGATTCCGTAGAACGCGATCTTCCCGGAGCAGTTGCTGCGCGTTGTTCGCGCGAGGCAGCGGCGGCTTCATCTCGAACGAGATTTCGTGAGACCGAATGTCCTCCGCCACATGACCGAATGGAAACATGCCTAGCAAGAACCCTACGAAGAAGCACAGCACGCACCTGAACGCCGCTCGACTCCACTGGCCTTTCCGTCCGTGCCGGCGCGTGAACACTCCGCCGACGAGCCGCCGGAACGCCGCCGAAAGCGCCGGCAGCGGAGACGAGTACTTGGCGTTCGCGGAGGGTAGCTTGTGCGTCGGAGAGGAAACCGGAAACGAACCGTTTAGGTACTGGCGATCGGGATACGCCGGCGATAGAGTCCGCCGAAACGAGGCCATTAATTTAACGTCGGCGCGGAAAAATTGAAAAAACGAAAAAATGAAATTATGGCGGTAACTGAAATTGAAAAAACACTACATGAGGGAGGGAAAGGGAAGGATTAGAGGTTGAAAAGAATGGGAGAAAGATCGAGAATCCTATGAGATTAGGTATTGAATTAGAGAAAGTGTTTGAAGAGAGAATTTGGCGAAACCGGAAAGGGAGAGATGAGAGATCTACCGCTAAATGCTGGGTTATGAGTTGCTTCCTACGAAGAACATGGGAGAAAGAAAAGACTGCAAAATGCTGATCCGGGTCGGGTTCGGGTGAGATTTCAAGATCCGGTGCGCCTCCGGGAAAAAAAAACGAAGCATGTATAACTGTGGGCAACCGGTGAAAACAACAAAAACTCGTTACGTATATTAAAACACTTTTTAGTACTTATTATTTTTTATTAAAAAAATCATAAGTTTTACCTTTTATTAAATAAATTACTTTTTAAACAAGTATAAAATGTGTTAGAAAAATTTAATGTCGACATTGTTCAAAATAAATAAAAAATTTATGTGATTTAAAAGAAAACATGAAAGTATTTTACTTTATTAACTATTATATCTTTTTTTAAAAGTAGAAAAAAAGTTTCATACTATAAAACAATTCAACCTACCCTTCAATTACAAACTACCCTTATTAAAAGTTAGTTTGAAAATCATTAATAACACCTTTTTTTAATATATTTCATTTAATACATTATTTATTGTTAAGTAATAGTTATTAAATTAATACAAAGTATTAAATGAACGGTCTTATTCACTAAAATTATAATCTTTAATGAATTTTAACGAATATAAAGTAATGTGCTTGACCTTTTAGATTCTGTTTTTAATAAATTATGAACGGAGAATTTTTAAAGGATGTTGATTTATAGAAAATTAAAAAATATAAAAATAATTTGATTACTTAAAAAAATAATCTTAACTAAAATATTGTAGCTAAATTATTATTTTCGGTGGATTTCTAAAAACTATTAAGATTAATTTTTGACAAGTTTTTTTGTCAATGTCATATTTATTTATTTTTTCCTAAAGTTTGTTATGATTAGTTTTTTTATTGCCAAAAGGAAAACTTTCGGTCAACTATGACTAATATTGTTTTTGTCAATATCAATTGAAATTTGTTTCCAACAAACATAAGTAGATAAGTTTAAAGAAAATATCAAATAAATAACCTAATGAACATAATTATGACTAATATCAACTTAAAATAATATAGGCAATATCGATTTGCATATTTTGGCGACAAATAATTTTCACCCGCATGTCAACTTTCAAAGAAACCTAGCTATCAAATGAAAGTCGATTGTCTTCTTCTTCTTCTTCTTTTCTACAATTTGACTAATGAAATAATTTTCAAAATAAACTTGCCCATCAAATTATCCATATGAAAACTCGCTAAAATTTCCAGTTACAATTTGACTTAAATGTTAACTTTCACTAAACACATGATCATGAAATTGTCCATAAGAAGATTCAGTGATGTTCTAGGCACAATTTCACCAATACAGTAACCAATATGACAAGGTAAACTCAATGTTTATACACCATTCATAATAACACCTCTTTAAAAACTACCTATTATATCTTTAGTCAAATAAACCCTTAATCCCAAATCATCACTAAATTTCATATCATTAGAGAAAATATAGGTTCAATACATATTCTCATCATAAATATATATAACAACAAATTTTATTAATTTTTTTTTACTTGTAATATTTTTACCGATTTCGCAGGGTAAAATAAAAAATATCCTTTGGATTTTGTAAAATTTGTTTTTCAGCAGCATTTGTAGTGGGACGAGAAAATATAAAGTGAAATAAAAAATATATGAATGGAGGTTTATATCAATATTTATTTTTAAAATAATATCGATTTTTTAAAAATGTAGTCTACAAAACAATATTTAAATTTGATGGTTGGCTTAAATATATTACAAATATATAATATCCGATTGCTTTTAATTAAATATGAAAAAATTATATATTATAATAATTATTTATTTTATCCATCAAATCAAATTAAAATAATATTGTATTATATATCTAATATATAATTTTTTAAATTTAAATATTATTATTTAAATAAAATATAATTTGTTTACTTAATAAAAATTATCTTTTTACTTTTATTGTTTCAAAATAGAATAAAAAATCAAAGTTATATAATTTTTTATAAAAAAATATTTACAAATAATAAATTTATTTATTTTTTAATTTTAATTTAGTTATTTATCACGATGGCCAAAATAAAACTATAATAAAGTACTTATTTTTAAGTTTATAAATAATCAAATTAATAATATATTATAAAAAAATAAATAATCAAAATCATTTCAATTATTTTTACTAACTAATTTATCTAAAATGATTTAATTAATATAATTAATTATTATTTAAATATTTGTTTTTCTATCTTTTTAATATAATTTAGAGTTTTATATTATTTTTTTATCTATTTTAATATTATTTAACTGATTTATTTTTTATTTTTTATAATTAAATTAAAAATAAATTTAAAGTAATGATGATATTTTTAATAATAATTATTGAATTGAAAGTGTATCTAAATAATTATTATTTATTATTATAAATATATTTTATATTATTAAATAATATAAATATAATTAAGATTAATCTTATCTACTTCAAAATATTAAAATAAAATAGATAAAATAAACTTAAATATATAAAATTAAATATTAAAAAAGCAATATATTGTGACTTTAAATATTATTATTTGAATTAATTCACTAAAAACTTTTTTATTTAAAAATAAAAGAAATAGATTGATTTATGATTTTGATTCTGCATGCCCAAAATCTGTTTAACAATATTTTTTAATTTACAAAATAAAATAACACGGGCCTTCGTACAATTTTCGGATTGAAAAAATATTGATAGAGAATTTTATTTACCAAATATTTAATGAATAACTTTATTTATTAATAAAATAATAAAAATTATTTTATTTTAATTAGATTGTTTTATAAATATAATATTAATAAATAAACTTGTTGAATGAATTGTCTTTTTAATAAATAAAATATAATTAATTTTATTTTAATTAAATTATTTTATAAATATAATATTAATAAACAAAATTGTTGAATGAATGTATCTTTTACCATAACTCTATGGGAATCTCAGGTCCATTAGGACACAAGTTTTAGGGTTGGTGACAGAAGAAAAGGGTAACAAGGAAAAGCCTTATTATTAAAAATATGTGATTAAATTAATAAATGAATAAATAGTTTTATAATTATTTCGTCGCATACTTTTGACGTGATTAATTGAAAGAATAGGTATTGATTGAGTAATTAGCTCAGGTTGATGCAATACACATAATAAACGGTATCTTAAATGGTCGAATATGACTTTGAATATCGGTACGACGCAGTAAATACAAAAGATCTTGTTCAGGTTGATGCAAGAATAAAATATTCTTTTATATAACAGTAATAAATACATAAATTTTGTACCGTAAAATATTATTTTAATGAGTTTTTTTTTTTAAATCAGAGTGTTTTATTATTTCAATAAATTTAAAAAATTACATGTGTCTTACACGTTTATCCGAAATCCATTTCCAATTCTCTGTCTATATAAATATATTATCTTACAAAAATTTAGGTTGAATCAGAATTTTTTTTTAAAACAAAAAATACAATAAAATCAAAGAAAAACTTCAAAATAATAATAATAATAATAATTCCTTATTTTCGTATTATCCTTTATAAATTATAATACATTTTAATATCCATCAAAATATAATTAAATTATACTATATAATCGAAATACAAACTTAAATTTACCAATATTACACGAGATATAATTTAAGTTGCTTCCTGTGTTATTGTGTGGCATTTATCAAATACATTATAAACATTAAAGAATTATTATTCATATACATTTTAGTTTTTAGTTAATTTGTATATTCAACAAAATACCTATGCAATGGACATGGTACTTGATAATTTAAATTAACTTCAAGGTAAAATAAGGTCAAACAAATTAAATTAATTTTTAGATTTTTTTAAATAAAGAATCACATATGTTTGTTGATTTTTTTTTATTATCATAAATAGTATATGCATTTTATCGATTCAATTTTAATTAAAGGGGTATTTTTTTCAACAAATTTTTTTTTCTATTTCAAACAATTGTCATTTAAATTTTCAAAAAAGTAAAAAATACAAACTAGTACACATCAAAAACCTTAGTAAATGGTATCCCAAATTTAATTATCTGTTAATGATTGAAAATATGTTTAATATATATATATATATATATATATATATATATATATATATATATATTTTTTTTTTTTCTCAAAAACCTTTTTATTTTATAAAATTATTCATCCTGTATGTGAAACATTTATTAGTTTAGTTTCGAAATTCAAGAGGAATAGGAGAAAAACAAGTACTAAAACGAAAACAGTATATGAAATAAATTACCACTACAAAAGTATATAAAAATTTTTAAATAAGTTCTACCATACTCTATAATGTGTATTTAAATTTATTATTACTAGATAATAATTTAACGAATTTTTTTTGTTTATTTTTCTTAAAAATATTTGTACTCACTGCTAAATTTATTTTGAAAATATCAACATAACATGTGTTTTACAACGGCATGGTTTTGTTTTAAACCTTATTACGGTTAAATAATATGTATTTCTAGAAAGGAAACAAAACCATAACAGCATCATTAATATATACAGTAATTAAATTTAGTTTTTTTTTTAATTCTTACTAAAAAAATCTATTTGTGTATTCTTTGTCATCAAAGTAGATTCTTATAACTTATTTATAATGAGTCATATTTTACCATTTACCCAAAAATTACTTATATTTATTTCAATTTATTTTAATTTTTAATCAATACTGTACAATTTTTACTTGAGCATGTTTTTAAAATAATAATAATAATAGCTCGTTTATTTTAATTATGCTGTGGAATTGTTAAAATTTAGTAATTAATATAAGCCATTAAAAAAATCCAATGTTAGCGAAAATGATTTACAAAAGATACGTCTTAAATTGTATTCCATATAAAAAAATATTTACTACTAATAATATACATATATATATATATATATATATATTCTTTTAAAAAAAACTAAATAACTATTTACAAATATTTTTTTAAAACATCTAAAACAAAAAGTTTAGAATTCGGGTGGTGAAACCCCGAATTCACAAATAAACAATAATGACGAAGTATATTTATGAATTATAATTTTGTTGGGATTTTAATAGAGATAATAATATTAAAATAAGTTTCATTTGAATAAAAAAGTCACCCTTTAATCATTAGTATTGACCTAAAATAAGGTTTGTTGCATGCATTGCATGTGAGGGGAATACTTCGTAAGTTGAAAACGTGGGAAATTCCGAGTTTGATTACTTTTAACGTATCAATTTATTTTTTGCGGACAACGCATGCATTTGACCTTTTATCATATACACCATTTAATGTCTGAAAGAAACAATAAACCATTGAAATTTCAAGTGTCGGTTCATCCTCTCCCGACAAAAAAAAATGATTTTTTTTTTTAACATGTAATTGCTTTTATAATAATCATGTAAAGAAATAAACTCGTAAATTTTGTTTAAATTAAAGAAAAAAAGAGATAAAAAAAATCAAATGACAAGTGAATTTATATAAATTAAAGAAAAGAGAACGAAAAAAAAATTGTTAAAAAACTATCAATAATTTCGTTGATTTATAATAATAAAAATTTATAACCATTTTTAAATAAGTAAAAAATACAATAAATATAAATTAAATATTAACATAAACAAATATGAATTAATTAATTTTCAAAAAGAACTAATTTAAAAAAAAACATATAACAAATATATTAATAACAATGATATGCTTAATTTAATTTTATACAGTTATTTAAAAAATTAATTTAATATTTATTTATATATTATAATATTGTCTTACATTATATATAGTTTATAATTTTTAAAAATTTGTGAGCTTTATATATATATATATATATATATATATATATATATATATATATATATATATTTAGTAATTGTTTTCAATTTCTCAAACAAAACATCGTCCATATATTAAAAATTCTCTTTTTATTTATCTCAATACTATTTAAGATTTTCTAAAATGAATTTGCTTAAAGCTTTTGCTTCCTGCATTTTTCATAATTTCTTTTTACATTTTCATATCATAAATAAAATATTTTTACTATAATTTTATTTTTTATCTTAATTTTTTTATCTGGGTTTAACTTCTGCATTTTTATCCATCAACATCTCTATTATTTGGTTATTTAATTGTTTTGTGATATTGATTTTATTAAATATTTTTATAACAATTACAGATAAGTAATAATTAATATTATATATAAATTATATGATATTATACTTAAATTACACGAATATATATATATATATATATATATATATATCTAAATTGTTCAATATAAAATAATATAACAAAAATAAAATAAAATTTTAAATATATTAATCCAAAAATATATTTTAAATTAAGTGTTTGAAAATATATTTTTAAAATATCCACTGCATATATAATGAGAATGCAAGAAGAGAGATTAGGAGGATACAGGAAGGAACAACTTTGTCTATGAAAATATTTATGGGCCGATCCCAACTTCTCGTGGTTGCAAAATAGGTTGGTGGTGCAGACAGAGGTGGAAAAGGGTATTTTGGTCTTTCACTTAAAAGAACGGGGTGCAGGAAGCAAAAGGCTAGAAAGGAAGAGCATGTGAACAGAAAATGGGCTGGGCCTCAAACCATTTATAAGAAATTATGAGCGTCCTCTTTTACCAGGCATGTACATGTTTGACGTACAAAAGCGAAAGCCCTAATTCGAAAAAGTTGTTAGTTCATTGCATTCCATTTTGGTTTTGATTAATTGATATCTTAGTCTTGGATGTTGTCTTGGCTTCTAAGGTACAAGTTTAAGAAGTTGATACGCATGGAGTAGGAGATGAGAATGTTAATGAGCATCACGCGTAAATAAACCACAGGACTTGGTCCAAATTCAAGTCAAAACGCTTTACTTGAAAGACAAAAACATGGATATAATAATCTGTTACTTTTTCTCAACAATTATCTTATTGCAATCTCTATGGCAATGGTGGCATGGCAACCATCTACTCAAGTTCCGTATCCCAGATTTGTAGGTCATCAGAGTTCTTAAACAATACGAGTACATATTCTTTTCTGGGGAACCATGTCCTTTTTGTTTCAGCTTTTTTCTTCTTCAATTAATAAGTTTTGGTATCTATGCACAACATTGATTGGTGTTTATAGCTTCTTGGATTTCCTTTTCTTTATCAGTTATTAATTCAAAGAATTAATTATGGTGGGTCAAACCACGACAACAAATGGAGATTGGTCAAATGCTACCAAAAACTGATAAAATTTCAAACCATCACTACTACATCGGGGAGATGGTGGCAATTAATTGCCAATTTGACATATTCTTGTTGCTTTACTTTCACTTCAACTAAAACTACATTATACGGCCAAACCAATCATCAACTTTTACAACTTAGTAACAAAATTAACTTATACCGACATAGAATTAAGAACAAAAATATATTCTCTTATTACATATAGATATTATTTACAATAAAATGTTAATCAATAAAATATTATTTTAACAGTTCTTTTATATATAAATTTTTTAAAATGAGACAAAGTTATTTATATAAGTTGAATATTATTTTAAATAAAATAGGATAACAATATTGATAATAAGTTGAAGAATGACTTTAACCTATTCATGAAAAAAAAATGTTTATGATAACAAAAGCTATAACCGCAGGCCAACTTTAGTGAAAACGTACGTGAAAACACAATTTAAATTAAAAGAATAAATACTTTATCAATTTTAATTTATTAATTAAAAAATGTTTTAAAAAAGAATTTTAGAAAAAGTGATAATTTGTTAAAACTATTTAAAAAAAAATATAAACAAGCAAACTCTTATTCTCCATAATTTGGCATTTGTTTTAATATGTTCCATTACAAAAAAGAAAAAAGAAAAAAAAAACGTTAAGCATGTTTTATTTCCAAATATAGCATTTGATAAATGTCTGTGTATTCTTAGAGGTAATGGTTGTTGTAGTGGGTATGATTATGGGTTGACGTAAAGTGATTGAATTTTGAGTGGGGAAGATTAAAAATGTAGTAATTGAAACGAAAATGAAAAAAAGAAGGGTGAAACGTAGATTGTGTTTTAGAGTGGAGTAAGTTGAATGGTGTACTTGACCATAACCTATTCTATTCTATTCTATTCTATTGACTATTGTCTCTTCTATTCTATACCCTCCCTGTATAGATAGGATAAAGAATAATGATTGATGGTGGTGGAGTTGGCAGCGAAGGTGGTGGAGGTAGACAAGACACCTCTCACCTCTCTGGAAATGAAATCCCTACGACGGTGGATGCATGAATCTATAATTTGTAGAGTATGAGTTCAAAAAGGAACAGTGTGCATTCCCCCCTACGACCTCCCTCCATAATCATTGGCCGTAAACCAAGACTTTGGGTTGGGAGGTTTCCTGCATTTTGGCGTGAATCTAGGACTTATCGATCTCAGACCCCCATGCCAGACACACCTTTCATCATGCATCTTATTTCCCCGGACAATTTTTTCTCTACTACTTCAGTTCTCTAACTATATTTTCACCTTTTCTTAATTCTAATTCATTTTAATCACGATTCAAAATAGTGACGTGAAGAAAAAAAGGACTATATATATGGTCTAATATTTACTTTCTTCTCTTTTAAACTCGTTCATAATCTAATTCCAGGTTTTAGATTAATTTATTTATTTGTTTATTTTATGTTAAAAGGGTTTAAAGACAAAATCTCTCATCACACCCTCATATCTAACCATACACTCTCATAAGATTAAGTGCAAAATATTTTTCTAGATGAAAAAAGTAAGGGGAAAAAATATAAGAAGGTAATAATAATAAAAAAAGAGTTTGAAGATTTTAAGCTAAAGTTACTAATTTGAATCTTAAACCCTAAACCATTAAGCTTAAGAAAAATTAATGGTTCTTATAATACATGGAATGCTGTGATAAGACATTTGAAGGAAACCTGAATATATACTTTTTGCCAGATTAAGGCAATTCTTTGGTAGAATCTTAGCTAATGCATCGGAAAATCTCACTGAACACATTCTTTAATAAATTAAGAATCCTTCTTTATTCTCTACCAACTTTTTCGTATCTTTTATTGTTTAATTCTTGAAGTTTATTCCACCGACATCATCCCATTATGTATATGCTACACATTTCAAAACATTTTAATTAATGTTTCTAACTTTTCATTCATCAATTTGCTGGATTAAGTTGAAATGATTTCATATTTTTAAAATTCGACCGATGATCCAATTTTATAAAACAAGAGTTTTAGGTTTTTAAGTGGAATTGAATTGAATTTAATAAAATAATATTTATATTATAATAATTTATTAATATTGATATTTTTATAAAAAGAAAAATAAATAAATGGGATCGATTATTCAATCGATTAAAACAAGAATTTTAGCATTGAATTTAATAAAATAATTTTTTTTATATAATAAATATATAATAAATTTATTAATGTTAATGTTTTTTATAAAATAATAAAGATTATTAATAATAATATCATTAAAATTATAAATATAAAATATATTAAAAAATATATAGTCAGTTTTTATAAAAAATAAAAAAATTTGATCACATATTTTTTTATTAAGATCGATTGAAAAAAATTCTTATCAAATTTTTTGATTTTTTCATAATTTAATTATTTAAAAATAATATTGATTTTAATCCGATTTGAAATTTTTCCAGCGGAACATATGCTTACATGCATAACAACCGTTCATACCAATTTTTTGAGACATTAATTGAAATAAAATAAGAAAGTAAGTTGTAGGGTTAGATAAGAGATGAAGTTCAAGCTAACAATGAAAAGTTTTGAGAAAAAAATAAAAAAAATAAAAGATGCGGGTGAATTAAAAAAATGGAAAGTTTATTTGTTTGTTATTTTTAAAAATATTTTAAACTTTTTAAAAAAATAATCACAAAATTTATTTAACGGTTTTGTAAAAATGATTTTAAAAATATTTTTTTAATTTTTTTTAAATTTAAATTAAAAATAATTTTATATTTAATTAACAATATTAGTTTATTTTATAATAATAATAATAATTCTAAATCACTTATTTTTATTATTATAAAGCTGTTTTCTATTTTTTATCATACTATTTTTATTTTTTTAATATTATATTTTTAAATAGTTTTTAAACTAAAATTATTAATTTTTTCCACTTGTTTGTTTAAAAAAAATATTTGTTGAAAACCGTTTTTTTTTAAAAGAAGAAGAACAATGATTCATTGACAAGTATATTTATATTTAAAAAAAAAAAGGTGACTTTGACGACACGAATTAATATATTTGAAGGTGTGTTTAAATATGTGTTGTCATTAACGAGTGACTACAAATATTTCTTTTTAGCGTTCTTTATTCTTCAAAAATTCCTCCAATATAAATTCAACCTTCTTTTGATTGAACCATTTTTTTCATATCATACATGTTTTGGAAGATTAATCTGTCTTCTATTCTCCAAGACTCTCTTAATCAAAATCTAGATTTTATTTTTAACTGATGAATATGTGATAAATCATAATAACACAAGTAATAAATAATAATAAAAAATTATTATTATTGTTAAATAATATATAAAATAAAAAATTGTATCATAACTTTTTATAATACTAAAAGTATTTTTTTTAATTTAACATTTAAATTAAGCATATAATTAAATATATCATAATATAACTAATGCCAACATTTATTAGTAGCAACGTTATATCTAGGATAAAAAAAATTAGATTAAATTTATTTTTTTAAAATAAAATAATATTGTATCAAGTATTTTCAGTAATAAACGTGAATCCATTTTTCTATTCGACCAGTTCAATGCTTTATTTTAATACGTAACGCTTAATTGATTAATCAAATTTGGGGATCAACCTGATTTTCAAAAAATTATTTTTCTACGTTCCTTTTCAAGCCTAATTGGTTTGACCCAATTATAATTTGTTTTCTTAGAAAGAAAGGATGTTTGAAAAAACTTAACTCGATGATTTTACATGAAAGTCAAACTTCTATAATCCTCTTTGAGTTGGCTCACCAAGAAATTAAGAAAAAAAAATATATATATATATATAAATTATAATCCGGAGTATTTTTTTAATTATGGATTAAAGGAGTTTAGTTTATTTAATTCACGGATTAAGTGGATTTGAATCTTATTTTTAATATTTTAAATTTTCTTAACCATGTACAAGTATAAATCTTAGTGACTCAATCTATCTAATGTAATTATTTAATGAGAAAACCCTTAAATAAACTCATCCAATCTATGCATTTTAGCAAATAAATTCATTTAACCCACATATTTTAGTAGAATGAGTCCTACAAATAATATATTAAAAAAAATTATTAAATAGAATATTTATCAATTTATTCAAATTAAGTAGATTGATTTATTATTGATATGCATTTTTTTCTCTCATCTCATAAATCCTTTTATTTTGTTCTCTCTTCTCTTATTTCTCTCATTTCTATTTCATATCTTTTATTTTTCTCTCTCCTCTCTCACTTATTATTCTTATTAAGTTATTATATTGAAATTTAATAAAAATATATTAAAAAAATATTTTAAAATTGAAACTAAAAAAATATTAACTAATTAGACTATAAATTTTTTTTTACGATAAAGTAAATAATTAATTTACGAGTTAAATATATTTTATCATAATAAATAATTACTCATCTAATTAAAAAATATCAAATATTTATGAGTTAAATATATTATTTACTTAGTGATTTAATCTAAATATAATTAGGTTAAGTTATGATAATTAGTTAGATTAAATACTTTAAAAAAAATATTACTTTAAAATAAATATTTAATTTTTTCATAATAATTATAACATAACAATGATATTTGTAATATCTCAAATTTATTATATAATATATTAAGTTATAGTATTTATGATCATTTAAATAATTTTATTTTTCAAAAATAATAAAAGAATCCCCTTATCAATATACTATTTTTAATTAAATAATAAAATAGAGTGAAAGAAAAAAATAAAAACACCGAAGAAGATGAAAACAAAAAGAATATCAAAAAGTAAAGAAGAGAAAGAAATAAGAAAATTGAAAAAAAATATTTATATTATATGAGACGGATTTATTTATTTTTATTAAATTTTGTATGTTAATAAACAAACCTAGTTAAGTAAATGAATTAGAAAGATTCTATTTAAGTAATTTTTTAAAAAATTTATGAGTTAACCTATTTAAGGGCCTTGTAGTTGATGTAGTTAAATTATAAAATTTTGAATATAAGTGATGATAGAAGCCCCATTTTGTGAGTTTGACATCCCTGGAATAAAAGTGGCGATACGGAAAAAAAAGGTGGGCATAAAAACAGCTTTCACTTGTGTAAATATATGATGACAACACCAACTTGCAAAAATCCTGGTAAGTGGAAATCTTTTATGCAAGCTTGGTTAATTTAAGCCTTTTAAAAATGGCAATGCACTTTATTCTGAAGTGCCATTACATTATTCTAGAAAGTAGGAAATAATACACGTTTCAAAGTATGAAATTAGTGGGGGTGTTAAGTTTTGATTTGCAGCAGCATGGTGCATCTTACAGGATAGTGCATGGTTGGAAGTAGTCAAAATAAGGGGAATTGATTGCCAGTGAAGCCACACTTTTTCAAAAGCTTTACCATATTTGTATGGCTTTCTGAGGAATATGTATAATATGAATAAGGAATAGGAACAAAGGTTTATGTTGAGATGGACAAGAGAAGAGATACAAAGTTGTAGGAGAAAAATGCAGGGCTTGTGATAAAACCCCTTTGGAGGGGTGGCATATATCCACACAATCTGTGTTGGAAACTGAAAATGTTGGATACCCATCATGAAATCTAGGAAATGTTGATGCTGTACCACCCATTATAAAGACAATTCTTTGCCACAAGTGTGTGAGTATGAAGTAATACTAGGATTGATAGATATATAGATAGAGATAGAGATATTATTTATACACAAGTTGAAAAGTTGAAGATAAGGTGAGATGAGAGAAGTGGTTTGAAGCACTGGGTCGGGAGGAAAAGAAGGAGAACACGACAAACATGGCCTTGGCCCTGTACCATATCTCTTCTCTTCTCATACAATGCAATACTCATTGTTCTAAATAAATAAACAAAATGTACACATATTATTGTTATTGTAGAAAATAAGAAAAAGGGTAGAAAGAAAGTTTTTTTTTTTTTCTTTTCAATTTGAATGATGTGTGTTGTGTTGACAGTAGTGGTTTGGTTTGGTTCGAGAAGAACAAATGGGGTGGTGGAGAAGTGGTAATGCAGAGGCACTGTTCCAATATTTTGTCCTCTGAGAAGTAGACAGAGGCAATAATAGCTGGATTTTGTTTCTGCAGTTCCAAACAGGGCCCCTCCAATACCCCCCATCCAAACCCTTCTTCAGTAGATACTTCTCTCCTACCAATTATTGTTATCATTCTTTCACTGCTTTCTCTCAGCAGATACCACACTCCATTTCCTTGTGCCCTTGTCTCTGTCTCCTTGTCTTCAATCTCATTCTTGCTTCTTCTTTTTTCGTACACTAGACACCATTAATCATGTCAAATACTAAAACACACACACACCACACTCTGCCTCTGGCACTTTTGCTTCATTGCGACCCAAAAATCTTCATTAATCAAAACTTATCACACTTCTTCCATTCCCACTCTTTGCTGGTTTTGACCATTATGTTTTCATTTATAATTTTTACACTGTTTTCAACTACTTCGTCTATGTAAGGATTGTCCTTGGAATTCTATTAGAGGATGCTAAACATATTTTTGAAAACAAAAAAAAACTTCTGGAATAGTGCAATGATGTTAAAATTGCAAAAACTCAAAAATACTTCTGCTTCAACAGTTCTCAAAATTTCCTTCTCAGTTATATGGTTTTGTATGGAAATTTAAAAAATACTTGCGTAAATTTAAACCAAAGAGACAGCAAGACGAAATGATACCTCAAACATGCATTTCATCTATAACTAATGAATCTTTTACTAATATTAAATACATGTTCATTTCCAATACAAATTTCACTGAGAAAATAAGTAGTATTAAGACTCCGCTATGCAACCTGTGAAAAAGAAAGGTATTCATACTCTATAATTGGAAGGAAAAAAGCATAATTAGTTACATACTAACAGAGTTTTAAAATTAACCAAAATCTTGAAACAAAAAGAAAATGCTAAAAAAATCATAGTTAAGAATGGAGGGAGTATTAAAATAAGTTAAAAATGATTCTTCAACTTACCATGGCATTTTTATGTGTTGGTTTAAATTTGCTTTTGTTGTGTCCCTTGGTGTCATTGTCTGTGTCTATTTGTTTCCTTGCTCATCGTTTCTTTATTTGACGTACAGACACTATGGAAAAGAGCATTAAGTAAGAAGCATATATTTCTACGCATTTTTCATTGCCACTGTCACAACTCGTCCACCACTAATCATTCTGCCATATGTGTGCATCGTGCATTGAAAAACATTACAAAAACATATCATTTCGAAAATGTAATGTTTCTCGCATACAGACATGTGTCATTCAATCATATACAGTGGTCCTGATAAAAGTTAACGAGAGAGGAGAACAAATTGTTCATCAACACACAACACGTTACACGAGGGCGTGAGAGGAAGAAGAAGAAGCACAAACTTAAAAAATAATAATACACGCTCATGGGGCCATTTTTCTTTCACTGCATCATACGCACGTTACGGAATTGTACGACAACCATTTACGAGAATGTACAATTAGAGCTCCAGTTTTAGATCAACTCAACACCAACCCTACTGCATAACCATCATTATCATACCATCATTGAAAGACACGAGGATAAAAATTATTCCCTTCACGCCTCAAATATCCTTTTATTTTATTTTTTTAAATAATTGTTGCTGTTATCTTTTAGAAGGAATAGTAAGAAACGAAAGCGATTGAGTTTAAATTCACGTTTTAGGCTTGGTTTTGATGGACTTTAGAGGTATTTTTGTTTCCATTTTTAGACAGTCAAGAGTTATTGCCCTTTGTGGAAGGGAACAGCACGAACGTTACTCAGAAACCCTTTTGTTCTCCTTCAATAAAAACCGACATCTGAACAATGCTTTTCTCTTTCTCTGAATGGTCCTGGGAAAAAGTAATAAAAGACGCATCCTTTCTTTTATACACACACATACATACTATATCTTTTCCTCTCCTCATGTAAACCAGTGTATAAAGTTTCATATCTTGAAAATCCTGAATCCACTAAAATATTAAAAAAGGTTGCTTTACATAGTTTGTGGGAGTTTAATTTTATGATTACCATAGCGACCACCTAAAAGAGAAAAGAAAATGAACGTGAGAGAAACGGTGGGAAATTAAAAATCCTTTTTTTTTTTTTCTCAAACAGTAGAACTACAATCCAATCTGGTTTGGATTCGCCCGAGGAATAATGAAGCGGTTGATTAAATAATTAGTGAATTAAGGTATGGAGTGTATAATGAGAGGGTCTGTTTCAAGAGAGGGAGTGTTGGGAAGGTGATGATGGGTGAGAAGAATCTCAGGAAGAGAAAGATGGTTAGAGTGTGTTGTTGATGGAGTGAAGGAAGTGGGTAATTTGGGAGGAGCAGAATTAGCAGAAGTAAGTTCATTGGCCCTTTGCACTTGCGCGTTCCAGTCGGTGGTGCAGAGAACGAAGATCATGAGAGAAGCGCAAGAGGCTTGGGCCGCAAGCAACCCAAGCCAGAGCCCAGGAAAGCCCATTTTAGCAACGAACCCGAGAACAACAGCGACGGGCATGCCCACTAAGTAAAACGAGCCCAAGTTGATGTTGGCTCCGACGGTGGGCCTGGCACTGCCACGGAGGACACCGCAGCCCGTGGTCTGAGGGCAGTTGCCGAGCTCGCAGAGGCCGACGATGGGGAGCGCGGAGGCGGTGAGGTTAAGAATTTCTCCGTCAGCAGTGAAGAATCTGCCCCATCGGTGTCGCATGAGGGTGGTGAAAGCCATGGCGGCGACGCCGAGCGCGACGGCACAGGCGAGCGAGACTATCATGGAAATGCGGGCCCTGGCGGGGCGGTTGGCGCCGAGCTCGTTGCCGACGCGGGTGGAGACGCCAAGGCTGAGGGAGGAGGGGAAGACGTAGACGAGGGATGTGGTTTGGATGAGGATTCCCATGGAAGCAATGGTGGCTTTGGGGTTGAGGAGAAGCCCGCAGAGAATGATCATGAGTTCGTACCACCACCATTCGAGGCAGACAGAGACGCATGTGGGAACCGCAAGTGCAAGTAGGGAGGACCAGCCGCGGAGGCAGTCGGAGATGGGGGTGACCCACGAGTCTTTGTAGACTCCGGAGAAGTAGACGAAGGAGGAGAGGAAGAGGAAGAGGTTGAGGTTGGTCCAGACCATGGCTATAGCGACGCCGGAGACCCCCATTTTGAAGTGAACCACAAGGAGGAAGTTGAGGGGGACATGGAGGAGGACGGAGACAGCGGAGCAGTAGGTCAGGGGTAATGTGATGCTTTGTGTTCGAAGGTAGATGCGGAGAGGGTGGAGGAGGGAGAGGAGGAAAAGGTCTGGGATGGAGAAGAGGATGAAGGTTTGTGCAGTGGAGGATATCTGGTGGTCTTGGCCGCACCATAAGAGGATGGACTTCATGTTGAGCCAGGTGAGGGAGATGGGGATGGAGGTGGAGAGGAGGAGGAGAACGGTTCTCTGGAGGGTTAAGCCGAGTGTTTTCCATTGTTTAGCGCCGTAGGCTTGGCCGCAAATGGGTTCCATTCCCATGGCAAGACCTGAGATGACGGAGTAGCCGGTGATGTTGGCGAAGCCGATGGAGAGAGATCCTCCGGCGAGCTCCGTCTCGCCGAGGTAGCCGAGAAAGAGCATGGAGATCATGGTTCTTGAATATAAGAGTAACCCCGTCAGTGCTGTTGGCCCTGATATCTTCGCCAAGGCCTTCATTTCTTCTATCACCTGAACCGAACAATGAATACACTCAATGAATGCAGTAAAAAATGAAAAAGGACAAAGAGAGCTTAATATCATGCTAATCATAAACTGCCATTTTTCTTTTTGTTTTCATCGTGTGAAGTCACTATACGGAGATAGTAACTTGCGCAACTTCATTTAAATTACATTCACAAAATATTATAGCTACTTGGATTTTTTTATTTATTTTTTTCCCTTCTATTAATACTCTCTCTCTCTCTCTCTTATTACCTCGTTGGGAGTTGGCCATCTGTGAAGTTCATGTTGAAGATGATCATCAACGGAAGGGTGATGTATGAGTTTGGGGTCGGGAGTTATGATGTGGGTTTTAGTGGGACACAGAAATGGGGGTGACGAGGATGGTTTGGGATTACACATGATGACCAGCTGCCTATTTCTTCAAGCAGTAAGTTCTTTCCGGATATAATATGTTAACGAGTCAGAGAGAGAGAGAGAGAGATTGGTTGAACATAGAAGAGGTAGGTAGCTGGTGTTGCTGCTACTTTATTGGCCTGGGCTTAGTGATCGTGCACTGCGTTTCAAGTTGTCTGAGAGAGTAAGAGGGTTTGGTGAATGGGAGGGATGGGAATGGAGGCGAACAAGGCAAATGAACTGTTTTTATGCATGAAAAGGTGTCCCTACTAAGGTTACGTGTCATTATAGAGAAAAATTATATTTGGAAAAAGTTTTGTATTTATTTTTTGAATAAAAGGGGGGGTGAAAGAGAGAGAGAGAGAGAGAGAAGCTTGAACGGAAGAAATGCTTAATGGAGGCAACCGACCTTCTCTTTGTCTAGAAAAAATAGAAGAATAAGTGATTATAATAATGATGATATATGGCATCTGGAGAGCAGCAGCGCATACATGGACCTCTCCTTATCTTTTGGATGGTGAAACTCACGAAAAAGGATGGACGGATTTATTCGCTTTAATGGTTATTTTAACCGTCAAATCGATCGCACACTTTGATTTCATAATGATGGCCATGGTAGTGGTTTTAACTCCCCCAGTTATTAATGGATGGATTATGTGTGGATAATCTTTTAAAACACCACATTTGGCTTTCCATTTCCCTGTATAAGGGACACACAGAATTTTATCCTCAAATTGGAAATGCCAGTAGTGCAAGTGATGGACAAGCTAAATCGCCAAAGAAAAATTCCCCTACTTGTCGAAAGAACTTATTATTATTATTATTATTGTTATTATTCCCTTTCTTTTTGGTATGGCATGGGCATACATGCACGATTGTATGCATTGGTAACGTACTCGGGAAATTTTGAATTCATTTTTATGATTCTTTTGCTGTTAAAAGAAAGGTAGAAAGAGAAGAGAAAAAAAAGTGTCAATAAGAAGAGAACAAGTGTTTGTGCAAATTTTAACATACTTTTACTACAACATATTTTGTTTGGTTTTGGACAGTGGCTGGTAGTTGCTAATTTGTAGTGCTGGCAAAATGTTTGGCATTGCATGTTCTCTGAGGCAGCCAAGCCATGCATGTCCCAATCTTCTCCAGCCCATGTCATAAATTCCATTCCTAACACATCCATTGTCTATATATAGACCATCTGAAGCACCCGAAGGGTGAAACATTCCCTTGACTACTTTATCAAACAGATGAAGCAAGTTTTTTCTTGCATCCAATTTAGGCCCCACACGGTTCTATGCCTCTTGCTGTACTCCCACTATTATCACTTGTTCAATGTTTTATCCTCTACCAAGCAGATATGTTCAAATATATGTAGTTAATAGTGGACGGGTGTCCACTAGTCCATGTTACATATTTCGAGCTATATTTGGGGGATTTATTGGCATCAAACAATAGAGGAAAATGAGAAGTTATTAAGAATTCAAAGCGAGACATATGGTTACAAATCAAAGTTACGAGTCCCGTTGTCATGTTCATAGGTTGGTTTCCCGTGCTTTTATTTCAAACAAAGCAGAGGTTTGGCCTGACATATTAAAAAAGTAGTTGTGTTCCTACCTGGGATATTATTTTAAGCTGCAAAAAGGTTAAATCCAGAGTATATTATATTGCACTTTTTTCCCACTTCCCCTTTTATAAAGGTTATCTTCATGGATATGTGTATCTATATCTATCTATTTACATATGCAAAATATGTGTGTGGATTATGGAGGTAGGTGTTGGTGTCATGGAGGGACCACCAGTGGTGTTAATGGGGAATGATGGTAGCTGGCCGTATGGAGAAGAGACAGATGGGAGATAGGAGACACTAGAGAGAATTACGTGCTCAAATTACAACCATTTAATCTATATCATAAAATGATGGAATTAAGATGAACCTGTCTGTGAATACGAGAGCATGGCGTTATATATGAGGAAACACAAACTTCTGTACCATCATTAGCCCAAATACAGCAGATAAACTCTCTTTCTTTCCCTCGCCGTCTGAGCAACTTCAGCCATCAGTATTTCATTGTATGATATAAGAAAATAAAATTAAAAATCTCCTGTAATTCAAGGCCATCCCATGTCAGATTCCATGTGTTTGTAGCTCACCCAATTGATGTGAAATGAAAGTTATGTATCATGCAAGGGAACCAATTCTTTGGAATTAATTAATAAAGCAACAGTGAAAGTTCTGACAATGGACAATCTCGAAAAACCAGTCTCATCCAAAGAATGAATAAATATGAATGGGAAGAAACCTATCTCGAATTTGGCACACTGAATGGATTGGCAAATTGCAGCTGCGTAAGCTCTAGATATCTTTTCAACCTAAGATTAGATTAAATGAATCGAAGCAGAGACCAGTTCAGGATCACGTCATGATGGCGTACAAACTTACTGTTATCAATAAAAAAAGAAGGATAAGATTTCACTTTGACATTAACGACGATCATGGTCCTCTAGAAGCTCGAACAGATTCGTTAATCGTGTTCTTCTAACCTTTTCCACAATCATGTAGAGAGATGGGATGTTCATGTAGGAACTCGTCACAGGGACAAACTATTCAACCGAACCCTCCCACTCCTTTCTCTTTCTCTACCAGTTCAAAGTCAATTAAGAGATATACATAAATCTATTGAATTCCGTCGCTAGGCCACATAAATTATCATTTATGGAGACATACACTAGCATGTTCATACGGACTTAATCCAGAAAGCATTCCTGATAGAACTCTGCTGAACAGTAGAATCGCATTCTATACAATCTAGCATAGAAAGGCGTGCCAAATAATTACCAGTATTTTAACAAACGAAAAGAAATTAATAACCAAGGTTGTTTTTTATATACGAAGAGTATAATAAACTAAAAATATGTAACAATTCATTCATCTAATCCTCTCAGCAACAGTAAACACTTATTTCCTGAAAATTATGAATAACTTGCAAAATTAATCTAACCTTTACAGAGAAAGTTTTGCTGGCTAACTAGACGGATAAATTCGAGTTGCGCAGCTGGCACGTGGTTGGAAGATCTGATGACTAATAGTTAGGACAATGATGATATAAAGGTTGATCTTTTTAAGGTTGTGTTTGTTTGAACTGATTTGCGACGAAAGACTGTTCACGACGACAGAAACACGACATTCACACACGTTTGGTTGAACTGATTTGCGACGAAATGCAGGCGAGGAAAAGGGGGAGATGAGAGAGAGAGCTTCTTCGCTGAGGTGCGAAGAAAAGAGATGAAAGTGAGAGAAAAGACGCAGATACCCTGCAATATATGATAGCGGTTAAATCTTAACCGCTATTATATAGCACTTCTAATAGCGGTTAAATCCTAACCGCTATTATATAATTGTATATGATAGCGGTTCCCCCAGAACCGCTCTTAAAAACAACTTTTAATAGCGGTTAAACCATACCCGCTATCTATAATAACCGATTTGAATTAATTATTTGAAAAAATTATCAAATATGATCGATCATTTCGAAAATATAATCGATCAGAGTCAAATTTCGCTCGAGCGAGATATAGTCGCTCAAGCGAAACACAACCCGAGACTGAACAAGGTTCTTAAAAGGACCTTATAATAGCGGTTAAACCATAACCGCTATCTAATATACACTTTAGATAGCGGTTACAGAGGACCGCTATTATATCCTCCAATTATGATCGATCATTTCCTAAATGTAATCGATCAGAATTATATTTCGCTCGAGCGAGACATAGTCGCTCAAGCGAAACACAACCCGTGACTCCCAGTTGTTCATGTTCTTGCACTCAACCTTTCCACCAAGAACCAACTTCCAGTTGTAATTCTTTCTTGGAAAAAGGATGCTAACAGTTGCTTAAATTGATTGCTTTCTTTTTTTAAAAACTGATATGATTAAAGTTCCAACCAATTCTGTTTATAAAAGAGTTTACAGAAAAAGCTGCCTTAATTAATCTGTTGAAAGTTTGTTTTAATCTGTTGAAATAGCAGTTATAATCTGTTAAAAGTGCTTTCAACCCATTAATGCGTTCTTGTTCTTTAACAGAATTGTTTTAGCTGATACGACCAAGTTTTTATCAGTTAAAACTTTTTACAAACATTTTCTAAGAGTGATTTAATCGATTGATTCGCAGTTTAATCGATTGATTCAGTTTAAAACTTTCTTATAACTGCTATAAAATAACTTTTCAAGTTCTTTTAACTGATACAAAGAAGGGATAATCGATTAAAAACCTGCACAGAATTTTTTCTAAGTCATTTTAATCGATTGAAATACATTTTAATCGATTCAAACTCTGTAAAAAGAATTTTGAAGTCATTTTAATCGATTGAAAATCGCTTTAATCGATTTAAATAATTCTGATCGGTCATAATTCAATTATGATCGATCATAACCAACTCTGATCGGTCATAATTACATTCTGATCGATCATCCTGACTTCCAAAGTGGTTTTAATCGATTAAAACGTGTTTTAATCGATTAAAACCTGCATCATATCACTGAGATCTTTGCTAGTCGCTCGAGCGAGATCAGTTTCGCTCAAGCGAAAAACTACACGAGCATGAAATTTATGTGCAGGTGTCTTCGCTCGAGCGAGTTCAGTGTCGCTCAAGCGAAATATAACTTGTAATAGCGGTTGTAGGTGAACCGCTATCTAAAGTGTCGAGGTTTTGGAAATGTGATCGATCATTTTGGCAAAATAATCGATCATTTGAAAACTATAGGTAGCGGTTAAGATATAACCGCTATCACAGGTTACTTTTAAGAGCGGTTTTCTTTGTAACCGCTCTTAAAAGTGTATATTTAATAGCGGGCCAATTTAACCGCTATGTTATACATATTTGTAATAGCGGTTATTACTGGAACCGTTATCTAAAATCTTGATCATTTGACAAATTATATATTCTAAACACGACAGAAGGAGGTAAGTCATGAGCAGAAGTCAGGGGCTGTACATGCAGTGGTCACGGGCTGTACAGGCAGTGGTCACGGGCTGTACATGCAGTGGTCACGGGCTGTACAGCCAACTTCACGTGTTCACAGCTGATAGAAGTTACAGGACTTATTCTTTCTTCTGTAGTTACAGCCGATAGGGAAAGTTATTGTATTATATAAAGCAAAGCTAGTCTCATAAGACTAGCTAAAAGACTCTAGCAAAGCAAAGCAAAGCTACTCTGTTGTAGGTTGGATCTTCGCCGGCGGCCATTAACTTTGGTGTGACCTTGGTTGGTACGTTTGTTTTTGGTATATTGTCGGAGGAACACCCCAGGTATGGTTCTGTGTCTTCTCTGTCATGGTTGGAACATAAAACTTGGTTGGTACGTTTGTTTTTGGAGTCTGTGTGCATGCATAAGAGTCTGTGTGACCATTCAGATTTGAGGTATAAAACATGGCCAAACCTCCTCCACTCCAACAAAAAATGTGCACCATACGACCATGGTTTCTGACCTGTGCATTGGTTATGTTGTTGTTGCAGGCTGTATCTTAGAGGAAAAAATTACATTATTTTTACTTACAAAAAATGAGATTATTTTTGCAGTATCTGAAAGACTATCAGACATTTGTTAACACTGCTCGCTGTTGGACTGAAAGTTTTGCCAAGGAATCGAGTCGCGGGATTGAAGACAAGGTACCAAGCTTGTTGTCCCATTCTATATGTAAGATCTGTATTGACATGTATAACCTGCTTAAGAATATTGCCGTACTTTTGATCTGGATAATGCAAAATTCTGAAATCTAAGCATTTTTAGGTATAAGTATTATGACAATACTTACATATGATAAATTTATGACGACTTGAACGTTGATGTGGACCCCACACCAGAGGAGCAGCCATTTCACTTTGGCTTTGATGCAGGATTTGATACAGCTTATCGATCACCTCCACGCATGGGTTCCGACAGTCCTGCTGAGGGTGCTCACTCAATTCCATCTGCTGCGTCTACTGGTTCAGGTGGAACCTCTTCATCTCGGGGCACAAAAAGAAAAGCGCCTATGGTTGATGTGATGGAAGGTCAATTTGAAAAACTAACATCGAGGCTGGACACATTTACAGATTACCTCGGGCAAGGTAATACAATCACCCAACGATTATCTGACATAGCTGAAAGACAGGTGGTCGCCATTGAACGCAGAAATGAATTAATTAATGAGCAAGTTAATGTGATGAGACGATCATCAACATTTCAACATTCGGAGTCAGATATATGGGACATGTTAGTCGGCATGAACCTAAATGACGAGCAACTTATGCTTCAGTGTTATAATCATTTGTGTACTCACCCATCACATGTTAGACGACTTTTTGGCTTGCCCTCACATCTTCGTCTCTCCCAGTTGTTCATGTTCTTGAATGGAGGTGATTGAATGATCTGAACTGGAGGACTTGACTACAAAAGATGGATAACATTATAATTATTTGTTTGAAGAACATTAGTGTGCATAGATTTATAATTTTAGTAATCTTTCCTTTAATTATTATTCTATTTTCACTGTATTTTATATTTGTTTTAAATAATAATGTACAATTATATTATTAGTTTTCATAATTATTTGTTATTATCAGTCAATATTAATTATTATTTTATATTTTATAATTATTTAATTATTAGTCAAATAATTTATTTAATATGTCAACATTATTTGAATATGGATATGCAATGTACATAATTTTGTAATTGTTTATTTATATAATTTTTAATAACTATCTAAAAAAAGTTAATTTTTTGAATTTGTTTCCAATTACAAACACTTTTAAATTTGTTTTTTCTTTTAAATATATAATCAATGTTAAAATATGGATAATTAATTAAAAAATTATATTTATAATCATTTGAACCTTATTTGATACAAAGGGTAAAATGGTAATTTTCTTAAATAATCAACATAAAATTATAATTTTTATATCTCATATCAATCAAATCATTCACAATTTCCCATAAACTTTCCTTTCACTTTTTAATCATCTCCATTTCTCTTCAAATCCCTCCTTTTCCACTCTCTCAAATCCACTCCCTCAAATCACTCCAACCAAACAAAGCCTAAATGCTCTTTTGAGTCTTAGGAACAGACAAATGTACGAAGAATTGAAAGCAAATCAGACTTTCATGAATAGTGAAGTGTATTAAAAACAAGGATTTATTCCATGTTCAAAAGAAGTAAGATAAATTAAATGAACACATTAAATGACCATTATAAATCAAACCCATGTTCAATAATTATTTAAAAAGAATTATACTATACCCAAAAGAAAAATGGGGCATTAAACCGTGTCTCAATCAAGATGTTTCCATCAATTAACACATTCACTGTTGGCCACTAAACACATTCATCTAACTAATACAAACAAATAACACAAATTTTAAAATTCCAATACATCGTGCTTGAAGCATCAACGCACAATCAGCATTGCCTCAAAATAAAAAGAATTTTTCATGTGGAATAATTCTCAAACAGCAGCAACTCATCTTGGTTGGAAAGAAGATGTTTGCCCATGAGTAATTTTGGAACCTACAGAAGATGCCCCAACTACTTCCCACCGCATTAGCCTTTAAAAGCAACATCTACACAAGTGGTACTGATTTACAATGAAGAAATTCTCCACTGATCGCAGATAATCTTCTAATCAGTATTTGATGACAGCTTTTATGATTATAGTTGAGTTGCCAGGATGTTTGAAAAAGTAGCGATATAAGATGCGCTATCGTTCCTTCTACATCAAGAAAAATCATCCTTTCTTACAGCCAGTGGATAGTCCCTCACGGTTAACAAAGCACAACATTCTCACTGTGTCAAACAGACCACTCACTCATCAGGATGACAAAAGAGAGACAGAGAGAGTCAAAAGCTTCCAAAACATCAGAAAATAATAGCACTCAAAATCAGTCATCGGCTGAAAATAATGACCAATAAAATTAAAACACATCAATGTAATCAATTATTCGTATTACAAAAGATTGGGCCAGGGTATCTCAATAATGAATAGAAGGCTCAATAAAAAGACTACAATCAAACAGAAGTAAAACTTAACTATTTACGAATTACTGCAACCCGTTCATTTTCCTCATCTCTCTTTGAAAAGAATTCCGTGTCAAATGTAGAAAGAACATGATACCTCATACTTGGCTTCTAGACTTTTGACCGCCAGATCGGGGAATAGCTAAGACAGCTATGAATCCACTGACAAGGGCTGCAACAGCTGCCACACCAAAGGCTGGAGCGTTTCCTCCACCAAATAGCTGATCCCATGGTCCACTTCCCAGGGACACCACCATCTATTTCAAACATTGATATACATAAACTCAGCAGCTCAAATAGGATCTTTTCATACAAAGATTTCTTTTACAAAAGATAAAATCCCCATGAAATTAGAACTATAAAAGAATTCATGAATTTTATTATTTGAAAATAATTCTATAATCTAGGTATACTATCTTTGATTGAGATCTGTCAATCAGTTACTTGAAATGTGGTATTTGGAAGAAAACAAAAGTACAAAAGCAAATTTTCATTAAAACTGCATGATTGTACAAATTAGCAGTGCGACTCTGGGTAAATCTCATCAAGCAATACCTAATTTCAGAACATGATGGATCATGGAAAAGTGAATTAATTGAGATGGGTATTTCAAGTACTTTCTTCAGCAGACTGAATTGGTTTTACAGTGGCAATAATTCGGGCTCATAATGAATGAGAAAAATCAGAGCCTGAACCAATGACATAGACCATAATGTAAGCCGCGGTATAGTATAATGCATTTAATTGACCCATATATCCTGTAGAGTAGCCAATTTGAAATTCTCAGCGAATGTTATGTTCTTCAATCCAAATTTCTTTGAACTAATTTTAGAGGCTTCTAGCAGGAGTAAGGGAAAGCTTTATTACCCTGCGCTAGATTTTTTTGTTCTCGACTCTACTTCTCTGTAACAAAATGCTCATACTCTTGATCGTTCTTCTAGAATGTTTAGGTGAGAAACAAATCTCCAATGACCTAACTTGAGCGCTTAGGTCATGATTTGCTTAATGAAATCTTCTCAAGATATATGCCAAGGAATTATCTCATTACTGTTTTTTTTTTATACAGATGATTTATATTTGTGCCTATTTGAAATAGATTTCTTGTTGTACTCTTGTAATAATGAACTGCTTTTAATTGTCTTACACTGTGCAGATGAAAGGTGGAAATAAGTTGACCAAATTAAAAGTTAAAAACATAAACATGGATACCTTTAAAAAGGACCCATGTAACAGACATATCTTGACACTTGTATCAGGCATGACAGATCTCCCTAAACTTTTCTCAGTTCACATGTCAAAATTTTGTTTCTCAGTCAAAAGACCATCTCAATTGATGGCATTTTTGACCCCAGCATGAAAATTACTGCACTTATGGTTTTACTCCGCAAAATACCTTGGGAGAGAACTATAAATCATGTATAGTTAAGGAAGTTCACAGGACGAGATCAGAGACCATAATTGTACTGCTTGTTGCTATTAATGGTATCCCAAGACATGTATCAACATCAATTAATTGATTATTCATTTATACATTTTTTTGTCAAATGATGTGAAATTGTAACTGTACACGGACTCAGGACCACTTGTGACATTTAAAGCCGTAAGTTTTAGAGTACATTAGATATTGTAAATCTTTTAATTATGGTAATTAAGAAATCCTAGAATTTATATAGTTATAGTAATTAGGTAATTATTTTCTTAATCATATTGATACAATATCTTGAGCCTTCCCGGTGGATCCACTATCCATCAATGCCACTTTTTTTTGTTCGGGATACCACCCTTGACTAATAATATGAAAAGTATATAAATAGGGAGTAACTCTCAAGGGCCTCACTTCATGCGATAGTTTTTGAAGTTGAGTTAAGCCAAAACTCATTCTAAGATAATATCAAATTTTATCCTAGATCAATTATTAGGTTACCTACCATATCATCTACCTACCAAGCCTGACAGCACAGGATATGATGTGGACCACTAATTAGGATTATCGTATATATTCATTTAAATATTAATCTATTCAGTTTATCTTGTAATCTTCAGAAAAACTTATATGTAAGTCCCAAAAGAGCTCTATCAAGGAGGAGTATGCTTCTTGCTTTCACTATATGTCATAAGAAGGATGATTTCGTGTTTAGGCCTGTAACTTGATCCTATGTGAATTCAAAACATCTTGCAACTTGTGAAGAAGTTTGGGAATCAGCACAAATTCCTTGTAATTTGTACCAATTATATTCAGTGCCTTCATGGTATGTCTCCCTTGACTTTCTATCTGCTCATTGTATCTATATTTTATCATATTATAAATAGGATTAAGCCTCTAAAACATATCTTTTTCTTCTGTTTTTTACTTTTAAGTCAGTATCAAAACGGGTTAATCCCGCTCTACTGGTCTGTTGTCTCCTTCGGTGAAAAATCTGTCGCTGTCACTTTCGTCGACCATTATTCCAATTCTCAGACACGTGTCGTCCTTCCTTCACTAAAGCCTTTCCATGCGTCATCGGTGGGTGCCGGACCTTCCTAGTCCTCGTCTAACCTTGGGTTCTCTTTTCCAGTAAGGCTGAAGGTCTCATTTGGGTCTTACCTTCGTTGGAACCCATGTCAGCTACCTCCTTCATTTGAAAATCTTCTCTATCTCAACTTTGTCCAACAAAATGTCCTCTGGACCCATTGTATCCTTCTTTGAAACTCCTTCCATTACATCTAAAAAACTGAATGGGAAGAATTATCTCTCTTGGTCTACTTCAGTTGAAATGTGGTTCCTTGACCAAGGTGTTCATGATCACCTTGAAAAAGATGAGTTTTGTACCACGTGATAAAGCTAAAAAATGGAAGCAAACTGACTTTCAACTTTGCGCCCTATTATGGCAGTCGATAGAACCAAATTACAGATACTCTTAAAGCATTTAAAATATGCAACTCAGTTTGGGCAAAGGCTCAAAAAATTTTTGCAAATGATATCCAGCACCTCTACAATCCTGCCAATCGGCTTATTTCTCTTAAACAATCAGATCATGACATGATATCCTTCATGAGTGAAGCTCAATTTGTTGTTGAAGAACCAAATGATGTTCCTGGAGGATGATTCAATAGAAGAGACAAAGAAGAAACTAGATAAGTTCTATATGATAATGATTCTTCGTGTCATACATCTTGACTTTGAACATGTTAGAGATCAACTTTTAACTGGACATGAGGCCCCCTTCATGGATAACTTGACAACTAGACATATGTGCTAATCAAGTTGTGTTTCACATTGTCTGTATTCCAATATTACATGAGAGAACGAAACACATTAAAATAAACTGTCATTTCATTTGGGAAAAGTTGGTTTTTGAGAAAATCTGTGCGGAGTTTATTGGAATTAATGATCAACTTGCAGATGTGTTAATAAAATCATTAAGGGGTCCTCAAATTGAGTTCATTTGTTCCAAGCTTTGTATATATAATATGTGTGCTCCATCTTAAGGAGGAGTGGTGGAATTATTAACCTATGAGTTGTATCTATCTTGTACCTAGGTTTCTAGATCAACTTTAGTCCCTTAACTTTCCATCTACTCATTGTATATGTATTTCATCATTATAAATAAAGGGATCATATGAGAGGTGTGATTAAGCCCTCTAAAACATATATTTTTCTTCTTTTTCACTTATAAGTCCAATCTTTAATAAGTATTATTGTCAAAGTTATCAGACTTAAGAGTCTACTTAGATTCATGGGAGTTTCGTAGACTTGACCTGAAGAATTGTAACAATATACTACATATGAAACTTTAAAAATATCTTTTTCTTCCTTTTTACTTTTGAGTCCAATCTCAAATAAGTATTATTGGCGAGGTTATCATACTTAAAAAGTCTACTTAGATTCATGGGAGTTTCAGACTTGACTCGTAGAATTGTAACAATATACTACATATGAAAAGTAACATTCCAATTCAACAAAAAATGTAAGCATTATGATACCAATTCCACAATACCAATAATTCAGTGTAGTAGTACATGATGACTACTGTACAAGTTAAAACTACACCAAAATGATAGTTGGGTTATAGTAAGTGTACAATAGAATCCAGAGTTTAAACGAGAGCTACTGTAAGTTATTTAATGATAGTTTGCCTCTATATAGATGACCTACTAGTTATCAGTAGCAATGCAGTAGAAATTAAGAGGTTTGAGCAGAGAATTATGTTGGGGTTTGAGATGACAAATCTAGGATTGTTATCCTACTTCTTAGGAATAGAATTTGTATCTACATGTGATGTAGTTTTCATGAATCTATGACACTAAAATGCTAAAAAGATTCCATATGCTAGATAATTAATGCAATCTTGTACAAACAAATTATGACTTCATTGACATTGTTGTGTAGCAGGAGACATGAGATTGCTTATGGAATGAGCCTGATTAGTAGGTTTATGGCTCATCCATGACTTTCTCATTGGCTTGCACCTAAGAGGATATTGAGATATGTGAAGGACACTTTGGAATATGGGTTGTTTTCAAAACATGACAAAAATATTTCTAATGAAGTATTTGCCTATTGTGATTCAGATTGGTGTGATGGTAAAAGTGTCAGGAAAAGTATAGTAGGATGTGCTTATGATGTGTGGAGCATACTATTTCATGGTGTTCTAAGAAGGAACCAATTGGTGGCAATATTTTCATGTGAGGCTGAATACATTACAGTCTTAATGGGAGCTTATCAAGCCTTGTGGCTTTAGAACTTGATGTCGGAAATGAAATTAGAAGAGAAAAGCTTATGAAGATGCTAATAGTTAACAAATTAGCTATAAGCTTCGCTAAACATCCAATTACTCATTGAAGAAACAAGCATATTGATACAAGATTTCACTTCCTAAGGAATTAAGTCATTAAAAGGAAGTTGGGTCAAAATATTATAATACTAATGAACAAAAGGTTGATATTATAACAAAGCCTCTCAAGGTTGAAAGATTCAAGCTGATTAGAGAGATGATAGGAATGCAGTCTATTACTATTTTGAATTAAGGGCAAGTGTTGTAGATAATCTAGTTAGTATTGTATGCTAGTTAGGTAGATATATGATGTTAACTAACTATTTATAGTTGTTTTATAAATAGTAAGAATGGCAAAATGGGTCACGTTTTGGCCCGTCCGTCTTTAATCTACTAAAAACGGGACAAAACAGGCTGACCCACCATTACCAGAACGGGCTACAAACCCTAACCCATCCCGCCAAAGGACAGGTTAACGGTTAGCCTACCAATAATTTTTTTTATATGTATTTTTTTAATAATATATCTTTATTTATATGAATAATTTTTAAGTTTTTATTTATTAATTAATATTTTTATTAGATAAATAAAAAAATACATATTTATGTATTAAAATAATTAATTATAATCAATAATTTAAACTTAATTGATTAATTTTTATAATTTAAATTATAATATTATAGTATAATATATTTTCAATAACATGACAAAAAATATATAATATTTTTCATTATAATATTTTTATTTTTATTTTAAAATATAAATAATTTTTTAAAGCGGGCCAACAGTCCGTTTTGGCCTACCCCACCCTTAACCCGTCGGTTTGGCGGGCTAGGTGAGCCAAAAGGAACTGAAACTACCAATATGCTCCGCCATTTTTAGGCGGGCCGACGCACAATACCTAACTTGTTTTGTCATCTTCTTTCTATTCAAATGAGTGTGTTTAGCTAATGCTCTGCCATATAGTCAAGTGCAACTTTTTCTCTTTAAGAGAATATCAACCCAAATGGCATGATTGAATTGTACCTTGGCCCAATTGGTTTTCATCACAAAACAATTGATGCAACCCCCAACATATTGATTCCAATTTGTTGATTTTGTCAACTCTAACAATCATTTGGAAAAATTCTTCAATGAGTCTTTGAGAGGTCCTAGAATTGATTATATCTATAGTAAGCTTTGTGCATATGTAAAGAAAGATTCTTACCTTTCTCTACCTCTCTCTTCTCTCTTATGCACAAAGATGAATGAGAAACAAACTTCTTTTTTAATTTCTGAATGATCCTTGACTTTACAAAGAATGGCTTATTTATAGCCTCTTGTCCCTAGGAATCTTATCTTTTATTTTGGAACTAACTATTAAAATATAAAACAGAAAATAAATCTTATCTAATTTCCACTTTTATTTTGGAACTAACTATTAAAAGATAAAAACAGAATGACATATAACAGTTTTCCCCCCCATGAAAGCAGATCTTGTCCTCAAGGTCTGTCAACATGGAACACGTCATGTGTTGTGGTTCCAAAAGGAAACTTAAGTTTGTAAGCCACTTTTCCTATTTCCTCTAACACTTTATATGGTCCAAAGTATCTAGCTGCAAACTTTTTTCTCTGAGTGTTAAAAGACAATCCACAACAGCTTTCATAGACCCCTTTTCTAGGTCTGATATTTCAAACCGGGGCAATCCTACTGCGTCCAAAGCTTTCAGAAACGATTTAACATTTTCTGATTGTGATGGCAGAGAATTATCAGGTTCACTAATCACATTCACAATACCAGGTCGTAGCTTGTTCAGTATCTGGCACAAAACTGTACCATTGCTCAAACATGCTCTTAATTCATCGTCCGTGACATTTGGTGGAAATTTCAATAAAGGAAGAAGGCTAGTTAACCATTGAACCAAAATCAATCTACGTTTGGCTTTCTCTGTAGAGATCTTCTTGTCTAATTCTTTATTAATATCATCCTGTAATCGTGCTAGACGTATTGCTTCTTGGATGGATTTAGGGTTATGAAGACGAATTGATTTCTCTAAGGGACTTTCCAAACCTGCGAGGAAGAAACTGAGAGCCATGCCTTCAGAGATCATCACACGCGCTAACAAAGAATCAAAATTTTCAAGATATTCAGGCAAAGAATCTTGTTGCCGTAAGCGCGAGATTTCAGCAATAGGGTCATCGTAGGCTCCATCATCAAATCTGTTTCCTACATCAAGCAAGATATCGGTCCAAGATTTCGACCTGAAGCTGGGGTTTTTGATGTAATGTCGTTGCCATGCGAAGGCGTTGCCTTCCATGGATAACAGGAGCAGTTTCCCTCTTTGGTTTACTGGTGTTCCTTCTAATTTAAAAAATTGCCCTGCCTTGGCTTGCCAAACCCTAAAGTTTGTGCCATCAAAATTGGGGAATTGGAGCTGTGCACGATGTAATACTGACGTAGTAGATTCGCTTTCATCGTTGTTCGGAGGTGGAATGTTGGTTCCTGCTATTAACGCCGCCACGGAAGCTGCTAAAGTCTGCATAGTTTTCTGCATCGCCAATAATGTCGTATTCGTTTGTTCTTGTGAATCTGCAAAAGATTTCTCCAAGGATGCCACACGCGTTTCGAGTTCCTTGTTGGTCACCATGGTCGTTGCCTTTCAACTGATACCAATTGTAAAGAAAGATTCTTACCTTTCTCTACCTCTCTCTTCTCTCTTATGCACAAAGATGAATGAGAAACAAACTTCTTTTTTAATTTCTGAATGATCCTTGACTTTACAAAGAATGGCTTATTTATAGCCTCTGGTCCCTAGGAATCTTATCTTTTATTTTGGAACTAACTATTAAAATATAAAACAGAAAATAAATCTTATCTAATTTCCACTTTTATTTTGGAACTAACTATTAAAAGATAAAAACAGTAATGACATATAACAGCTTTTCCCCCCATGAAAGCAGATCTTGTCCTCAAGGTCTCGTCAACATGGAACACGTCATGTGTCGTGGTTCCAAAAGGAAACTTAAGTTTGTAAGCCACTTTTCCTATTTCCTCTAACACTTTATATGGTCCAAAGTATCTAGCTGCAAACTTTTTTCTCTGAGTGTTAAAAGACAATCCACAACAGCTTTCATAGACCCCTTTTCTAGGTCTGATATTTCAAACCGGGGCAATCCTACTGCGTCCAAAGCTTTCAGAAACGATTTAACATTTTCTGATTGTGATGGCAGAGAATTATCAGGTTCACTAATCACATTCACAATACCAGGTCGTAGCTTGTTCAGTATCTGGCACAAAACTGTACCATTGCTCAAACATGCTCTTAATTCATCGTCCGTGACATTTGGTCGAAATTTCAATAAAGGAAGAAGGCTAGTTAACCATTGAACCAAAATCAATCTACGTTTGGCTTTCTCTGTAGAGATCTTCTTGTCTAATTCTTTATTAATATCATCCCGTAATCGTGCTAGACGTATTGCTTCTTGGATGGATTTAGGGTTATGAAGACGAACCGATTTCTCTAAGGGACTTTCCAAACCTGCGAGGAAGAAACTGAGAGCCATGCCTTCGGAGATCATCACACGCGCTAACAAAGAATCAAAATTTTCAAGATATTCAGGCAAAGAATCTTGTTGCCGTAAGCGCGAAATTTCAAGCAATAGGGTCATCGTAGGCTCCATCATCAAATCTCGTTTCCTACATCAAGCAAGATATCGGTCCAAGATTTCGACTCAAGCTCGGGGTTTTTGATGTAATGTCGTTGCCATGCGAAGGCGTTGCCTTCCATGGATAACAGGAGCAGCTTCCTCTTTGGTTTACTGGTGTTCCTTCTAATTTAAAAAATTGCCCTGCCTTGGCTTGCCAAACCCTAAAGTTTGTGCCATCAAAATTGGGGAATTGGAGCTGTGCACGATGTAATACTGACGTAGTAGATTCGCTTTCATCGTTGTTCGGAGGTGGAATGTTGGTTCCTGCTGTTAACGCCGCCACGGAAGCTGCTAAAGTCTGCATAGTTTTCTGCATCGCCAATAATGTCGTATTCGTTTGTTCTTGTGAATCTGCAAAAGATTTCTCCAAGGATGCCACACGCGTTTCGAGTTCCTTGTTGGTCACCATGGTCGTTGCCTTTCAACTGATACCAATTGTAAAGAAAGATTCTTACCTTTCTCTACCTCTCTCTTCTCTCTTATGCACAAAGATGAATGAGAAACAAACTTCTTTTTTAATTTCTGAATGATCCTTGACTTTACAAAGAATGGCTTATTTATAGCCTCTGGTCCCTAGGAATCTTATCTTTTATTTTGGAACTAACTATTAAAATATAAAACAGAAAATAAATCTTATCTAATTTCCACTTTTATTTTGGAACTAACTATTAAAAGATAAAAACAGAATGACATATAACAGCATATGATTTCTATGCTCTAATTTGGAGGAGAGTGTTAGGTATTATAGATATCTCTAATCATGCTAATTAAGCAAATGTTACCCATTGCAAATATCTTTAATTATGGTAATTAGGAAATTCTAGGATTTACATAACTATGGTAAGCAGAAAAATATTTTCTCAATAAATTATCGTCCAGTTTACATACTAATACTTTATACCTGTAAATTGATTTACAAATTCAATCATTTCTCTTGATTTTCTTCTACCTAAGATCTACTGGGAATGCCAAACAAACAATTTCATGGAAATTCATTTGGTTCTCAGATCCCCCACCTAACAAAATAAACAGAAAATATAGATAATTTATAAAGGAAAGCAAAAGCAATACCTGTGGGAACACTATTGCAAGATTTAGGACTCCCATTGACAATCCTGGAAATACCAACAATTAATAAATAGTCATAAAATACAAAAAATATCCATGAAAGAATAAGGCATCAACCCTACCCACCTTGGCCAAGCCCCAATGACTGAATATGTGTGGAAATTAGGGCATATGGAACACTGTAAGTGATCTGAAATAATTGATACAAGAAGCCAGATTAAATTACATTGAACTCTCAAATAATAGTGATAAACTCATGCACAATGAATGGGGACAGTTCCAAATTTTAATTTGTGACACATCATGATTCTTAAAAGGATTAGAAATATGCCAGTTTAAGCTATGAAGAGTGTGCTGCCAAGATTGAGTCAATACACTGTGGAGCCACTAGATTTTTTAAGAGAATTGAAGAACAACATAATAGTACTGTTTATTTTGAGGGAACATTGGAGAATGGAATTCAGTTTGAGATAAAAAGATCATGCAGCCAAAATCAAATCAATTAAGATATTTCATATGACGAGTCACCGAAGCCATGCAAAAAGACAGGATGTCAGTTTTGTTTTAAGGACACGGGAGACAGAAAAAACATACGAGACACAAAGGGTCCCTTCAACATTGTCAGAAAAAAGAGAGCAAAGTGCTTTTAGCAGGAAATAGAGCAACTCACTGCAAGTGGAAACCCAAGAACGGTAAAGATTATCAATGCAGCTATCACAATGCCAGTCGGTGGTAGATCTGTGCCTAAATAACCAATTTTATTTGCCATATAGGTTATAACGAGCATTGCAATAAAGCAGACAGCCATCAAGATATTTGAGATTCCCCACACAAACCCAGGCCCACGCTTCCTGCATAGCCTCTCCAGGAGTACTGACGTTATTCCAAGAACAACTGAATTAAGCAACAAGCCAACTGCCCCCATTCTAACTCCAGCATCATAATTAAGGCCCTCATTTGGATCACCGCCATAAATCTCTCGTCCCATCCAATCAGTATCAAAAAGGAGAAATGGAAACCACCCAATCCATGTTAAGGCAGTAACAGACAGTATTGTCCATACAGGGGTCGAAAAATATCTGAATGTCCCAACTAGCTCCCACATGAAAGCTTCTCCTGCAACACCTGATTCCCCTGCTGCTTCTTCAACAGGGTGTGCCCCACTTGAATTTAGAGGCACTTCATGAGCTGCCACGATGCTTATATAAGTCGTGACAGCAATGAAAACAATGTCAAGATAGAAAGCAGACTTGAGATTTGCACAACTAATACCGCATGCAGGGGTCATAGTGAAAGCAAAGACCCTGTACCAACCACTGTATGATCCAGCTGCATATCCAAGAATATTACCAATAGCCATAAACAAGGAGAAATAAGCATTTGCAACCCGTGTCCTTCGATGATCCTTGCCTAATTTTCAAAGATAGATAAACAAAACATAATGCGAGTCAATGTATGTTCTCAGCGCTGATATTTAAAACAAATTACAATTGACATTCTGTGTGTATCTTTTCCATTCTTTTTTGGGGCTGGGGTTGAAGGGGTTTTATTCAGACATTGAAGGCCACATCTGGAGAACCATTAAGGCAAGATGTAATCAAAATAGAAAGATGAATGCCATGTCTTCTTGATTTAACTGAGATAAGCATTCAGAAATACATATCAAGCAGGCAATCATCTGTGTACACGTCAGTAAATTGAAAGCGAATTTATTATTTTCTATCAATCTAATCATATTCCATGTCTATTGGATCATTTTATCCAGTTTTTTCAGAGGGGGAAGCTGTCCTTTATCCTTTTCATTCCTACTGTTACCAAACATGAGACGGAATAAAACATATTTCCTGCCAAGAATCTGGTACAACATTCGGGATAGAATAAAACATACCACTGTTTGAAGCTAATTTTTTAATTTCAAGTTTTACATGAGATAGTTTTTCTGCAGTGGGAATACTTTAGATTAAAGACAGAAAAGAAATAGAACCATGCCTGTAGATGTGCAAAAGATTTACAAAAAAAATAAAATTACGAAATAACACACCAAGCCTTTGCTTCTTAAATGATACATTATCTAGCTTTAAGTATGGAACCAAATAAATGATAGGACAATGCAGCTTATGGTTTATGAGAATGCAAGTATTCATCAGATATTTAATTGCAAGAGATTATTTCTAGCGCTGAAAATTTAGCAAATATACATTTCAGATAGGATGCGGGTCCCTCCCCACCCCAGCCAAGGACATACCTGTCCAGTAGCATATAAAAACATCAGTTTAGTGATCAGTCTGATTTTAAAAACACTGCCAATTTCGGACTTAAAATTACTAAGACAAAAACACCCAAATCCCATCTTTTTCAGGCCTATAGCAAATGTCACAACAAAATAAATTATCTATACATTTTTTTTCTGTTAAGATCCAGCTGCAAAGTGAGAAATTTTGGTGTGGGGTTTATAAAGTCTTGGACTCTCCAATTATAACGGCTAGCTTTTGTGATGTAATTCTCCCAAGGTTCTTGTCATTTTCCTTCCTTTTTCCTTGGGAAAAAAAAAACTCATAATCTCCCTGATCATGTACGCAATCTCCATTGAATTAACACAACTGCTAAAGTCTTCAGGTTGGAGGAAAATGAAAGAAAAGTTTTTTTTATCTAATTTGGGTCAAAAGTTTGGAAGGGAGATGTTCCTATTTTTATCTTACCTCCAATTTGGGGGAAATATGTAGAGGAAGGAAATTGATTTTTAATATGTAGATTGTAGGTGATTGGGCTGCAAACTAACAAGGTCCAAGGTGAATCAGAAGTTTGTGAGTTGGGAGTATTTGAGTTAGTTACTATTTGCATAGAAACAGCAAGGGTTCATTGGTCTTGTGGCATAGTTCGGCAGTAGTAGGAGCGTCCAGAGTCTCTTGAATCTCTTTATGTATTCCATTGTAATCTTTTTTGCCTATTCTCACATTGAATCTAGACTGGGTCAGCGTTGTAGCAATAAAGAAGCTGCTTTTCTCGTTGATTCTTGCAGTGTCCATCTCAGACTAGACAAAGAGCTAGTGCATAGCCAACCTGCATGGGCATCAGGCTGCGGAGCATGGGGGAGGTTAGGATCTAATTGCAAAATAAAGGACTGGAGTCTCTCGTTGGAAGTATGGGATTCTACTACGGGGTTCATAAGGCCCTACAATCTCCAACTTCTTGTGTGGTTCTCCCAAATTCCAAGGATCTTATCAATTGGCTAAATTACCATCAATTCTTATTTCAACTCTCATCCCTTCCATTAATATTTATATGGGTAAACAGTTTACTGTTTATATTCTCCATCCCTACTCTTGTGAATCAAACAAAATGAGATTCTTTTCCCTCCCGTACCCTCTCCTCTATTAAAATCTTTCTCTCTCATTCTCTCCACTTCTTTGAGCCAAACACCCTATAAAGAATAACATCTGAAAAACAAACCTAAATAATATTTTTCTCTCCCCTTTTATATAGTTTACCTAAATAATATCCTACTTGAGAAAACTTATTTAGGGTTTAATACAATGACCAAAGGCATTGATACATTGTATTTATAGAAAAAGGGGTACAATCGAGAGGATATGGGCCTCAGCCCAAACCCTTAACCCTAATCTAAGGAACATTGAAAAAGAATACTAAAAGATACATAAACATCTCAACACTCCCCCTCAAGCTGGAGCATACAAATTATATATACCAAATTTGGAACAAATGAATTAAATCCTAGGTCCTCTTAAGAATTTAGTTAAAATATCTGTCAGTTGCTCATTGGAGCTTACAAATTCAGTTACAAGTTCCTTAGACAACAACTTCTTTCTAACAAAATGACAATCAATCTCAATATGTTTTGTTCTTTCGTGAAAGACTAGGTTGGAGGCAATATGGAAAGTTGTCTGATTATCACACAATAACTTCATTTGTCCAATATCACAAAATTTTAAATCTTGAAGGAGTTGTTTGATCCACACAAGTTCACATGTAGCAAGTGTCATAGATCTATACTCAGCTTCTATACTAGATCGAGCAAATTTTAAATCTTTACTCTTTCAAGAAATCAAATTTCCTCCAATAAAGATACAATACCCAGTAGTCGATCTTTTATCAATTGGACAACCAACCCAGTCTGCATCACAATAACCAAGAATTTGAGTATTACCTTTATCTTCAAATAACAACCCCTTGTCCTGGGACCCCTTTAATATATCTCTGAATGCGAATCAAGACATCCCAGTGATCAACACAAGGATTTTGCATGAATTGACTAACTACTCCAACTGCATAAGATCTGGTCTGGTAATAGTAAGATAAATGAGTTTACCAATCAACCTCTTATATCTTTCTGGATCTGACAACTTTTCTCCTTCATCTTTCATCCTTCATCAATTTCTGGTTAGGGTCCATTGGGGTATCAATATGCTTATAATTTGTTAGACCAATTTCCTTCAGAAATATCAAGAACATACTTCCTTTGAGAGATGATCACACCTTCCTTTGACTGAGTCATTTCAATACCAAGAAAATATTTCAATTAACCAATATCTTTGGTTTGGAAGTGAGCAATCAGATGATTCTTCAGTTGGATGATCTTAGTATAATCATTGTCTGTAATAACAATATCATCAACATAAACCATAAGATACACACTTGCCTAAAGAGGAATGACAATAAAACACTGAGTGGTCTGCTTCACTCCTTTTCATGCCAAACAACTGCACAACATGACTGAATTTTCCAAACCAAGCTTGGGGTGACTGCTTCAAGCCATAAAAAGATCGATGTAACTTGAACACTAAACCAGACTCCCCCTGAGCAACAAAGTCAGAAAGTTGCTCCATATAAATCTCTTCCTCAAGGTCACCATGAAGAAAGGCATTTTTAATGTCCGGTTGGTGGAGGGACCAATGACGAATCGCAGTCATAGCAAGAAAAAGACGAATAGTGGAAATCTTAGCTACTGGAGAGAAAGTATCACAGTAGTCAAGGTCATAAATTTGAATGTAGCCTTTAGCTACTAAACGAGCTTTAAGACGATCCACTTTACCATTATTATCAACTTTAATTGCATAGAGCCACATCCATCCCACAGCCTTTTTGCCACGAGGAAGAGGAACAAGCTCTCAAGTGTCATTGTGCTCAAGTGCCTGCATTTCATCAATCATGGCTTGTCGCCATCCAGGATGATCAAGTGCGTCATGAACATTATTAGGAATAGATGTATCAGCCAAAGAGACAACAAAAGAAGAATATGAAGGAGACAGACGATAGTAACTTCAAAAATTATAAATAGGAAAGGGATTGCAAGTGGAACGAGTACCTTTTCTAAGTGCAATATGCCAACCAGAATCAGAAGTGGGAGATAAGGTTGAAGGATCCATGGTATGAGATATTGATGGAGACATATCTGAATCACAATTATTTGTAAGAACTAGTAAAGGTGTAGGAGGTGAATCATTATGACCTGTAGACTGAATTGGGAAAGAATCAGGTATAGGCAGAACTTGTTGAATTGATAAACCATCTTCCATTGGGGAAGAAAAGAAGGGTGTTTCCTCAAAGAATGTGACATCAGCAGACATATAATCCCTTTTGGAAGATGGAGAATAACATTTATACCTTTCTGAAGGCGAGAGTACCCATAGAAAACACAATTAATGGCCTTAGCAGTTAGTTTATCAAGACCTAGAGATACATTGTGAACAAAACAAGTACAACCAAATACATAAAAAGATACATTGAAAAGAGGATCATCTGGAAAGATAAGAGAATGTTGAATATGATTTTTAAGAGGAAGATGGCATCCGATTAGTCAAAAAACAAGCAGTGAGAATTGCATCTCCCTAATGATAAACAGGGACATTAGCATTCAACATTAAAGAGCCTGCAATCTCAATAAAGTGTCTATTTTTCCTTTCTGGAATGTCATTTTACTGTGAGGACAAGTTGATTGATGTAAAATCCCTTGGGAAGATAAAAAAGAAAAGAAGGCAGAAAAATATTCTTTGGCATTATCACTTTTGAGAACTTTAATTATCTTCCCAAATTGATTTTTAATTTCATTGAAAAAGGACACAAAAATGGACAAAATCAAATCGGTCTTTCATCAAATAAACTCAAGTACATCTAGAAAATTCATCAATAAAGGTCACAAAATACTGAAAGCCAAAAGAGAAAACACGACTTGGTCCACAAGCATCATAATGAATATTTGAAAAAGGAAAAATTACATCGAGTTTCAGACTGTTTAGAAAAAATAGACCTAAAATGTTTTCCTAATTGACAAGATTCACACTCTAAAACCCGAAAATGTTGAAGATTAGGAGTCATCACTTTCAACTTAGATAGACTTGAGTGACTCAGACGATCATGCAAAAGTTTAGGGACAGGAAAAACTAGACAAGACACCGAAGGACTTGGTTTTAGATAGTACAAACCACGTGATTCATGTCCTTCTCCAATAAGACGACCCGTACATTGTTCCTGAATAACAAACGAATTGGAAGTAAAGGTTACAGAACAATTCAAAGAACGAGTAAGTTGACTTAGAGAGATCAAGTTATAAGGATAATTAGGAATGAAAAAAACAGAATTTAAATTTAGAGGTGGGGTTAAAGGAACTTGGTCAACACCTTGAGATTTCACTTTGGATCCATTAGCTACAGTGATTAAGTGAGAAATTTTAGCATAGGACATGAAGGAAAACGATGAACTATTACCAGATATATGATCAGAGACACTTGAATCAAGAAACCATGGGTTCTGACCTTCTACAAATTGAGAAATGCATGCAAATGAAACACTTGGCATTGAAGAGGATTGACCCTGACTGTTAAACTTTCCAGATTTGAACTTCAAAAACTCCTGATACTCCTTATCAGAAATCTTCATATCTAGTTTCTCTAATTTAGATGCATGTGCAATCTTATCAGGAAAGTCATGCAAGGAATAACAATTTTCCTGCATGTGTCACATCCTCTTACAATAGGTGCATTGAGGACAAACTTTCGAACTACCACGTCCACCTCGATTATTGTGTCCTCCCCCTCGACCCTAAGGGGCAACCATAGCAGAAGTTTCAACAGTTTCCACCTGATTCTCATCAACCATGTGATTAGGAACCCGAATCAACCTAGTGACAAGATTATCCATTGATGGAACATGATCGCCAGCTACGATTTGATCACACACGTGATCAAAATCATAATGCAGACATCTCAAAATTAAAATCATATATAGCTTATCGAGTTTGGTGTTTAACTCCTCTAAGGTATTTGTAACAAGAAACATTTTTAATTCTTCAACAGCAGCCCTACCTTTTGCAATGTGAGTCATCATGTCATGATTGGTCTGCTTAAGTGACGTCACTCTTTGAGTTGCATCAAAGAGACGTTGAATATTATTAGCAGAAATGTCTTGAGCTTTTTTTCCAAAAAGAAGAATAGGTTTTGAATGACCTGAGAAGCTCAAGAACATCCGGTTCCACAGATTGCCATAAGATTGCACAAAGTTGGAAGTCCATTTTCTCCTACTAAGACCTTTCTGCAGTGAAAATAGAATCTACATCCTTCTCCAAATGGTCGTGATGCCCTTGACTGAGAAACCACAGCTCAACTGAAGCAGATTAGGACAAGAAATTTTTCCAGTTGAGCCTGACACTAGTTATGGTGGAAGTAGCAGAAAAGGTGAAGACAGAAGATGAGACCATCAGAACCAAAAAAGATGAATAAAGTCAACAAATAGGGGTATCCACGAGACTTTTCACACAGTTCTCAAACCAGAAAACGAAGGGCACCACTGGAATCAAAGGATGCGCGGCAAGTCGAACGGAGGTGATCGACCTTGATTTCAGCCACTGGAAGGCGGCGCGTGGGACACACGCGCCTAAGAGGGCTCACCTGGGGATGACCGCGCGTGGGGCAGCTGACGGAGGAGCGACTTGCAAAGGTGGGTGGTGCTCCTCGAGGCGAGCAAAATCCCTCCTTCGCCGGTCCAAACGGAGACGATGGTCGACAGTGACGATGACAAACGGCGGTCAGAACTGACAAAAGCAACCGAAATCAGTGCGGGATCTTATCCGCTCTGATACCAACTTGAGAAAACTTATTTAGGGTTTGATACAGTGACCAAAGGCACTAATACATTGTATTTATAGAAAAAAGGGTACAATAGAGAGAATATGCACCTCAGCCCAAACCCTTAGTCTAAGGAACATTGAAAAAGAATACTAAAAGATACATAAACAACAAATCTCAAGAATCCTAAATTATAATAGCTTCCTAGCATAAATCTTTATAAATTATCCAGTTGTTTAAGGATCATCGGAATCACAGGGTCTCAAAAAAAGTAAAAAGATAGCACAAGGTGTGATAGATATCAGAAATCAACCAAGTTAATGAAGTGTAGTAGATATCAGAAGTCAGAATTGAAAGGAGACAATGAATTATCTAAAAAATAAAACTCTGTACATAAATGTATATTACGAAAACTGTGAGCACGAATATCAATCAATGAGCTAGGCTAACTGGTTTTACGTTTACGGCGGATAAGAGCTACATAATCAGTTATAAAAAAAACTGAAAGCCTAATTTAAACATATCTTACATATAGCAAACCAAATCATCAGAAATACAATGAATAAGACTACATGAGATATATTATAACCAAAATCCTACCCTTATATATAAATATATATATATATATATATATATATATATGATAATTGTACTATCTTGCCCTGGATCAGTCTTGACCTGATCGTGCCCATCGTCGGTCTTGGACTCACTGGTCTGCAGATCTGATTCGATCTTATCAGATCCTTGATTATCTAAAATGATCTATTTAAAATGACCGTTATTCAGAAGACTTGCTTGAAGGCTTAAATAAGACAAAATCATGAGTTTCATGTGATATAGCAGGATATCAGGAATTTTAGTTCCCTACTAAGGAAATCTTATTTACTTTCCTGATTACAACATGGGAAGTGCACTGTATTCATACACCGGAAAACCCATGTTGGGGAAGACAATTTGAATCCTAAAGGTCACTCTATCCATAGGGAGATTTTTCTATCTGAAACAGTAATAAATGACTCGTGGTTTCCTTGACCGGAAACAAATGTGAGACATTTGGTGCAATTTTATCTGTAACTATGAATTTGGAGATAAGTAAATCCTTGAATAGCCTTGCACAAACAGCCTCAGTTTATGGATCTCATCAAAATTTTCCATATTGAACATCAACTTTTCATCTACTACTTTGTCACACAATTCAGTATGTTGAAAATTGGGAGATCAACATTACCTAATAGTTAGCTAATCAATTTGGTAGTCTTTTAAATATTCCCTCGGCAGGTTACTCTAATAGTAATAAACCTAAACAACAAACATGTTGGAGCGAAACTGAATATATGACAGCCTAAATTTATTGAAGAATCAAGAAAAAACAAATATGTAATTGATTTCTACGGAGGAATGTGCAAATTTAGGGATTTGATTTGGTCCTCAACGATTGGAAATTCATAGGGAAGAGAAACCTACCAGTGAGATCACCAAGCAAAGCTCTACAGGGGCCCTGAGTGACGTTGTTAGCCACGTCCAAAATCCAAAACCCGAAAACGAAAACGCCCACAGCCCAGGGGCGATGTTTGGGGGTGTCGCCGAACCACCACCCGATATCGGCTGAGTGACCGATGATCAGAACAGCGACGATGATCGACAATGCTCCGCCAAAGATAAACGGTCTCCGGCGTCCGAACCGGCTGGTGCACCGATCGCTCAAGTGACCAACCAGGGGCTGGACCAGCAGCCCAGAGAGCGGCCCACACAGCCATATGATGCTAGCCCACACGTGCGGGATCCCCAGCTGCTGCACGTACGGCGTGAGAAGCGAGAGCTGCAAGGCCCACCCGAACTGAATGCCTCCTGCAACCGACGCTACCCGCAGCAACAGCCTCAACGGAACCCTAGCCGGGACCTCCGGTCGAGCCTTGAACCGGCGTTGTTGGCGGGGACGGTTCTGCTGAACTTCTTGATTCGCCATTGTGTCTGAATTCCAAATTCCGTGACCCTTCTGTCCCCATCTCTAGCTTGTTCGCAATCTCGGTGTGACCGTTTCCTCAGGGCATCGCGCAAAACCAGGAGGAGAGAGAGAAAAAGTGAGAGGTGGCGCTTCCGCTGGAGACGGTGCATTGTAGCACACTGCATTCTGTTAAGACACTTCACTTCGGACAGACAATGTGTGACTCTGTCAATGGGAATGTTTTTAGCAAATATGCCCCCACGCCACCATATATCTATTTACGGATCCGTCCTCACGCAATAACGTTAATTTGGACACCAACTGTTTGTTATTTGGAATGGAATTTTTATTTGGTAATAATAATGCTTTCCCCCTGCTTTCTTTTCTGGTTCCAGTTTGGAATGCCAAATGACAACTTTACCCCTCAGCAAACGCCAATAAAATGTGTTTATGTAATCAGTGATATCAGAAAAATGTGACTAGTGCTTGTCTGTATAATGTCGAACACATTAATTGCCTTACTGTTTGTGAAGCAGAGATGATATGGGATGATAGGCAAGTTTCACTTGATAGACGCTGGATTAGCTCAACGCTGAGTTTGATCCAATTTGGCTCTTTTCTTGGCAATGTGGAGTATGGCATCAGACAAATTGCCAAATTGCCTAATGGGGCTCTGCAAAGAGATCAGTAAGAAGCATAGCCATGACAGCCCAACCTTATCTGGCCGCGAAAACATTACGCTCATAACTTGAAACTGCGCCATAACTTTCTCTAAATGTTACTTTATGGAACCAGCCACCGCCTCATCGCCCCCAGATTCTTATAAACCATTCAGGACTAAGACAACCACTCCTTCAAAAATTAGGAACACAGGAATTCTTTTCCTATTGGATAATTGGACTACCATTTTCCCCCCTTTTTGGTCCCGTTTGGGTCTGATACCAAGTCCTTCTCGTTAAACCAACATAAAGTAAACAATTTGATGGAAATATATTACTGTACTATTATAAAAATATTTATAGTGTTAACTAACTAATTAATTAAAAATACTTCCTTCGTCCCATTATAATTCTCATCATCCTAATTTGTTCTGTGGACAAAAACAATAACCAACAAAAAAATATAAAAAAAACGGTACTTTTTATTTATTGTACAGCAGTTTGACATGGCAATTGCTCTAGATGGCTGATACGTGTTGTTTTTCCGCGTCGGCCAAACCAACGACGGAGGATCCTTGACGCCCACCGCCATTGCGCAACCAACCAACCCTAGCCCATCCCTATACAGTTACACCACTCTCATCCTCGTACTCCGCGAAGAAGCGAAGGTCCTTGCCTGCTAAGAAAATTTATTCTCCAAGTATAAAATATTAAACAAATCAAGAAGACCACTCACCCTTACCAGCTAAGAAAAAGTAATCCCCAATTAAAAAATAAATAAACAAAACGACAACAAGATGCTTATAAATTGCGCACATTCCTCGAATCGCAGAACCAATAAACCATCACTCTCAGAAACACTTACACTACGACTACTGCACAATGTCAATGTTCGCGAGCACGCCCCAGCAGAATGTTGAGAAATCGTTCGAGGCGTTCTACGAGGGGTGGCTTGCGCGGCACGAGATTTTGTTTGAGCAGCTTCAGAGTGTGACGCCTGATGATGACAGTGTTCAACAGAGGAAGCTGATAGAGCAAGTTCTGTGTCACTATGAGCAATTTTTGGAAGAGAAATCGAACGTGGCGAACGGCGACGTTTTCATTCTCTTTTCCTCGCCCTGGCTTTCTTCCTACGAGAGGTCTCTGCTCTGGAATGGGGACTACAAGCCCTCGCTCATTCTCCGTCTCGCGGACGGCGCCGTCAAGAGCTTAACGCCAGAGCAGAGGGAGAAAATGGAGCGTGTGAGAGACGAGACGAAGCGAGCCGAGAGAGAGGTTTCCGAGGCAATGGCTTCCGTTCAAGAGAGCATGGCGAGTCCGCACATGGTGGCGCTTATCAGAATGGTTGACGGCGAGAAAACGGAGCAGGAAACGGCTCTTCAGGGTCTCAAGGAGGCGCTTAAGAAGGTTTCCGAGAGAGGAGACGCGCTCCGCGCGTTGACGATGAAGAAGGCGGTGGAGATCTTAAGCCCGCCGCAGACGGTGCAATTATTGACGGCGACGATGCGATTTCAGATGCGCGTAAGGAAGTACGGTTTGCACCGAGACGAGGTTGGACCGTCACATTGACTTCAATCCGTATACCGACCCACGTGCCACGCGTGACGCACCCGTCCCTTCCTATTAGCGCGTCTTCTTGGCTTCTGAAGAGACCGCGAATTTCTTTACTACTTAAATAAGTCAATAACTGTTTCAGCTTCAGTTTAAGTTTGATGAAAAATAAGAATCGTTTGACTTTACTAAAAAAACACAAAAAATGTTTTTTATTATTAAAATGTTATCTCATTCTAGTTTTGATGCATTTTTTCAAATTAGTGAAACAAACCATTTATATTATATTATTAATTTATTATGTTTAACAATAAGTACCATTAGAGTTGCATTTTTGTTTACGCGTGACCAAGCCCATTTGCTGATACTGAATTTCTCTTTGTTTTCTCTTGACTGCATCGTGAGGTATATATCAACAATAGAATGGGCATTAATATTGGCACCACCTAAATTTCTATTAAAACTCTCCGTTTTCACAAATTTGTATTTTTGCTAAAATATCTGCAAGCGTGACATTCAAATTTTGTTTATTATTTTCTATCTTAATAATATTCTTTTGAGATATATAAAAATAAACGCATGTTTTTGTTGTATCTTAATAGGATGTGTCAAAATATATAATCAAAACATAAAACAATATATCTCAATGAATTTTTGTCAAAGATACGACTTAAAGTTTTGGTCAAATTTATATTTACACATTAAATATATATTTTATGCGTGTTCATAATATTTTCAATAATAATATATTTATATTTGAATATCTGTGTTTGTCTATGCGTGGATATTGGAAACGTCAAATAGGTAGAAAATTTAATAAGAGGGAAATGTTGAAAAAACAATGTAGGAAAGTGACAAATGTATTTTCATGAGTAGGAAGAAAATTTGTCACGGCATGTTTTTGGTGGTTCAATATATTATTTAATCACAGCTAATAGTATTAGTGTTGATGTATAAAAAACTGTTCAATCTAATGTTCTTATTATTTTCATAAATTTGCATACAAACCCATGCAAGAACACATATAAATTAGAAGTTAAAAAAAAAATAGGGGTAGAAGGTAAAAAATAAAGTAATACATTTTGGGTAAAAAGGAGAGACTGATAATAAATAAAGTAGACTCATAGTAATATTTAAAAAAACATATATATTGTGTTCCTTCGGTTTTACTTTTTAAAACATGGCATATTTAATTTAAAATTTAATATTTTATAATGATTTTAAATATGTATAAATGTAACTTTAAGAGGTAAAGAGAACAATATCTATAATTCGAACATTTGTTGAGGATTATTTTTTTTAGAATAGAAAAAAATGAGAGTGTAATTTAATTTTATCCACTAGAGGCCCATCTAACTCGCCCTCCAATTTGACGGGATACTATTTCGGCCCATCATGAACGAAAAGTTTAATTTGACAGAAACTTTCTTTCTTGTCTATCTGTATGCTTTTATTAGATTAAAAAAAATAATTTTAATTTATTAATATCAAGACATCATGGAATTTAAAATACATTTTTAGAACCAATGGGTTATTAGTGGCAAACTCATCACAATTACTATTTAAGGAGGTCTAAATAAAAAAACCTAGAAATTATGTCTGTTAGACCGGTTTATGTCGCTCAACGTAGTTAAATATGTAATGTAGATTTGGACACCGGCCAGAACTAAATTTTTTATATATAAAACATTAATTAAATGTAAAAAATAAATTATTATAAAGAAGATTATACAACTTCATTATTATTATAATTATGCCTGTTATGATGAATTTTAGGTTTTTATCATTATACTTTAGGTTTTTATATTTTATTAATAATTTATTTCATTATTTTTTTCGTATAATTATAGTTACTATATTAAACAATTTATAAAAAAATAAATAATAAATTTTTTAATTAAATTAAATCAATAATAAAATACTTAAGAAAAAATATTTTCATAAATCTATATCTTATATTTTTTAAAATAAAAAATAATTTATATAAATTACTTTTATTAGAAATGTCTTCACCGCCATGTCACCTCACTCACGATATACAAATTATTTGTCAATGTCACACAATAAGAATAAACTATATAAAACTTAATAAGAATTTTGATAAATTTACCATGGCCACAAACAGTAAAATGGATAGTTAAGTTTACGCATAGAATAGAATAATACTAAAGTTACATAACCTTTATTTGTTAGTTTATTTTAATTTTTTAAATATTTTATTTTAAATAAAAGAATATTAGAAGGTAAAGAGATGAAAAATTTTGTAAATGTGAGCTATTATTTTCTTAAAACAAAAAATAAATTTTATATTATAATATTCATTCATTTATTTTAACACAATACGTGCATGTTTATTGTTTAACACCTTTTTATACTTTATATTTTTTTAAGTTAATTACGTAATATTTCCTTCTTTCTTTTTTTTACTCTTTCAAATAAACTTTAGATTTTTTTTCTAAATTTAAAATTCTCATATTTAGTAATATTTCCCCGTAATTTTTATATTGTTGTATTTGAATTCTTTTTTTTTATCTAACAAAGTAGACCAAACCTTATTTACAATTATTATTTTTTTGCTATAACAAAGCTATCATTTTTTTTCCTAATATTATTACTTTGAGAAAGTTGTTAATATAATATCAAAGTTGTTGTCTTTAACTACATTAACAAGGTAAGTACACTTTAGAAAGTACTTTTGTAATATTAATAAGCATATTTAATGAATCCTATAAAAATTAGAATCCTCTAAGCTTATCACCATCTTATAGGCTGGTCAATGGGGTTGTTTCTATCCTAAGTTCCAATATTGACCATTGACCCACATTTTTTTTTGCCCCTTTTGTTTTATAATAATAATAAAAAAAAAAGTGTTCTAGTTACATTATTCGTTACGTCTAATAGGGCCAATGTGATGCACCTAGATTCTTATCTAATGGGACACCAAAGTGTGCAAGTGCAATAAAAAAATAAAAAATAAAAAAACCTAAAAGAAGGAACACAACAAATAAAGGGTGACAATGAAAAAGAAAGTTAAATTATTGGCACTATCTATGTTTTTTAATTTATTATTCTCTCTTTATATGTATTACAAGTTTTAATATTTTTAAAACACATTTTTCTACTCGTATTTTCGTTCATTTCACTCTCATCTTTTATTCTTTTTCAGTCCTATTATTTTTAGTTTTGATGATCAAGTAAAATTGTTATAATAACGTGTAAAAGTTATTACTTCAAAGTAACAAAAAAAATGTAATTCTTATTATTTCACAGTTGAATTTTTCATTATTTCTTTCTTATTTACTCTTAATTTTTTAGTTAGTATTCCATTTTATAAATTCGTATATTTTATTCTAAGTAACTTATTTATTTTTAACTAAAAAAAGTTAGACACTTATTATTAACTATTACCATGATAATAATGTAATAATATATCACAAATAATGGTGAGAATGATATGAACACTCTCTTAATTTATGTGGACTCAGATCTAATAATCTACAATAATTATAATTTTTTTAGATAAATCCTGTTAACAATTTATACAAATTCTGTTAAGTCATACTTTTTTTCTTGATATTATATTTTCTATTAATTTTTTTTTTATGTAATCTTTGATTTAGTTTAAATAATGATATATTTAATTTAATTTTGATTGATATATCATGATATATTTAACTTAATTTTAATTTCAATTAAAATATGGTTAATTAAGAAATAAATATGATTATTTAATTGATTATGATCTAACTCAAGTCAATTTTAGTTAATTAAGAGCACTTGGTGAATCTTTTTGGGAGTTGAGGGGATCATGATCCCTTCAAATTTTTGTAACTTCTACGTAATTTATGATTTTTGTTCACCAAATTTAATGAATATTTAATATATTTATAATTTTTTCTTTCAATTCTTCCTCAGTTTTATAATTCTCATATAATTTGTGATTTTATCCTCTCAAATTTAATGATCATTTAATATATTTAATATTTATTTTTTTATTTTTTTTCTTTTATATTTATTTATTATTTATAAATAATATATTATTTAGCCTTATAACCGTGAAGATCCGTTACTCATTAGAAGTTGAATCCAACCAAAATATGATAAATGAGACCAGATTAATCTTATCTAAACGTGTAGTGTGATTATGGTGGTTTAGTATACGGTGGTAGACCTGATTTGCACCCACATAGACCCCACGAAGCACACGCAGGGAGAATAGGGTGGTAGTCTTTATGGAGTGGAGTGGCTTGGTAAAAAAGTTGCAGAGCAGAAAACTGGTTGAAGAAAATAACCAATTATTGCTCTTGTAATGATCTCTGACGCAACATGCACCACACAAGTACATGTGAAACTTTTTCTTGCGCCTTTGAGACAGGTGCTGCTGAATCACTTACCAGGGGCCATGTTCCTCTTTCAAATGACAGAAGATAAGGTTCATCTCAAGGGCCACACTACTCACTCCATTCTCTTTTCTTTCATGTCACCCTCTAATCCAATAATTAAAATATGGGACCTTCCTCACACTTCCACCACATTTTCATCAATATTCTTTAATTCACACATTCAATAATGCCTATACCTTCCTCCCATCTGTTACACATTCTATTATAAATCAAAAAATATTTAATTTTATAAATTAATTAAATAAAATTATGATTATATTTATCTATATATAATATTATTATGTCAATAATTATTTTTTTGTTATAATCTTTATTTTTAGGTAATTTTTATGTCTTAACATCATTATTAATTTTGACTATGATTTTATATTATAAATAAAGAATTATCTAATTTAATCTTATAAAATTATATTATTCATCTACAGAATATAATTTTATTGTATCACAAATTGACCTAAGATTTTTTATCTTTAAGAAGATTTCTCATCTCATGAGAACATTTTAATCACATATTAAAAATATCTAATTACTATCTTAATCCTATAGAATAATAAGGATTAAATGGAATAAACTAACTTGATAAACAAATATTATATTATCTTACAATATCGTCAT